ATGACACCATGACGGTGTGTTTAGACTATCGTTACACCCGCACCAGCTGGACGGTTGAAATATGGCCGGGAGGAATATACTTCGAAAGCTTATATCCATGCTCACGTCAACTATCACGGCTTGTTAGTACCCAACAATCCTAGCATAGATGTATATGTACTCACAACATGACCATGAATGCATGCATGTCACATCAACTCTACCCGCATAGGGGCCGTGCTCCTTGCCAGCGATCTATGTACGTTTATGTAAGTATGTTGCCTTCTCACAAGTCAATCACCAGCCACCTAGGTTGCCGTATGGCCTTTAGTTCGATCTCCCCAAATGATTGGATTGGGGGCCCGATATGTAGGTAGGCGGGAAGAGCAATGTGTACGACTGCGGCGTGGTATCAAAAAAAATCACCATCTCATAGGATTGGTTGGTGTGTGAGGGGTGTCTGCTCCTATCAGTAACCTCGACTCTGACGACTTGAATATTCCTACCTATCATCTCACTAAACCCCCATCCTCACCGCGTGTGGGAATTCACAAGTACTTAGGGATCCTTTTAACGGCTCGGCAATTGTTATTTCTCAATGCGGACCGTTTCGTAGTGTTATTACTAGTAGACCGCAAATCGTCTTGTACATATGTACACGAACCTAAAGCTTAGCTAGTAAAGCCGAATAGGCCTACGATGTACTAGAAGGAGGCATTTTCAATTCTAGCGGTCAACGAATAGGTCAAAAAACTACGCGGCCCCAATCCAGACCACCCAAATAAGATGATGTCAAGAACTCTAGATGTCTTCTAGCTCCATATATATCCATCTTTTTCCTGTAGTTCTACATACGTGTGACGTTGACTGCATCCGAGCACCTACATACATTAGTCCGAGATCATCGGGTAGTTACATAGTAGGTAGGGGAATGTGGGCATTTAGAAGAATGAACTTCACATGATCTTCCACCTACCAGTCAGAAAAGCTATAAACCCTCGCATTAAAGCCCTACACCATTATCGTCAATTTTTTTTTTTCTTGACATCGTGACTGGCAAGAACCGGAGTCTATAGTTGGATAGATCCTTGCCGGAAATGTTAGCCTCCGGGCGCCCCTTTTTAAAAATATCGAATAGCCAACAGCAAACAATAACTAATGCAACTTAGACAAGGTGAGTGAGGGAGTGTGTACTATTCTCCTCATGGCCTCGATGAATCAGAGAGTAGAAGCTGTGCCGCTCACACATTGCATACCCGCATTCCCAAGCATTAGGTACCGTATGTACCAAACCCAAGAATACCGCATGTCCGTACTTGCAGGTACCGATCAGCCGCTCTTCCAGACCATTGGGTGGTGCGATGTAAATAATCTTACTCCCTACCTAGGTAGATACTCGAGACTCCCGAAACCGAGCCTCGTCCGCTAGGGTTTGGGAGGGAACTCAAGAATGGGGAAATCTGGACCAAGACCCAAGATAATGTGGTCCTGTCAATGTCAAAAGAGAGGAAGCCATAGAAGTAGTTGACGGCACGGTAATCCAGGTTTAAAACCGGCCGCGTATGAAGCTTTGCCATTCCAAGGAGTCTAGTCGAGATCGATGCCGCGGACTACTGTCTAGAATAAGCTTGATGTTGATTATCGTTGGCTATTTCTGACCATTCTTATCCTGTCAGGGATAGTGAAGCCTCGTTTTTTTTTCTTTTCTTCTCTAATCCCCCATCTTTTTCTTTTCCCTGTCAAGGGATGGTTTGTTTTAACGCCTTGCAGTGTAAAAAGATGGCGGCGGAGGAGGGAGGTTTGACTTGCCCCGCCTCCGAAGAGATGGTGCTTAAACTGCTTAAACGTGCTTAAACGTTGTAAGAGCGTACAGGACTAATCCCTGTAGCACACACACCTGATCAGGGTTTAGACAGCAAACTAATCCATACTAAGACATCGCTATAGCGCTTGGTGGGTTGGAATTTCTGTTTCGTCTCGTCTCTATTATAAGCCCACCTAAATACAATTACTTAGACGCTCTTAGACATCACTTCCATGTGTTTTAATATAAAAATGGTTATTTTCAGTATGGGCTTAAATAACTTCAACATGCAAAATGATGTATGATAGTTTTATTTTAATACGAAATATCTTACTAATATCATATCACAATATTGAAAAATACCATTGAACACGTATATCTTTTCTTGGGTTGAATAGATCTGCTTTTTTTTTAAAATGTAGGTTCCGTAGGTATGGGTAGTATTGTACCTTGATAAATAGTGTACATTCTACATTTTCAATGTTCTGGAGGGACGGGTACCTTCGAAAATGTGACGAGACCGTTGTCGGTCGGGTTCATTTAGCGGATCCCTCTTGCGCTAACTTCCATATCTAGAACCACGCTACCAAGTAAGGCGAAACAGGCCGAGCAAAACCTGACGCCAAGCACGAGGCGCCATTTTGCAAAAAAGAAAAAGAAAAAGATTGTATTGTATTACGCAAGTACAGAAGGTACTTTGAATGCGCAGATACTTACAGTTTCTGTAATGTATCTCGCTATTTCCTCTCTTGAGCATCTTGCTACAGATAATTGTAGTATCAAATAAATTATAGAGGCAGGTACGATATATGATATGTATGTTGAAACGTTAAATCTAAACTCTACTTTGAGTCACCCAGTAACACAACAGAACCATCTATGCGGTTCAGGTCCTGCTTCCGATCATTTTCGCATATCATCTTTCTCCCTCGCGCCGCAAGCTGCATGAAGATACCGATAGAGCTTCCCTCCATCTCTTTTTTCCCCTTCTTCCATGCGAGGTACAATACAATAAAAATACAATGCCAACGACATACACACACAATTACCGCCTTGTTATTAGATGGTTTAAAGCCTTTTGCAGGTAATAATCGAAATGTTAATGACACCATGCCTATTTTGTAACCCTTCATTCGCTCGACCGAGTTTAACACTCGTTCCGTTGCTGCGAAGTTGGCCGCTAAATTCCGAGGCTACAACAGTACCATACAAACAAGTAATCAAATATTACCATTAGCTCTTCGATCTGTTAAGTTTGCTGGAAACGCAAAACGACTACTGTCATTCGTCAATTAGAGCCGGGTTTGGCACAACCTCCACAGAAGCTACTTCTTTGCTTACCAGTTTTACTTGGCGGACTCCAATAAAAAAAGATGAAGCTTCTTTTAAGCCATCGCAAGTTCGACATCGCTTTTATGTCTCTTCACCGCTTTACTATGATATTATCATCGTTAAAATAATTAATAGACTAACAAGTTAACTAATAAACATCTGACTAACAACTAACTAACTGCCTATCTTAGGTACATTGGGTAGATATGCGCATTTCACCGTATAATACACACATATACATGCCTGTCTAGGTATTGACGCTACATAATAGCCTGTCCGCTGTCATTTTCCCTAGCGGCATACCTACATACACATACACATACATACGCATACGTACATACGTATGTACAATACCTACATAGTTACAGGATCGTATAGGTCATGCTCTCTCTCGGCCCCCCAGGCGACGCGGTGGGGAAGAAAAATACCGTAACATCATTCAACAAGCAAAGTGGGCGTCAGCGAATCCCGTTACCCGTACCCAACGGTCTGCTACACTTGCTCAAGTATTGCTAATATGCGCTATGTACGCTATGTACATCCAGACGTACAGGACTACGGTCTACTACATTTGGCCATCCACTCTGCCAAGAACGAGCAATTCACTTGAGCTATGTACTTAGTACAGTACGATACTATGTACATACCTACGTACATACATCCTATCGATCGCCTGCTCACTCACCCGTCCACCCCCCATGTCTTTCCCAAGTCCCCCCATGTCGCCCATGTCGACCACGACCCCCTGCTACCTCTCGCCAGACTGGGCTCTAGCTTACCCTGTTAATACTTGCGCTCATCACTACTTAGTACGGGGACAAGGGTTCGAAAAAGAACTGCACCACTGTTGCTGCTTCTGCTGCGCGCGCGAGGTACATTACATGCTGCCTGCGGTACCACGCCTGTACTATACGTACCGCCCAAAAAACCCAGCTTTTCCAGGGCTTCCAGCAGCCCATGGCAAATCGCCTCTTGGACGCCGAAATAACCTGAGCTTGTCGCTGATGACCCTCTTTACCCACTTTGCTACTCTCGCGGTTTTCCTTGTTCGACATCCACCAAAAACCTCGCTCCTCTCCTGAAAGAAGCTTCGACGGCGTCGTTCTTTTTTCGCCCTGCTAACCACCTAGGAAATCCTTGGAAATACCCTCGAAGGGCATAAATCCCGTATACTGTACAGTAGTAGTAGCAGCTCCGTCTCTGCCCAACTGCTGATCTTCTGGATTTGGGCTCCTCCGGACCGTAGAGCTTCGACAACCCAGGAACCTGGGACCGCCTCCACGCGCCTCGTTCGAGAACTGACGAGCTCGCAGCCTGTCCCCTACACCATATACGGAGTACACAACAATTACACCGACCCTTCAATGTCATCATACCTACACCAATAAGAGCTGCGACGTCGTCCAAGTTCCTTCCTCCACACCAACTGACCAGCGCGCAGTCTGAGCTTGTCTTGGCAACTCGACGAGCCGATTGCTCCATTCCTGTGCCCGGGACCATTTGGTCTCCTTCCTGGATCGCCTCTCTCATGACCACCTTTTTTTCCCCGTTGTTCTTTTTTTGCCTGACCTGTGCTCGCTTCTACCCGCGCTGCCTATGACTCTACGCATATAACACCCCAAGCATGGAACCCGGGCTGCCTGAGAGCAAACGTCCCCGGCTCGGTCTACACCCTCCGTCATGGTCTTCGCATCAGGCCGTGTCGCTTCCTCATCCTGCCTCTGCTTCCGCACACCACCCGCCAGCATCAGGTCCTCACCATCCTCCGCCGCCGCCTTATCAGCATCCGCCTCCCTTCTCGCGCCCACAAGAGCCTCCCTTGCCGTCGGCTCACCACCACCTCGTCGACGACCATCGCCATCATGAACACGGGCCGTACCCGCCAATGCATGATCCTCACCGACAGCCTCCTTTGCCTCCATCATCAGCGCATCCGCCCTTCCCGTCTTACACGCCGCGAGAGCCTGTTGTAAAGAGAGACCCCGGCGAGGAAACCTCACTGCCACAACTGCGCCGACCGAATTCGACGGGTAACGTTGCGGAAAATCAGCCTCTCGGCCCTCATGGTCCTCCACATACAAATCCACCGCCGCCTCCTCCACCAGACGATCCGCGACGACATATGAGCTACGATAGCGGGCCGTCGATGCCGCATTCGCCGGCCATGTACAGACCACCACCTCAGAACTACCCACCCCCGCCGACGCCGGTCGCTCAGCACCCTCAATATGAAGGACCTCACATATACGGTCCTCCGCCTTCCATGTACCCTCTAGAAATCGCGACTAGTGCGAAGCGGAAAGCACAGCGCGCCTCCCAGGTAATATTCCCCGAGTGAGCCGTTGTATGTTGGCTGACTCAAAACGTGTAACAAGGCTTGCGACAGTTGTAGGCAGCTCAAAGCTAAATGCGATGAGACTAAACCTTGTAAGAATTGCCGGGAGAAAAATGTCGAATGCAAATACCGAGATCCTCCAGCAAAGCAGTAAGTTGAACATAAGAGAAGAAAAAAATGCTAAGACGCGAACAAGGTACTTACTAGAACGTAGGCCGGATAAGGTTACCGCCGATTTAATAGAGATGCTCGCTACTATGAGAGAAGAGATGAATACTAAGCTTTCGGATATGACCGTGGAACTCGCTGGGTTGAAGCAGGCCAATCTGAATCAAAATGCACGAATGGGTAACCTAGAGACCAAGATCAAGCAACTTAATCCTGGGACGGGTATGAAAGTCGAGTCGATTGAGGAAGATGAGGAGCCGAACTTTAATGGTTCACCCGCTACCAAAGCACAGGTCGAAGAATCATTATCTTCACCTGGAGGAACTGTTGTGGAGCCTAGTCTTACCATGGACGAGGCTCATGCCACGTTACAAGAAGCAAATGATGATGAGATGGAAGATAACCCAGGGCCGATCGTGACGCCTGGAAAACCCGCCATGCCTCATAATCACACAACATTAGCAGGATTGCTTTTGAAGTGGCCATCGATTAAGAGAATGGTTCATCATCTAATGGAAGCCGAGAAAATATTCCATCCTGACGAATATCCGATACGCCAGGAGCAGCAGCGGGGCATTATTCGAGTTTTTGGGAGAGGAGAAGGATTTGATCAGGACATTCGGGCTTCCGACAAAGAAACGCCACCAGACCACACAATGACTGATGTTTTGGACGATTGCTCAGACGTTGCATCTCCCTCACCTATGGGAGAAGCATGGGGACAAGTGGGCAGCTTGACTCCCCCTCCTGGTGTTGAGTCGAAAGGAGGTGTTGTGAATGTGGAGGGAAATCCGGACTGGGAGCCGACGAAGATTTGGAGATACGTTAACAGTTTTAAGGACAACATTCTGAACATGCACCCCATAATTATCCCGAGGGAGCTGACAGCGATGGTCAAAGTATTTCTCGAGACTTTACCAAAATCGCAGAGTAGTCAAGGGAACAAGATTGGGTCGAGCGCGAGATTTGTCAACCAACCGACCGGGTTACCTCCGTCCTTTTCAGAGACTGGAACCAAGAGAAAGCGGTCACCCGCTGCAGACGAGCAGACCCCATCGACATCGTTCGTAAAGCCCGGTCGTCCTTATCGAAGCGTTCATAGCGCTCTTGTCCTGTTAGTTTTTGCTCTGGGCAAGATTTGCCTTCACAAGGACAGGATACCAGACACAGTTCACGAATCCGACTCGCCGATGCATCACTCGCCCTCGGTTCGCAACGGCGTTCTTGCTTCTCCTCTGCAAGGATCACCACCGGGAATCATGTCAACCTCCCAATCCTCCAACATGGCCTCACCTAAAGAAAGTGGAGGTGTTCCTATGAGCCGAAGGGCTTCTCTGCAAGGAAACATGCAATCCTCGAGGGGACCACATTCGCATAAGCGAAACCTGGATGTGATCCCTGGTCTTGAATACTTCGCTCTTGCCATGGATATCATGGGTAGTCATATGGGGGGCTTCAATCTAAAGCACGTCTACGTGCAAATCCTCGCTGGTCTGTACTACGGACAACTTGGTCGTGTCCTCGAGAGTTGGTCGTATATCTCTCTTGCAAGTCGGAATCTTCAAGTAATACTTCGGCCGTAAGTGAAAACCTTGGTAGAGCCTTTGGATATTAAAACTAACTCAAGCCAGGAGCCTCGACCGTCTATCGAAGTGGCATGATCAAGGGAGAAGTATCGGTCAATCACGTAGGGACAATCAATTGGCTTTCGCTTTCTGGACATGTCTACAACTCGAGAGGTAAATCCTACCAAAGGCCACTACTAGTTGAACATATACTAATACGCAAGGCATATAGCGATATCCTCGCCGAGCTCCCTCTCCCACAGTCAGGTATCTTACAATATGAAGATAGAATGCCATATCCCAATTCCGAGTATGCCGTCAACCAAGGCTTCTCAGAGCACATAGTAACTGGTTATATCGCACAGCTGTATCTCCGCAAACAGCTTAACCAAGTTCATACCTTGCTCTATGACTCGGAGAAGCAAAACAGACACAGTATCGGAATCACGTTAGACGACCCGACAATCGAAGAAGGCATCAAGCGCATCGAGGAAATGCTCAGAAATTCAAGAAATCGTTGGGTTCCGAGTAGTTATCAATGGAAGGATGAAGATCCCCCAGCCAACGATATACTAGGAGCTCGTCTCCGCGCAAAGTATTGGGGTTCGCAAGTCATCCTCTACCGTCCGTTTTTGAAAAAGATACTCGAACGAGAATTCCAATACAACAATCAAGTAGATTCTCCCGACACTCAACCGCCATATGACCACGACGAAGCGCCCCCTCCCGGTATGGATCGTCGGGTTCTTAACTACGCCGGCTTGGCGATATCTGCCTTGATTGAGAGCACTCGAGCATTCCACGGAATTCCGAACAACCAACGTATCATCATCACCAATGTATTTGGAACAGCCCACGCGTAAGTGATGTATTCTATGTCAAGTAGGTAGTTGATGGCTAACGCGATTTCAGACAATGGGGAAATCTTTTAACCTTAGCAGCGTGCTTTAAGGATAGGTATCTTCGCAGATATATCAAGGCAGATGTTTTAAGCAATCTCTTTTCTCGGACGATCCTATTTTTCCAGTCGATTGCCCAACCTACGAGCGCGCTCAGGGCCGATATGAACATCCTAATTGGTTTAGCAAGAGACCTTGGGTTTATTCGAGACGAATACGATATTACAAGTTCAAGTTTTTCGAGCATATCGAGCGGCGGTCCTCTACCGCCTATGCACAACCCCGGCGAGAGTTATCATCCTCATCCTCCGTCCACTCTTGGACGGCCGCATCTACCGCCACCGAACTCGATTTCTTGAAAAGTTATGTTGGAAGGATTGGACGACCACAACTATTATAGAGGATTGATGGTACGGCGTTGACGAGTTCCTGTCGTTTTCATTCCCTGGCCCACGATGAGATTGAATACAATGTTCTCGGATTTCTGCAGCTGTGTTTTGAATACTAGACGCCTCGAACACAAATTATTACGCATGTCATTTGCACATGGTGTCGATGACGAATTCGGAAAGGAAAACTATGAGGCGGTTTTTTGCACCTAGCAATGGCGTTTCGGGAGACTGTCCGGCGCGACAATCATCTGTTTGATTCTACGGTACCAGTTTGCATACATCAGATACACGGTCGAATGTGCTTGGTTTCCGGCAATATTATTTCTTTTTCCACACCATATCATCATGGCGCCAGCCCATTGGAGCATACAATACCGGCGTTGTTTATTTTTTTTTTTTTTCGAGGCAGCATTGGGAGAGAGAACCCTTTGAATAATTTTCTTTACGGAACTCGAAAGCTGAGGATACCCCCCCTTGCGAGAGCGCATGTTGTTATGCTATGCACGCTCTATATATATATCACAACATCGACGAGTATATATCTACAAATTTGAATCCTAGGTCTATTTCTCACTATCTTTGGTTTGTTTGCTCAACATATGCCATCCCTCTGATCTACTTAATCAGTTCAATAATTCTTTTGAGAATTTTAACAGACCCTCGCATTCACATGCAAGCACTCTCACTACCTTCCTAGGTACTTACTAATATAAAGCAAAAACAAAAAAAGTATACACAAAAATATTACTCGTCGTGGCGCAGGTTTTCGGTTTATGGCAACAATCAACTCATCCTTCCTATTTAGATTGGTCGCATATGTATTGTTACTTACCTTTCCCATTTTTACTCCGCACCTAGCGAGTTTAGTTAGCAATCTGTCGGTCGGTCAGTCAGCATCTTTTTGTTTCCTTCATTCGCACAGGTTAGCATGGTTGGAGGCTGCGTATATTACACTTTGTTTGCGTGTATTTTTGCAAAGGTTATCAGGACATTCCTGCTTCTGGAGGGAGCGGAGGAGATACCAAAGCTTTTCGTTTTCTGATGTTATAGGATTCAACCGCAGCAGCAGCAACAGCTAGCTAGCAAAGTAAGCAGCACTTGGTTCACTAGGATTGAATGGGGTTTTGGGAGGGTTCGTTGTTAGAAAAATTCATAGTTTGCGTGTTTATAAAAATGTTTTTTCTGATAGGTCCTTTATGCGTTCATCATCTTGTGAGTGACCTATTTTGTTGGTGGTGCCGGAAAAGGGGTGAGTGAAATGCAGTGGGTGTTGTTGGGTCTGGCTGCATATGGCGAGGCCACCTACTTACATATACTTACGAATTCAGTTCAAGTATTGGAGGACAGAAAAAAGAGGCTACATATCGAAAACATTCTTTTCATCCGCGTTTACACAAGGACTACGATTTTTTAATTTTTTTTCAACAGCTATCCATGCAAAGCGGAACGCCCGAATTCAACGGCCACGACGCCACATAAGCCGGAGCGAGCAGCGCAGGCAATCGGATCGCGTGGCAATTGTGTGCGGCACAAACAAGCAAATAAAAAAAAAAAACAGGCCCAAGACATCTGTGAAACGACGACGCCGAGGGGAGGGTAGGACATGAGGGTATTATATGCACGTAGGGGGTAACGCAAACTGGATTTTTAAGGCGGCTTGGCTGCTGAGCATTTTCTGCTGTGTTTCCCCCCTTTTTTTTCATAAGAGAGGGGGGAGGGGAAGTGAGAAAAAATTTTTCGGTATATTCCCGTCCTCGCATAGTCGCTAGACGGATGATTGGATTGTTAATTATGTGTGTTCCTATGTAGGTACAGGCAGCCTTGCAAACATCGGAAAAGGACACCGTCCTATGAAATCTATCTACGGACGACACTCCGTGAGGCGTTCATACGTTCGTTATCTAGGTAACCATACAGCAACCCCCGGACCTGTGCTACAAAGGGAAAAAAGGGAGAGGTTGGGAAGTTACACGTCAAGGGGCCGAACGACTAGGCATAGCCAACCATCGGGATACGCGGCTTCGCGCATTAACTCCTCGAGCGGAGCGGCGAAAGGGACGCGAGCGCCGTGGAGGATGGCGTCGGCGAGTACTGGGTCCCGACTACTGGGGAATAAACGTGGGAGGAGTGTGCGCAGGGCTGTGCCTAGGGTTTGGGGGGTTCCTTTGGGATGTTAGTTGTGAATATGTTGAAAAGAAGTTTTAGATAGGACAGTACGTACGCTCATTGACACGGGGCTGCACAAGAGATTGTACGACCTTGAAAGACCCCGCTTGACCGTCGGGACCTGCGCTCGCGGTGGGGTCATCCGGCGATTGTGGGATGTATATACGGAAGGGTACGTTGCGTAGCTCGCGTGATGTATTTAGAAGGCGCGAGTTTACCCTAGCGAAAGACTGGTAGTCGTCTAACGAGATTTGTTAATATTGTATATATAGATATATGTTGATGTAAGGCTTACTGTCTTTTACCGCGTTCCATAGTGTAGTTGTGTGGTCTTTAGATAAGGACATTATCTGATGCGCATTTCCATTACGCACGAAGTCTGCCTGTTCGAGCAAGGTTTGTCAACTACTTAGATACTACATTCTGTCATAATTACAAGGGAAAGGGGTAATGAGGCATACCTCCTTAGCGCTATTCAAAAACGTGTCCCCAATATCCCACCCCAAACCGTCGCCAACAGTTAACCGCCAGGGCAAGGTGGGCTGGTATAGATCGACAAGCAGGCCAACAGCTAGATTACGCAACAACACACCCTCATGATGGAAACTGGAACATGGTAGACGGAAGTAAGACGACAAGCGCGGTAACAGTAACGCCAAGTAGCTCAGGCGCGGCACTTGAGTAACGAGCGGCGGCCCGCCGGCTCCGGAGTGGGTGATGAGAAGCGGGACCTGCAGGTCCCAGAGGGTCTGCGGGATGGTCGACGGCGACGGGGATGCCGACAAGGACAGGGGAGAGTCGGAACTCATCTGGTCCGTCCTTATCTGTCAACTTTGTCTGGATGTCTGTCTGGACTGAAACCGATTGGATGGAATTGAAATGGAATTGAAATGAATTAGACAGGGTATCTAAGTAACTACCTAGGTCTAGATAGCTACCTACCTAGGTAGGGAGGGTAGGTTAACTGAGTAAAATGAGTGAATGATCGGCTGACTACCTGTCTTCACTAGCGTAGAGGTCGGCGGGTATCATCTTCGCGACCAATCCGGATGTAGTTAACAAATGCAGGAGAATCAAGTTAGTAAATTCGGTGTTGGTTCTAATAAGATTCGGCCGGGTTTAGTGTAAATGTTGAATGAGGCGCGGGATGGGGTCGGCCGAATAATGATGATGATAATGATAAGTGATAAGCAGATAAGTTGACGATAAAGTGAAGTTAGTTGAGGTTAGTACGGAATGAATTTGGAGAGTTTGCGGCGCGACAAATTCGGATGCATGCACCCGCCGGCTAAGAACGGCCGATCAGCGTCGCATGGCACAGCAAAGCTAAAAAGTAAAAGAGTGGAACCCTCAAAAACCTGTCGTAATAAGGCTGACTGATTTATCCACGCTAAGTCAAAAGCGGGGTAGCTTCAAAAGAGAGCTACCCCAAAAACATCCTAGCGCTAGGTCCCCTCAAGTACCCAAGCTTCTGTGCCTCCCCGCAAATAACAAATGTTAGAACCTTGGACCCGGTCCTATTAATTAGAACTTGTCCCATGGATGGCGTCAGGAGAGGAAACCCTTTTTAACAGGGGTCTTTTGTTGTATTTTTCTGGCTCTGGGCTCTCTGGGCTCTACTTGGCTTTCCGAATTTTAAGGCGAACAATTGAGCAAACACTTTTACCTACGGAGTAGGTACTTACCCAGTTCCAGTTAACCCTAACCTTAACCATCTTTATTCTATTCGTGGCTCGGGGCCAGTTTCGTACCTACCCCGTCAGCCCCATCCGCATATATGTATTCTACGGTATGGTGCTTTAGGTGCAGTAGGCGCACCAGGTACATCCACAACACCCATTGCAATTTTGCACAAGTTACAAAGAAAAGTCAAACCGGAAAGCACCTAACAACGCTATCATTTTTCAACTCCCGGCGGGAAATTTCAACCACCACCACGTGATGGACTTACGAATATACCTATCCATGTCCTTGTCTGAAGAAGCAAAAATTTGAAGTCTCAGACATGCCTACCATCTAATACATGCATGAGCTGTTGGCCATGTGATCTATGTCTTGTCTCAGGAGAAAAAAAGAAAAGCCGCATCCACCTTGAGTTTCTCGCATGTATTTTATGTACAGTACTTGTCCAGGTACATCTTCAAGAAAATGTTTACATGTAGGTACTATTTAGTGTATTAGGTACGTGCTAAAAACTAAACTCGCGCCTACCTCAGTTTTACTGCAGCGGTTCCGTACGTTCGGGACGGAGACCTGGACGGAACTTTCCCTAATTTTGGTATGCCGAGCTTTTTCTCTGCAGCGTACTCAGTATAACCAGGTACATCTTTACTGTACATTTCTATACATTTATTTACATTACAGAATAATTGGATGTATACGACGTATATTTGGTCCAGGCTTCTTCATCGCTGTCAATAGCAGATCTTAATTCACGATTCATGATCCTCGCGCCATCCAACCAATCTTGACTGGCGTTCTAAATAAGAACACCTATTACGGAGGTACGATGACCCCTTAAACCAAAACTATTCCAAAAGTGAAATATCCTAGCACCAACAACCGATCCAGAGTTCCGTTTCCCCTTGCATCTACTACATAGAAGCGAAAACATATTACCCGATTGATATTAGTGAGCTCGGATTCGGACGCATTGTACAGAGCAAACAGCAACTTCGACGATGTTTCAATTCTTGCTTTTTATATCTTGCCATACTCTTACCATGTGGTACCACTCTCATTAGCGGCATTTCTCGATCTCCCGCCGCCCGTTTTTGTCTTACCCAGGTACATAGCGTAGATACTATTTTAATAAACGTAAGGGGTTAAATGTTTGCTACGGTAGATCTCTTTACAACATCCGATGTAGCAAGTTTATTAAACATATTGCTTTTGATAACATTAAAGCAGTTAGGTTGCCGGATCCGGAATGAAGCTTAAACCCGGAACAATATCTACCTGTCAACCACAACCCGGCGAAAGATGGTCGACTAACATGTAACAGGAAAAAAGTTGGAATTCTTGTTACTCGCGATGTTACGTGAATTACACGCCAGTACCGCCGGAAGCGCTATCTTTTGTGAGCCGCAAAATCCAGGGCTTACCTTGGAGTTACATTCTGCATCGTCTTCGTGCCGACTGCCGGTTTTTAGCTGCTTTAGGATATTGAGAATAATCACAGGGACAGGCCGGAGATAGGAGCCGCACACAACTTCAATCGGAGGGCCAATGGGAGCGGTTTAAGTATCGTCATGTGTGCTACTAAATTTGAGTTATAAAGTGCCGGATATCTTTATACGCCGCAGAGCCCATGAAATGCCCACTTTTTCAATAGCAAGTATCGCGGAAGTATCGTGAAAGTAGATGGCGGGAACGCTCTAGAGCTTGACAAGAGGAGTTGATCTAGAACTAGATAAATGATGGGTCAATAAGGTATTCCTAGTTATGTCAAAAGGTTTTTCGCTTATCACTGATGATCCTCCAAGGGGATGGGACGGAGGTTTGTCCACGGTCCGCGAGAAGACGCGTTTACCCCTTTCCCTGGCATTGAATCTCGACTGGTTCTTTTCACTAGATTTCCACGATAATGAGAATTACGGATCGGTAATTAGGCTATGCTGGAAATCAATCGATGTTGGTCTATCTGCTAGCTAAAGAACAGGTATTGGACCTAATAGGTAGGTAGGTACTTAACTAAACTAATATGCGAACCCATCATACGGGCAGAGATGTCGGTAGATGGTCGATCTAGACTCAAATCCATCTTCCTTTCTCCCAAATAGGTAAGTATTGTATGTACGCGGCCAGATCTAAACCGTAAATCATTATGATAGAGGCTGTAGACATTGTTCCAGGGGATTGGGATAGACCGACGAGAGATTGTTGCGAATACCTAGGTAGGTAAGCGAAAGTAACCCCTTAGTAGTGCTAATGAGCCATCTCGTGCCGTTTTAAATCCCTGTGAAGCAGTCGGCGCTGTACTAAATGTGGTTCGTGATATAGCTGCAGACCTAGTCGCCGTCGCTCCTCTAAGAGTAGAAGGGCGGTTTGGATTTGCCCTTGAAAATTTTGCTGGCACCGCACATCCCAGTTATTTCCCTATGTCGACTAGATGCAGTAGACTCGGCGTTGAGATGATCGGAAGATTGTACCGAGGCCCAATTCTCATCATTACCATCCTCGTCATTGGCGTCGTCTTCGTCTCCACTTTCGTCCTCAAGCCCAAAACCACCTTCTTCATCCTCATCTACATCTTCTTCCTCCTTAAACGCCTTCCATCGGCTTGCTCTATTGTTCCTAGGTTTTGCGTCTCTACGCTTATTCCTTATGCGTCCTTGCGCAGCTATTGCTTCCGTTCGCCCATTCGTTATATCGGCGTTGAGCATTTCGTCAATCTCCTCTAAAGACATATTATCTATAATATCCTTGATAGGATTGTAAGATAACTTTTCTCCCCGCCGTTTCAATCCCGCGCCCACCATCTCGCGAGCATTGTCAACATCCTGTTCTGTGACCTTGGTTTCGGCGAGTAAACCCGCGAGCTTCTTCTGCTTCTCCTTCGGAGCTAGCGAAAGGTTGATATGCGGTAGCGGTAGCATCTCAATATTACTTGCCCCAAGTCTGACTCGTAGCATTAATTCCATAGCCCTTTCGAGGACGGCGGAGTCGTCGAGATCTTTCAACCTCCAGACACGCGGGGTGGCATTCTTGTTATGCTTGTTTCCAAAAGACAGCAGTCTCCTGATGTTGTTTTTTCTATGGCAGAAGAAACTCTTTATCTCCCTTGGAAATTCTTTGAATTCACTGTAGTACTTGCTACGTGTCTGGAGCTTGAGGAAGTTGTAGATGTCACGCTCGAAGATTTTGGCGGTGTCGGCTTGCACTGGGAGGGAGGAGACTTCTTCCTCTCCCCTCTTGCGCTTTCCTGAGACAGCATACTCATCCTCAATTTCAGACAGGCAATCGTGGAATTCGTCTGAGTCTGAGTCGGAATCAGAATTAGAGTTAGAGTCGAACTCGGGTCCGGAATCTTCTGGGTCTGCAGAAGGTTCGCGATTACTTAGCTCAGGTTCGATAACTGTGTCATCATCCTCTTGTTTGATTCGCTTGGGGGAAGGCTCGCCTTCGCCCTCATCCTCGCCCTCGTCTTCTTGTGCCTTGATAAGTTCGCTAAGCATGTCCATGTCTTCCATGAGTTCTCGAGCTTCTTTAGTCTTCCATAATTCATCAATCTCAAATTGGAAGAGGTTGAGTAGTTTGACCAGAATATCATTCATATTTCCTTGTGCGCGAGTGCCCAGCTCTGGTAGGATTTTGTCAATTTGTCGACTCTCACGGAACGAGTGGTACGAATTTTCTACCTTGAGTCGGTAGACCTTGACATCGGATTCTTGGCCGACCTAGCCTTAGTTAGCATTTTGGTTAAAAAAGGGGGGGCAAGCAGGGGATAGTTGAATGTTGGGTACTTACTCTGATAACTCGATGCACGGCTTGCCATTGAACTGCAAGACTGGATGCTTGAGATGCGACAAGTACTTGTGAGCAACTTTTGTGGAGATTCGAGCCAGCGAAGCCAACCGTATACATCTGTATCATAACCTGGCAGGACTCATCCGAATCATCATTGAAACTTGCTATCAGCTCTCTACGTTGTTCCGGTGTTAAACCAGAGTGTAGGGTGCGACAGTGAATAAGGAGGAATTGGAGAACTAGTTCGTAGTAATATGCTAGCATCGGACTTGCTTCTGTAATCAAGAGTTTCTTGATCTTTTCGCCGGGCTTCCTATTAATAACATTTTCTTTGACGTAGTGTAGGATATATCGTAGTATGGGTGATTTGCGCACTGCTAATTTGACGTAGTCTAGGGCTGTTTGGGGCTCTGGATCTTGCTGTTCAACTAAGAACGCTGCTAGGCGCAAAAAGGTGACGTTCGCCCCGCGCATAATATTGATGTGCTCGACCTTAGTGCTGAACTTATTCATCGATAATAATCTATCGAGTCTATATACGTCAAGTGACGCGGCTGCCATCTGGAATTGGCGATGGATGGTGAAGATCGACTTCATTACTGGGCCATCCCCCCCAGTTCTCTCCCATTTATTGACACTTTCCATGTAATCCATAAACAGGTCTATATGAGCTTCTTGGTAGGCTTTCTCTAAAGCGTAGTCGAGTCGTATGTTGACTGTATGGTTGTCAACGTGGGGTAGTAGGCCCTCCACTGTAGTATTTAGTTAGCGATAATAATCAAGATTAGGTCTGGGTCTTAGAAGAACCGGAAACTCGCGAAGGTAGTAAATATTCTCTAGATGTTTAGAAGTGCAACGGAACGAGTGTCACTTACATGATATTAGCCTAGCCTTTTCCCAGTCCAAGTAAAGATGTGAGCTAGGCGCTCTTCGTAAGATTGCTAGCGACTCGAAGTACTTCAGGAACTTGCGTGTTTCCTGTATGTCGACCTGGGTGCTTGATCTGAATCTGCAGATCAGCTGGGCTATTAAGGATGGCCTGCCAGCAACGAGCTGAAGGTCGTCACAAGGATTTACGCCATCTAGCTTTTGCAAGTCCTGTGGTAGGCTAAACGTACACTCGATCTCCTTCAATTTCTTGGCTTGCTTCTCGTCCTGAAGGTACTTCTCGGGGCTTTGCCAGAGGAGTCTAACAGGCCCGAGAAGATCTGTTAGAAGGTTCATACACGGTGTTGCGGTGATCAAGAGGGTGAATTGACGATCCAGTAGCGCCACCGATTTCCAGTTCTTCGTTGAGGAGTTTCTGATCTTGTAAGCCTCATCAACAACAATCACTGAGAATTTGCGCTTGCTGTCGGTGAAGCTGGATCTCCAATTGAGATCTGCTTCGGTATCTCCCTCGCTTCTGCAAGTTCTTTTAGCCCATGTATCAATTGACATGACCATTATTACCCTCGCTGCTTTCCAATCGCTTTCGTCCCAGACATACTTTAGTGAACGAGGCCATTTGGAGCCCATTTCTCTCGCACTTAGAGCGGTGACTCTTTCGTGGTTCGGCTTGCTTTTGACACCATTCCCTGAAATGAGGATCTGCTTGATGCCGCGGTGACCAGCGATTTGCTCGATCTCTTCGACCCATTGCGTGGCAACGGTGGCATTCGGGGTCAGAATCAACATAGGACGGTACTTATTCTGGCCGCCCTCCTTCGCCACGTTAAGTCTCTGATTGGCTAATATATCGAGGCACGCAATTGTTGTCAGTGTCTTCCCAAGGCCCATCGAATCGGCAAGGATTCCACCGAAGTATTTTGGGCCACGCAGCTTCTCCCGAGTTTCTTTCTCAAGCTGTGTTTCGGGTTTTTGGATGTACTTCTGGGTTTTTTCGTCCCATAGACTCTTGCGTTTTATCTTCAGTGGTGGAAGCCTCCCTAAGAATCTCGACATGATCCAAACTATTGCCGTGATTTGATTATCTAGGAGCCCCTTATGTCCATCCTTACCGTCGAGAGTGGGGAATAGAGGTGATTCCCACATTGTCATCTTGTTGCGGCCATATGTGCCGCATTTCTTCATCTGAAGGTACGAAGCACATGCTTCAATAGGGGGGCCAAGACTATTGGGTGAGGCTGCGATAATTGACTGCGCGATAGCGCCAACGTCTTGGACAATCTCGTCGTCGACATCATTAGACCCTTTGCACTCGTTTGCGTTCTGCTTCTTTATTAGTTCGATGTAAGAAAATGTTTCGGGGGTTCAATCAAGTACCTCTGCATCGATCTCTTCTTGTCCGCTAGCTCGGACGGCTTCCGAAACTTCTTTCGGGACTTCTCGCTTGCCCTTTCCCACAACCATAGAATGGTCTCGCATAAGCGCACCAGTTACTTCAAATCGGCTGTCAGGAAGGTACTCCCGTAAAGCTTCCTCGATCGCCCAACGGGCAAAATTATGGTTGACGTGGATTTGGGTGGGGTGGATTTTGTGGCCGGAATAGAACTCATCCATTTCTGAGAATACGAAATTAGTAAAAAATTAATATCCTATTAGACATTTGGCGGGTGCTTACTTTTACGCCTTTTGCTAAAGAATGAATAAGGATCAAACCGCCCGTGAACTACGTGCTCATTTTCCTTTATTTCGAGTCTATCATGGATCAGTTTCTTCCAGAACCTTACGGAGCGTACTCCAGGTCGTGGCCTTCGTGGAGCTGGGTTTGGCGATATTTCCTCCAGTGACGTCTCTGATAGCCCCGCTTGTGATATATCTGGCAATGCTGCTGGGGCTGCCTCTGATGAAGTCTCAGGCCATACCCCTTGTGCTGGCTGTGGCACTGTCTTGGCTGGTGAGTCTGGTAGCGCCCCCGATGCATCCTCTCGACCCATGGCTTTAGATTCTGCATTCTGGGGGCGGTGGAGACGCCTGGCCCAAGGTGGCATTGGCGTTGTTGTCTCATTTGAAGCCATGATGGAATTGTACGGTGTACATTTCGTGGATATGGCTTCAAGATTTTAAGATGGATAGGGAAGATTGGATATGTTAAATTATTAATCTGAGATTCTTGGTACGTGCTGCAGGAAGGATAATGCTATGGAGGGGGAAATCTGGAGGATTTAATCGAGAGGATGCTATCAGGCGAGAGAAAGTGATGAAAGTAGCTGAGGGTGGTTCCAAGGGAGTGGGAATGGCTGTAACTTCCCTTTAAGTCCATAAGCCTGGGAGCTTCCCCGGAGGTCGCTGCCTCTATAAATGCGACCCGCGCATGGAAGGCAACACCAACAGCAACCGATTTTAACCTGGGACGCAGATGATCAATATAGAAGGCACAAGTTAAGAAATGTGTGTCTCTATGGGGCCGAATAAGCATTTTGGACGATAATGGTCGCATAGCAATTTGATAGGTAAACTTAAACTCGGGAGGAATTCGCTAATATCATATCAATAGCTCATTAAGCATTAATTGCTATATTTTCTTGTAATGACAGGCCTCGTTGACAATTGTGAAGTGAATTCCTTATCCCAACAAACCCAAAGAACCTGACGAATTTTTGCTCGTTCTTAAGTCATTTCACTAACGTCGTTGTCACGGCTATTTGCCTGCCAGGTGTTTAAAGTCCATTAGGCGCATTCTCTCGAGTTTCTCGAGTATTTCGCGTTTCGTATTTCACTAGGGGCAATGTTAGATGGCCCATTTCAATGAGACCATCGAAGATTAGCGGCGCCCGTCATTATAGGGATATCAAATATTTATCCTGCTTCTATAGTGAAAGCAAATGAGCCTAAGTATACTTAGGTAAGTATTCATACTTCCGAAATATGAATTGATACCGCATAGTGTAAATAACATGTTGGTATAAGGTATCCAAAAGAAAGACCAATGGTCCCACTTCCCCTTTTTCATGTTTTCGTCCATACCATCCGTGCCGGCGTTGTATAATTCACTAGACCTTAAATCTGAATCCATGATGGGCGGCATCTCCGGGAAGAGCATTGATAGCGCCCTCGACGAAAATGCCCTGATCTAGTTTCTTGTTGAGTCGGACGAGCATAATTCGCAGGACCGTAGCAGCAATGATGGAGAGTACAATTGTGCCGCAGTTAACGCACATGGCGATGATGTATCGCGGCGCCATCCAGTCCTCGTACATATACGATGCGTAGATACTCGTAGCGTTAGATACGGCGTTGATGAAGGCCAGAGCTGCGGCGCGTTTAGCGGGCGGGCGGGGTAGGGTGTTGCTGATCCAGGCGAGAGCCACCACAAATGCGCAGTAAATTCCAGGGACCTTTTCGCAATTAGCTACCAGAAGTCTGGACGTAGTAGGGGATGTTTTACTTACCATAAGCATCATCGCGACATACCGGGGTGCAATACTCGTAGTTGTAGCTGCCAGGATGAATGCCACTAACGCAACAACGAGCGATAGCGTAATATGCCAATACCGTTCACCGGTTCGATCCGCATGCCACGCATTTATGAAAGTAGTAATGACGGTAAGCACATAAGGAGGGCAAGTCAAAAGCAACGTGTATACGTTACCGTAACCCAGGGTCTTGACCACGGCCGGGAAGAAATTTGTGACTGAACCAGCCGATACGATACCAAGGAGTAGTACCAATAGAACCCAAGTCTTTAAATCCGCGAAAGCCAAGCTAGCACCGCTCCATAAGGACTGGTGCTCGCTGTCGATCCAATCGTCCTCACCGATATCCTCTTCCAGTCGCCAGACAGCAAGAGCTTTCTCTTCTTCGGTAAGCCACGAGGTCGTTCGAGGGAAGTTAGGAAGTATGAAGAAGGCCAAGAATGAGACCCCGACGGTAATGACACCTTCAATAATAAATAGCCATTGCCAAGCACCTAGTCCTCTCGTGCCGTTCATGTTCTGTGTGATTCCTGCGGAAATTAGACCGGAGAAGGCACCGGAAATCAGCGCGCCTGAGTAGAGCATTGCCGTTCGCAAGCCGAGTTCCTTTCGGGTATCTAAAATGTGTCAGTGGGACCTGATCGAATATTTAATTATATCTCCCGTGGAAAATTATTATCACGTACTATACCCAAATATGTTAGCACATGTTGAACTTAAAATAGAATAGAGCTATAGCTTACCACCAGCAACTTAAGTAGTAGAGACATCCAGGCTGCGACACAATTAGCTTGGACGTTCAAAATTGATCGGTTCGGGTTCTTTTGGGACTGACGAAGTAGGCGGCTTCAACAAAACCCAGCCAAAAACGAACGGCAATAAGACCACCAAAATTCTTAACTCCAGCCGTGGCTGCGGATATGACGCCCCATATCATCATCTAGCATCGCCTATTAGTCCATCGGAGTTTCCCCTAGGCAATAGGAACTTGTGCGACATACACATGCTGGAAGGTAGATAGCCGGTTTTCCGATCTTGTTTAGGAACAGGTTCGAGGGTACCTGCATGAGAAGATATCTACAATCTCACACGTTAATTTCGGCATTATCCCGAAGAGACATACACATAAACTTACCCGACGAATAAAATGCTAACGGCAGTCTATGCGACAATATTAAAATCAATACTCCCAACTATAGGTTAATAGAATGCGTACCTGGAACTCGCTCGCATTCGGATCCAAGTTCAAGTCTTCGGGTAGACCCGCCAATTTTGCTGCCGCGATATTGTTCCTACGCCACATTAACAATAATTTTCGGATAGATCCGTCGCAGATTTTCCTCACCGATCGATATAATTCAGAATATCTGCACCACAATCCTGAGTTAGCTCAACCAATTCGCGCTGAATAACCCTGATGTAGCAATCTTCGATGATCCGAACATAGAGGTAAACTAACACATAAGAATGAGTACTGGCAGCAATCTCAAATCAATCTTCCGCCTTAATCTCTTCTCGAGCTCGAGGCGCTGTTCGAGCGACAGTCTCGCGATAATTTCGGGAGCGCGCAATCCTCTCATGTTGGCTTGCGCTAGGTCCGCGACGTTCGGTTCGCCGTGGGCGGCAATCGCAACCTCTTCATCTTTGCCGATGGCAGTGTCATCGTTAGAGATAGCCCTCTCGGCCTCCGCCTTGTCGCTCGACATGCTAGACGACGTTATTATCTGTCTTGAGGAAGTTGACTCTCAATCGTCGCGGTATGGTAAGTGTAGGACGAAGTTTGCTATTTGAAGGATTGAGCGGAGCGGAAATATTTTAACTATTATGATTTCATTTATCATCCCAAGTTCAGAGTTAGTTGGGTATTGTATATGATTACCTAGCATGGTCCTCGGCGAGATAACCTGGATTACGGGATCGATACGACGCTGCATATCAGCCGTCGCCTATAGCACCTTACCTAGAATGGTGTAGAGGTACCTATAGGACCTATAAGGGGCCTAGACAATGGCATGCACAGCAGCCTTCTAGCCATCTCTTTCAGCAGGGTTTGTTTGAGCTGCAGCAGGCCGAGATTCTGTATTACCCCCCACGATCACGTACATTTTCTGGGTCTGATTATATTACCTGCTTGTTACTCTTTCCCCAGCAAAAAGACCCAAATGTAACTTACCTAGCATCCAGATAATTACCTATTTTTCTTGCCGAGGGTTCGGTTGTCGCTGATGAATGACCTGTAATGACGAAGTTCAAGCTTCTGTTTCGTACGCTAAACGAATAGAAATAAAAGAACGCTAGGCCTATGATTGGCTACGGTAAAATAGAAAACCCCTGCTAGCCCTACCTGAAGTTGTTTTAGTTGCTTGTTATCCCCTGGAGAAAGCCGGAGCTGCGGGGTTAAGCATCCGTCCCGCTGTACTAGCCGCGTTTACCCCAGGGGGAGGCCGAAAGAAACGTTCCTTCGAACAACTTAAAGTTCTTATTTTCTTCATCTCATCATTAGTCCGGTATCTTCGAATCCCGATTCTTCTTTGAATGAGCCTCTTTGATGCATACCTCGAGTTTGCTAACGACACGTGGAAAGCACGTACGAACATTTCCTAGGTATCACCGGGTCGCCTATGCTAGGGGCCTCAATTACGCTATCATCCCATCGGTATCATTAAACCGACGAAAACAACGAGAAGTGGGCCGTTCGCTCTCAATTGAGCCGTAGAATAAATAGAACTTCATCCCATGAGAAGATGCCGTTTCATCTCCCATACCGAGGTTCTTGTTTTAGAAGTCGCGTCTAGATCAAGATCAGTAATGATATGAGATCTAGCACGCTTGGCTAGTTTGCGGGGGTAACACCCTAAAGAATAATCTCCTCCCCTAAAAGAGAAGCGATCAAATCAGACTAGAAGCTGGTAATGTGACATCGTTTCCCCACGAAATATTAGTCTACTTCACTAACGATGATGCTCATTAAATGTTGTTATTTTATTAGAATGGGTTTTGGATATAAAAAACTCCTCCGACCTGACTGCCTGACCGGACTCAAATTTCCTCACGTGGTATAAAGATCCGAAAGTAGCTCCATCCGCCTTGTTTCGCTCTGGCCTCTTTCGAGGGCTTTCTCGAGTTCAGTCTCCAATATGACATCGATCTCCTTTATGCGCTTCTTATTCTTATATCCCCCTAGCATGTCCGACAACCTGTCGAGAAATCCGGACTTATTTTTCAGCTCCTCTTTCTCCTCTTTGAGGCTGACAACTCGGTTCCTACTCGCCGAGTCGAAGCAGACGTGATACATACTGCAGTATGTCTTCCATTCGATCGCGCAATCCACCGCTTCACCTCGAAAGAGCCACGACCAGAAGTGTTCCCATATTCTTCCTGTGATGTAGTCATCCCAATGGGTCTCCACCAGCCAATTCATGCTTGTTCTGTACTGAGACTTTGGACGCCTTCTTATGGCCTCTTTCGTAACTGCAAATTGGGAACAGCAAGGCCCGGCAAGGATTTCCGGGACGTCATCCGTGCCGAAGTTCTCGCTGAATGCTTCCCACATATAAATCTCCTCCAGCTTGCCCGTGTCCAATTCGGTTTTAGTCGTATTGATCCAGTTGGGGCACGCATTCTCCCATGATACGCGCAAGTTGAAATACTGCCGTTGCTGGACCTGGGCGAGGTCTAAATGCGACATAGCAAATGTTACGGATGAGTTCAACTCGCTCTCCATGTGCCATGGGCTCTCATCTGCGTGGGTAAAGAACGTGATGTCCGGGAGATCGTCGTAGAAATCGTGCATGTAGGTGAGGTAGATGAGAGCCTCACGTCCCTTCTTTGCGACCGGTGGGTGATAATCCGCGTCCAGGTCATCGCTAACATAACGGATCACATTTAGGTTAGGAATGTCTATATTTTCTGTCCAGGAAATGTCGTCTCTAGACATTGTAGCCAACACCAGGTTGATCGTAAGGTTATGTCTATCATGGTTGGTGGGTGTATCGGTGTGACTGTTGCCGATATCGATTTGGTTGTAACCATCATGCGTTGGTTTTCGATGATGTTCAACGGGCCCGAAATTCCTAACGAGAAAGAAAAACGAGAATATAAGTATAAGGGCTGGAAGCACTATCCTCCAACATTGCGGCAACCAGAGGCTGCAAAAGCCCTTTAAGGATGGCATAGGTAAGAATATGACCAATGGCGCATCATCCCTTGTCGGCTTGTTTCTTCAATCCGAGCTCGACTTTGGACAGGGAAGAAGATATCATCGCATAATGTTATTGTTATGTTGTTGTCGATAGAAAGGAGGTGGAAGAAAAAGTGAGAAAGAGGAGAACCGGATAATCAGGTGAGATGGGAGAGTATATCGAATAATGATGGGGGCGGAACCAGATGAGAGTGAGAGAATGGTGGTGTAACTATGGTAGCTTGTTGCAGTGCGGTGCATACAACCAAGCGGAACTTAGTAAGGACGCCCAAGCAGGCACCAGCAATAAAGTACCGGAGAGTGGAAGGAATTACGAGTGACATCAACCGTGCAGCATTTAAGTGGCATGGATGACAGATTGGCGATCCCTCTACAGAAAACAGAGCCCCCTAGGGGTTTATGGGTTCCAACAAATGGTAAATTGATACTCTTTTTGAACAAAAAATCTAACCGCACTGCCACCCCATAACTTTTTTTTACTGTTCTATTTCAATACGCGTCACATCACGTTAAAACAGTAAACTAGCAATCAGAATTGGCTTTCCAACATGATATTACCTTGGAAGTTCATTAATGTGACGCCATTTGTTAGGAAGAGGGCCCACTTGCGGGTTCCTTACCAAAATCTTAGATCTGCCTCTTTTTCAATGTCAAAACACAGCTACTACCTTTGATAGTTTACGACTTGCTATGGCAATGTGCTTTGACTTTCAGGTTATCTGAAATTTTATAAACTTAATCTACTCTGATCTGTAACCTAGAATAAATCTATTTAGAACTTCTAATGTTCTAAATTACTATCTCAATTCGATATTCAAATGGTCTGTATTAAAGGAAGATTTAAGTCTTAAGGAGGGAGAATGTAGGCGAGGCATATTAAAAGTAGTTTTATTACCTAAAAGAGATATAATTGCAAATCCACACGCCCCAGGATATTCGTTTGCCCTGCCATTATTGGTACGGTGAGACAATGTGGATGATGGTATGGAACAATGGAAGCTCGAGATTGGAACAGCTAAACTTGATAGATTGAATAGGGGGATGATAACATGTGGGTTCAAGGATAAAAAATTGCCCACCTTCAATTTTACTAGAAGTAACAGATGGTTGATCCCGCTGACGCGCACAGCCATTACGAGGCTCTTTTCCCTTAACCGTCCTTTACTGTGTTTTCATTGGTTCCTATTGGTTCCTGGTAAGATAGTCGCGAATCGCTCCCGGCTCCGACCCGCCGGGACCCACTAACAATCTTCCCTGAATCCACTAGGAGAAGGAGAAAAAGCGGGAAGGCACGCGATGTATCTCCAAATCTCCGTCCCGAGACAGAATATGTACAACATTGCCAACATTTTTTCCAATTACATACATAATATTGTCTAGTTCTTCGTCAGCTTCTTGCGTTTTTGTTTTTGCGAAACATGGATCTTATCGACTAGCCTGGCAAAGATATTTAAGAAGCACCGGTCTTCGCTGTCCAGAATAGATGCGATTACTTCGACCGCGCATAGAAGCTGACAAACTCTTCAGAATTATTCGGTGCATTACGCAAGCAACGCCTAATACAATTCGTTCAGCGGCGTACTTCGAAAACCGGATAGCTTATCGGCAGTGTTCTATATCTTGCAAACATGATCTAACAAAAATACATCTGATGTCGCTCACCTCCTAATTCATACCATCCATCGGACTGTTGGCGTGAGGTGGCGTCCGTAGCATGAACCGTTTCATCGACCGAAGCTCGTCGTAGCCTCCACCAAACAAAACAGATATTCAGTCATGCACGGAGAAAATATTGATTACTAAGAGCGCATTTCGGAATAACTGCCGCAGTCTTCTTCAGAAGGATTTGAAAATTTAGGCATCTGAATAAAAAAGCAACTTTGTTTCTCCGCATGTTTCTCTTCTCGCTCTCGCTTGCCTATCACACGCATCGTCACATCAGAAAATGCAAGATTTAGGCTTGGCCAGCAGCGGTTCTTCTGGTACACCAATACTTGTCGCTCTCTTCCACCACGATCCTCCCCTCCTCTTCCAACGGTCCTATGACCTCGATATCCTTCTGCGGACACCCTTTCAGGAAGTCACTGGTATGCCAATTCATCGTGAAATTCTCCGTATTCCCGGGTCCCGTCAACTCGTACAGCTGGTCATTGGTACCCGCGAACACAATGCGGCCTATATGCGCCCACTATGATCTCCCGTGCCGTATAGTGTAATTTGTCAGTTCCAAGTTGAAGTTGTACACCCCGGCCAGGCAGCGACATTCTCAACCAAAAGTCCCCCGCCCCAAGCCCAGAACCAAAATCAAAAATGAAGAAAAAAAAGAAGTCCCAAAAGAGAAGCTCTCCGGGACCGAAATGGAACATAAACTCACGTAAATAGTGGCAGTGCACATACCGCAGGGCTCCCATGTGCTGAACAGCGTGCACCGCCATAAGTAGTCCTTGGGATAATGCGTGTAAGCTAGCCGCGCGAGGCAGCTCTCGGCGTGGTTTACTTGGTCCACGGATTGGTGCGTCAGGAGTATGGTCTCGTTGTCCGGGGCTAGGAGGACGGCGGCGAAGGGGCGTTTGCCGTGGGTCACGGCGCGTCGCTGGATCGAAAGTGCTGCCTGGATGCCTGATGCGATTTGTGCGGCGGTCAGGGGGGTGCGTGCCGGGAACAAGGCCGGCGCTAGGGTCGCGGCTGTGCTGGCTGTGCCGGTTTGAGATGACATTGTTGGTGGGTGAGGTAAGTGTTACCTGGTGATGCGGGAAAGACCTGCCTGATGCGTATTTGATGGATGGTTTCATGCACTCGAGGCTTAAGTCCGGTTGATCGATTGGAGATATGTTATTGCCGGGTAGTAGGTAGGTAAGTTACGAGATAAATCTTGTAAAAAAACGTGGTTGACAAGAGGTTGAGGTTGAATTAGCAGGCACTTGCGGGCAATTCCGGGCCTAGAGACACTGCGAGACCACTTGATAAGAACAGTGACCCCGCTGCGGTGCTTCCCGTAGGCTCGCCGTATTAATACCATCACCACTATTCCATACTCCGACCAATGCAGAAATAAAGACTACGATGAAATTATCTCCTAAGATTAACCATTTCTTAACCTAACCCACGTGTAATACACTGCCCTCATAAAATACACCTAACAATTGACCAACTATAATTTAGCATTCGTACCTCCTAACTTATGCTTGATAGGTATCCTAGGATGATCACCAGCTAATTTCAACCCAGTAGCGGCTTCAAGTTGATCTACCGCCTCAAACGTCCTTCCTAACGACACTTTGATAGTGCGAAAACCGGCAGTCTTAGCTGCCTTTAGATTCTGACCAATGTCGTCCAAGAACACGATATCATCCGGCCTCACACCATCCCGCCAACCCAACAACCTCCCTCGATCCTCTGAAGCGTGTGTTTTAGCATAATTATCCACCTCGTTCAACGCATACTCGTATATCTTCGGCTCCGGTTTCCGCATTCCTACGTGCGCCGATGACACGAAGACGTCGAACAACTTCCGCAAAGGCTCCGCGAAGAAATCTTCTCGATATAACGCGTGGCCCGGAGGGAAGATAACAGTATTGCTAAGAGCAGCGATAATAAACTTCCCGCTCGCCTTCAAGTTCTTAAGAGCGGGGTACATCCACGGATCTGGCGACGTTGATGAAGTCATCATGTCGTTGAAAAGCCATCGTCCATCAAGTTTTGGCACCGGGGGAACTTCTTTAGGGAGGTTGGGGTTTTTTGATTGTTGAGACTTGTAGAATGTGTCCCACCGTACCGGGTCGTGGAGATCCTTGTTGAAGCCAGCGTAGAATTCATCGTCTAGGGTTATTTCGCCCCTTTCTAATTTGTGCCAGAAACCATTGGGGGCGGTTCTAGAGATGGAGTGGTTTATCCATCCTGGTGGTATTCCTAGACTTAGTTCGTAGTCTAATATGGATTGGAATGGCGACACGACCTATTTCGATATTAGCACTATTCATAAATAGAATGATTATGAATAGGATGAAGTAACATATGTTCTCCTAAGAAACAACAAGAGTTCAGAATCATTGGTTGGGAAGCCATTGGGACTTACGCAGACACCACCGATATCGAATAAGAGCACTTTTGGTTGCTTTTGCGCTGCCATCACCGAAGTTGTACACTACCCAGGCATTAGACCATTTGACAATAGCAATAAAAATACTATAACAGATTAATATCACAGAATTTAGACTCTATATTAAATCATTGATTCTGTATAGTATATGAGTTGTAGGAAATCATCGTCCGAATTTCCATCATGATTTGAAGAATCCAAGCCACCCGAGAGATGCCTCGGTTGATGTAAGCCATAAAGATACGCTAAGAGGTACTCAGGTACATGCCATGCATCTTGCAGGATAATTGAGTGGTCCGTGCATAAGCTCGTCGCCGACCCAAGTTTGAAACTGGCTTAACTCGTCCCCCACCATCCCACTAAACAAGGGTTGACAAGCGAATTTTCGCCCACATTCACTAAAAATTAAATCCACCTGCTTACTTTTCCTGTCGCGAATTTGATTTTCTTTCCCTTCCTAACTCCAACAACTTTCGACCATCCAGCTGATAATTTTCCATCATCAGCCAATTCATTCAAGATGGTGAGTACAACATAAACATAAAGTCATTGCGATGCTAGAAATGGCGAATATCGCAAATATGACATTTGATTTCAAGAGTCAATGCAAGATGCTTCGGATTGGAGGATCATGAAAAAAATCTGAAGCGCAAATTGCTGACTCGATGGGATTTCAATAGGCGTTCAACAAGGTGGTCAAGAGCAGCTCTTACTACAGGTGAGTAATTAATTTCCCCTCTAATCCATCAATTCATCAGCAATTACCGAGACAGTAAAACTAATTGCTATTTCGCAGCCGCTTCCAAACAAAGTACAAGCGCCGTCGTGAGGGTAAGACCGACTACTACGCCCGCAAGCGTCTCATCACCCAGGCCAAGAACAAGTACAACGCCCCCAAGTACCGCCTGGTCGTCCGCTTCACCAACCGCGACATCATCACCCAGATTGTCACCTCCGAGATTGCTGGTGACAAGGTTTTCGCTGCCGCCTACTCCCACGAGCTCAAGGCCTACGGCATCGAGCACGGTCTTACCAACTGGGCTGCTGCCTACGCCACCGGTCTTCTTCTCGCCCGCCGTGTCCTGAAGAAGCTTGGTCTTGACGAGACCTTCACTGGTGTTGAGGAGCCCGATGGAGAGTACACCTTGACTGAGGCTGCCGAGGAGGATGGTGAGGAGCGACGACCCTTCAAGGCCTTCCTTGATGTCGGTCTTGCCCGTACCTCCACTGGTGCCCGTGTCTTCGGTGTCATGAAGGGTGCTTCCGACGGTGGTATCCTCGTTCCCCACTCCGAGAACCGATTCCCCGGTTTCGACATGGAGTCTGAGGAACTTGACGCCGAGACCCTGAAGAAGTACATCTACGGTGGTCACGTTGCCGAGTACATGGAGACTCTCGCCGACGACGATGAGGAGCGATACAAGTCCCAGTTCCAGAAGTACCTCGACGACGACATCGAGGCTGACGGTCTTGAGGATCTCTATACTGAGGCCCACGCCGCCATCCGTGAGGACCCCTTCAAGAAGGCTGAGAGCGACGCCCCCAAGAAGACCAAGGAGGAGTGGAAGGCAGAGTCCAAGAAGTACAGGGCAGCTAAGTCCACCAAGGCCGAGAAGGAGGAGAGAGTTAAGGCTAAGATTGCCGAGCTCCGCGAGGAATAAGCGGTTCGCTATGGATAAAGGGAAAAAACTGGCAGTCCACATTTACGGTTGTCTTCAGGCATCGGAGTTTATAGGGATGGCTCATTGACAGGTCACAAAACGAATTAATGAAGTTTATGCACCGTCATCGTATTGATGTTGAATTGTGATTGTGATTGTTGTCCATTAAGTAGTTGAGCATCGCGTATGTCCCTTGCCTTCTATACTCTACTTCCGTCTCAATTCTATCGACCAAGAAAGTAATCAAAGTCTATCTCAACAGTTTTTAAGATCTGGCGGTCGGAGATAACGAATACTAACGTTAACTCACTTCGCGAGCAGATTTAGTACATAGCTCTCCCCACACCTAAGCGTGTAGAGGCAGAATCGGGGGAACAAGGAGTTCATAAAATTCGCCGGATCGCCGGTCTTCCAGCGCCAAACTCACCTTCAACCTCTTTATATACTACGACAGGCTCAACCCAAGAGGTCGGTGTTAAAAATTGAATGAACCTTTTTGACTTGTAACTATGAATTTTTGCTGCTAACGATGGGTCAGGCATCATGTAGCGTCGTCGTGCCCTACGACTTTACGTCGCCACATCAATTCCCGACGGCACAACAGCAGCTCCCGTACCTAGACGATTTATCCGAATGGAAGCAGAATTTTTTTATTTTTTATTTAGGAAGCTCAGATTCCAAGTATGTAGCGATATAAAGAGACTGATCTCTCCGGCGAAAATCCCATACTTGTGAATTTGAACAACCCGATCGTATATATTCAATTATCTCGCTACCGTATCAAGAACTAGAAGCTACTGTTGGAACGATGTCAGCAAATACGAAAACCTCGCCGGGTCGCCTACTGCGCTTAAGCTTGCAGATTTACGCCAACCGTAATAATACGCGCGAGCAGAATGAAGCGTTCGTGCGTGAGTACTTAGTTAAGGTAGCGACTATTCATGCGAGGAACGGGATTGAGATGTACCAGCAGGTATGTAGCGAGTGCAAAATGTCGGAATTTGGGGTGTGCTGATAGGCTTTTCTTCAAGGTCTTCTCACCCACACCGCTGCGTAAGGCGCTAGATGAGATGAATAGGAAGTCAAATAGGGGATGGGTTGTTGATGTAAGTTCCGTTTATTTTATTCCTACGTTCATCCCCTTTTCTCCTATCCCCTATCGACCCACTTTACTGACTCCCTTCCCCTTTTTCTTTCAACAGGACCATGACCTTACGGTAGAATTCTACTTCCGCAATTTCGCCGCGCTTGAGAAAGTACGCCACGACCCGGAGTTCACCGCGCTGCAAGCCACCGAGGGTCCCTTTGTGAATTCGGTGCATACGGTCGCGTCACTTGGGTGGGTGGAGAAGTACGTTGACAGTGGGGAGGTCGTGAATGTGCAGGGCGGGAAGTCGGTTTATCCTGGTTGGGCGGAGATGGAGGATTTGTCGACTGCGTAGCCGGGCGTTGGGTATATGTAACCCTAAATTGGCGGGCTGAATAGACTAGGTTGAGGTTGAATAACTACCTAGGTAGGTATTCCTTTTTAAGAGATACCCCCACCAGTATAATTCCTACTCATTCCTTCAGATTTGTTAGTGGGGGCTTTTTTCTACGTTCAATACGTGACCTTCAACCCCGAATAGATGTTCACAATGATAATTTAGGGGAACCAGACACGTTAATTGAATTATTATACCTTAGGTACTTAGGTACCTAAGAATGCTTCTTAAAGCACGGCCATGCTGTGCCTGCTGACTCAACGCAGCATTGTGTATAGTGCGTGCAGAAATTCTGGGCGGGGTTGATGTAAGCTTCAAAATTTCGAGGCAACGCGATTACCTATCTAAAGGCGTTTGCATCCGCGACTACCGTCTAACCAAAACTACGGTATTACGACAACAAGGTCCCATAATGAGTGATCTACAGCAAAGCGAGGCTCTTAATCCCTATGCTTCGCTATGCAAACAATGCGAGGGCTTCTTAAGCAGATTATTAACAGTATATTCCCATCCTGAGAAAGAAGGGGGGTTGTCTCAAGAACATCGACGCGCCCCTCCTATACCAGCGTGTTATCTTTGTAGTGTATATGTCGCCGAATTTGCTCATACGCAAATATTCCTAAACACAACCGGAGGTCGGTTTCTACGATGGCTTCGGCTGTTTCTCTGATAAGGCTTATAACATAATTCTCCACCCGTACCACCATCAAGGTGCGTAAAAATAGATGCCTCGATATTTTCGAATTATCTAGCTAAGAAAAAAAGTGGCTATGAAACATGGTTTAACTGGTGGTTCAATCGGGACCGGATGGACAGCAAGCAAAGTTCAGCTCGCTCGCAGATGGCTCAATAAGTGCCTCGAGACTCACGAGGGTTGTACCGTGGATACGATAAAAAGACGATCAGATTCGCGTATCTCACCAACATATTTGATCCGCATTGAAGGAATTAGCTCGGCCTTCTCTGCCCGATTGGTCGATACAGAATTTTTCGGCGATGACGTCCGATATCTTGCACTGAGTCACTGCTGGGGAGATGCGCCGTTCATGACACTTACTTCGGATAATATCGCTAATTTCAGGGCCAAGCTGCCATGCGAAGACCTGACCTTCAACCAAACATTCCGTGACGCTTTCAAGGTGACTCTCGATCTAGGTTACAACTACATTTGGATAGACTCACTTTGCATTGTGCAGAACTCACCTACAGGTTCTCACTGGACGAAAGAGTGTCCAAAAGTCGGGCATATCCACATGAACTCGGACTGTAACGTTTCAGCAACTGGGTACAAAGATGGATTAGTTGGGTTTCTTAACCAAACTGCAACGAATAGTCCTGTCATGAAACTCAATATACCTGACGTTGGTATTGTCTATATGTATCACCAGACCTTCCACTGGGAACTCGTACAAGAAGAGCCGCTGATGCAGCGAGGTTGGGTCTTGCAAGAGCATTTCCTTGTAAGCCTGTACCACCCAAAACCAAGGATTTGACAACTCATATAGCCTCACCTAACAGGCGCCGAGAGTCCTCCACTTTACGCCCAAAGGCTTATTTTGGGAGTGTTCTACCTGCGTGTCTTCAGAAATCTGGACCTGCTCAATACCGCGAACATTGTATTCGAGAAAGCAGCACTTCTCAAGAGCGCTTCGAGAGGTTGATCAACATAACCTTCCTAGTCAATTTAGCGATGAAGATCTACTATACATCTGGTATAGGCACATTGTCAGTGCTTATGTTAATATGCGTCTTGGGGACGCTATGGACTGGCGGCCATTTTTTAGTCACGGCTCAAATGCCGTTATATAACTGGCCACTGGGAGACAAGGCTTGTGACGTCGCTGGGCTGGCGTGGGCTTATAGAAAGCGATGTCCATATTTCTCAGTATATTGCTCCGACATGGTCTTGGGCAAGCATACCAGGAACCGATATATCTCTGCCATTCAGCTACTCAAGCGTGCGCGAATTAACTAAGCTTTTAGACGTATCCGCCACAGCGTCCACGGACGATCCCACAGGGAAGGTCAGCAGTGGATACCTGAAGTTACGTGGCCCAATAAAAGAGTTTGAATGGGATCCGGAGACCGATTCTCTGTTGACTTGTCCTGTTGGTATTTCATCTCCTCGAGATAGCATGTCTGTTTTTTCGGGCATGACATGCAGAATTACCAATACTTTCGATTCAAACCTCATCCAAACAGGCGGGTACGACGATCACGAAGGGACAGGCATTTGTCCGCATTGGGCCCGACAGATTTCCTTGGTCGCCCTTACAGTCTCTCAACGACGAGGAACAACTCATGAAACGGTAGAAATAATGGGCATCATGCTCCAAAAAAAAGGAAGAAAATAGTGATACTCATGTGCGCGTAGGGTATTTTAACTGTACTCATTTTGATAGGAGACCCCCAGAGTCAATAAACCACCCTCGAGAAGAAACTAACGATTTGGGGGCTCCTCCGTATGGGTTGACTCTCGACGAGATTTATAATCTATATTTGAAGGAACCGATGGTTGAGGTCACGATTTTATAGTATGCTGGGTATATAGATAACTTGGTCTTGACTCTTCGCCTGAATTAGTTAAGGGCTTTCGTATCACTTCCTTCTCACAGTATCTGAACAATGTATCTTGATGTGATCAAACGACGCCCAGCAATTCAAAACATTGCTTATAGTACCTAGCTAGGTACCAAATCCCAAACCAGACCAGCTTTCATCCTTGAACTCCGTTCAGGCATACTTGAACTTAATGCTAATCGTAATATATGACACAAACGCCATTTTCAGAACCCGATGTTCATTTTCATGAAAACTTCAATCCATTGCAGGTATCGTTTGTATGCGAACTATGTGATTCATTAGACCTCACCCGCCTCAAGGCATGGTTAGAAGAGGGGGGAATGGATGTTAACGAACCAATGCTACTACCAGATAATGCCATGGTTCTGGTCTGGAACGACGGAACGGCAAAAAAAAAAAAAAAAAAAAAAAAAAGAGAGAGAGAAAAAATATAGTATAGATGGGAAGAGGAAAGAGTGTTCAAGATCGAGCTAATATCTGCTATAGACAATATAGATTATTCAACCTATATATTGAGACCAGGTATCTGCGTTGTTAATGTATAGAATGACGATAAGAAAAGAGGAGAGGATCCAAACCGTAAAAATAAGAAATTATCAAGGAAAATTGCACCCCTTCAACCAAGTCAGTCCAGGATAAAAATAGTCTCGTCCCTATCTTTATTAGTATATATTATACATATAGTTAGTACAGTAACCGACAACCTGCAGCAAATTAGTCCAACAGTCCGAGTTCGCCCTTATTCAGAACCGCTATGTTAGTAAAGATAAGATCGCGAGCTTGGTTTGCTAAAGACTATTAGTATTTATCTCTCAAAATATAAGGCTGGTCTTGTTTCTATGATGTTAGTAGATTTCCCCTGAATATCAGTAATCACGTCAAACTGTAGAAGAGGTTAAGGGGTCTCATGGCGCGTCATTCGAGCTTGCTATAGTTAGTAGTTAGTATGTCTAGTACGGTGTGTTAACCTTATATGAGATACTCCTATGGTTAGCCACGATAGTTTCTTATTAGTAGACAGTTCTTAGGTATGTATATGTGCTGTTTATGTTAGTGAGTTAGTAGAACCTAAATAGAACCTAGTCAGTGGAGCCTAGTTAGTATGACCAGGTATTATATACCAAGAAAGATGTTCTAGATTCGAGTGGAGTTAGTCTGGGTACCAAGTGAAGTATCCTGCTGATGGGTTAGTAGAGATATGTTGATATGGATTGCCTATGCTACCTAAATTCATATGTTAACAAAGAAGTCCATGAGGACCAAACCTGTGTCTTCGTCGAGACGTAGTACGATCTCGCGGCTACCTGAGTTTGTCAGTAAAACAATTGAAAACTAAATACTAGAATATGTTAGTAGTCTGTATATGATATAAGTCATTTGCTGTGCTCAGTTAGTGGCTAAATAAGTTAGGTGAAGCTGTCTTGATTAGTATATGGGATATCTTAGATCTGATATAGATGGAATGAGAAAGAGTGAAGATTCTGGTTGATGATGGTATTAGAATTTGTTCGAGACACCGTCAAGCTGGTGTTTATAACATATTTTAATTATTGAAGATGTAATTTCACCCGGAGTAGTAATCGGGCATGCCGACTTCGTAGGGCTGGAGAGAACGGGGTATGCTGCCTTGTTCTAGAAGTTCCGGCGAGGCGCAATAAACCTCCGGGACAGGGCATGGTGCGCTGACGCCATTCAACACCAGCTCTATAGAATTAGGCTATTCATTATCCAATGCTTTAGGATTAATAATGGATAGTCTCTTAGGTAAGATCTAAAATAGAAACAGCTTTTCAAATGCCATAGCTAGCTGTAGCAGTAGATGGTATGTTATTGGTGTTAAGAACTGGGACTTCATTTCCCCGATTACTCAGGACCTCTCAGGGCTTGGTGGTATCCACAAGTTTAGTCCTAGCTGGAAGTGGAGTTTTTTGAGGTTATTTTGAAGTCACGTGCGCGGCGATTCTAGATTGCTACCTCCATTTTGAGTTTGATGCATCATTACGTAGAGGTGCAATGCAGTCATATGAAAATACTTCTACCTATTCAGAAATCATCTCCAAAAAAACGTCTTTCTCATTTCTCCTCATATTAATCCGAATCATCGAAATCGACGATTATCAGGGGAACCTGGGTTACATTAATATGTGCTGGCGGCCAATCGTAACTTGTTCAATTATCGTGCATGGCGAAATTCTATGTATTTTAAGCAAACCCAACAGCCACCGTTCGATGATCTACAACAAACAAATATCATGATATTGTGATATCGTATATGTGATATTCCGAATTGGTGTAATAGGTGGCGTTTCACTTATCCATATTATTCCTTATTAAGATTTCCGGTAGCAGAATATAGACTGCATTTAGTCTTTGTGTTCAAATGTTTGTTTGAAAGAGTCCTATTTCGTTCATCCTAGAATTTACTAGGCACTGCTAGGCTAATATTAGACGGGGAAGACAAGCTAACGTACCTTGCTACATATATCATATACCTAACCCACTTAATAGAAACTAATAAGAAGCAAGAATGCCGTCATATTGGTGTGTTTTGCGGTATTGCTAGGTTGGGTTTATTGGCATGTTCCTTGTACGAGTCTAAGTTGTAAAAAGTAAGGGAGGTAGATCTCGAAGGGTCTATTGAGACTTGACTCGCATAGCCCTAACTTTGACAGTTGTCAAGTACCTAGGTAAGAAAGCGGTCTTCAGCATTTCGCTAACTTGCATTGCGAAAATGAAACCATTTTCGATCACTTTAATCGTTTGCATTAATCGGCGATAGGCGACATGTGTAATTTATCTGGTTTCCAATAAGGTCCCGAGTAGAATCGGAGAAGTTGTACTATTTGTGTCATCCAGCGATTTAGATTCGTCAAACGATAGGATCGGTAAAAGCCGGAGTCAGCTGATGGGTTCATGCTGGTTCGGGTGGCCATGATGGTACATGTAGGTATCGGCTCACCTCGGACCAATCATATCATTAGATTTTCTTGGATGATTGCACGCATTCAGCCAGTTGTTTCATTTTCTTGGGTAGGTACGTCCCTCAATCTTTTTTATTTTTCGCCCCCTCACGCTTTACGCCTCATGCCATATGCCCATGCCATGCCCCTCTTGCCCTCCTCAGTCGATCTCTCAGTTGATCTTGCCTTTTTTTCTTAGCTATCCCGCCATTTCCACAGCTGAGAAGATGCATGTGACGTCTCTTGGTCCAAGCTTCCCTATACCATCCAGTAGATGCCGGTGGAGGTATTTACTAGCGTAAAATTGGTGCGGCGGGTACCAACGCACGTATGACCGCATAGTATCTAGTACGTACATCTAGGGTACCTACAGCGTGATACTCCAGGTGGATTAGTACCTCCAACTTCGTAGTAGTTTTGTACATACACATGTAGTAATTACATGTAGTTCAATGTTCCATTGAAACTTTGTTCTGTGCCCCCCTGCGCCTCCCGGGTTCGATAACCACTGAAAGCGCCGCCTCCCTTGAATTGGCGCTATTGCAGCATCTCGTGGAATAACCAAGTAGACTCGACTGCCCACCTTATCTTAAACTCGGTGTCCGCAGTGTTGCGTTTTGCGTTGTGTTACATTCCAATCACTTACTCACTTAGACTTTTTTTCTCCCCCTCCATCCAATCTACTCTAAGAAAAAATAGGAGTGAACAAAACTCGGGAATTGACGAAGGAAAACAGACGAATCTTGATACGAAGATCTACGTGCTACTGTACCTTCAAATTGTAACCATCTTTTTTTCTTTTTCTTTTTTTGCAATGTGCTGACATATCTGCACATCTGCGAGGTCGTCAAATCTTTTTTCCTTTTCTTTTTGAATGCAGCACCCTGCAAGCCTGCAAGCCCTGTCAAAGTTATCTCAATTCCTCTTTTCGTCCCTTAGTCATCCACCCAAACTTAGCGCATTCTTCGATTATTCACTACCTGGCCGGCCCTACTCTAGACCAAGTAAGGTGGTAGCTCGATAAATATATTGCATCACTTTCGCTATAGACTCGGTTCATCCTCCTTTAAGAAACGGGTGAACCCCACACTTTTTTCTTGAGCTCTAAGCCCTTTCTTATCTATTTTATGCCCTGTTTGTCGTCTGTTAGTTAGTCAGGTTACGCTGTAGTAAGGATCGGGATATATCCAATAAGTCGACCTTTTTTCCCTCTCAATCTTACCAACTTACATACACTACTCCATTATTCTTCAATTCTTCATTCGAGATGGCGAATTGTTTAGGAATAGCCCTTGCTTGACTGCGAAACGCATACACCCAGCAATTTGATTAAACGGGCTGTGCTCTATGGGACCAACACATCGATTTTATTGTTTCTTCTTTCAGCTTGCGATATCGCGACCGCGAAGTCCGGGAACTCATTAAACCAGCCATTCCCAACATCCTCGTCGGCGAGTCCACGCACGTACGCACTTACCCCAAGACCCGCCCCGTCGACGACGCCACGACGCAAGGCAAGACATACGGTCTGCTCGAAGGATTTGCATATATTTGGGGGTCTTAGATCTTAGGGGAGGATAACATTATTTCTAGATATTATACAAGGCAAAATAACTTGGTTCGCAACATCCACTAGTAAAACACAGCACAAAGGGAGCGGAATCCAGCATGGAGCATATTATGGATGTTAGCTGGATGACGCATGGAAAAGGTAATGTTTACCGTACTAATGCTTGAAAATCCCTCTTTCTATCCATTTCCTGCACTTCCTGGGTCACTGGAAATGGTTTGGCACATTTGGGAAGAGTACTAGAGGCTGACGACCCTCTCCGGGATACAGACAACTGGAGGGAACATGGCACGAATTGGAATGCAACTTCCAACCAAATTACCGATTCTCCTACCCCGAATCGCCCGTTAAAACCTGCCACCCCGAGCAAAGTCAATGGTAAACCTGCGTCCGCACCGCCAACTGCTTCTCCGGCCCCATTTCCCGCTCCGACAGAAACACCCGTGCCCGTCAAATCCATACCTCCACGTCCAGGTAGGACAAGAAGTCAGTCAAATGAGGGATCTCCAGGTCAAAATGGCACACCTCCCCAGAGGAAAGGATCATGGTTTTCCAATATTTCGTCTAAGTTCTCCGGATCTCCCTCGAATGGAAACGGAAATGCAAATACCGCGCCTCTAGCTCCGATACCCCAATCTCCCGATACAGACGATGTAGCTCCTTTGCCGAAAATATCACCCAGCAAGAATGCCGTTCTACCCCACGCATCGCGACAAAATGGCGATGCTCCATATATCCCCGCTCCTCCCAAAGCGAACCAGCCTGGTTTCTTAGGTGTCTTCCGCCGCTTATCATCTTCGAGTGGTAACATAACACCAGGCTCAAAAGCTAGTCATGGTCTCGTAGAGCGAAAAGTCTTGAACGTTGATAAACATCGAGAGAGGTGTAAGGTCAACGAACTCAGCCAAGCAAAGCTTCGCCGGGTTGCCTTTTGCGTAGATGTTGAAATTGCACCGATGCCTAGATATGCAGATGAAGAGCCCGAGCCCAAGAAGCCTGCCGATAAAGCCCAGAAACGAAAGATGACCGAAAAGAGCGAAGGAGAAGCACTGAAGAATCCTAAGGCTTTGGAAGAGCAAAAGGAAAATATTGGCGTGGTGAAGGCAACTGGTGAAGTTCTTCCGAAAGAGCCGGAGAAAGAGGGTATCGAGTCGACAAACGGACAAGCAAAAACCAATGGAGTCGCGAAGGAAGACGAACCCGTAAAAGAAAAGGAGACTACCCGCAAGAAGGAAAAGAAAAAGAAGAGTGAAGCGGAACGAAAGGCTAAGAAGGAACAGAAGCGTAAAGAGGCGCTTGAGAAGGGAGCTATCCCTATGGAGCTGCACCTTGACAGCGACAGTTCGACAGAAGACCTCTCAATACATTCGGGAATATCAAAGATGCAGTCTGTTCCAACCACAAGCCCGGGGAGGATATATCGACGATGCTGTCAATTGCGAGAGACAGATATTCTAACCAAGATAACTGGGCAACTTCCAAAGACTACCGCATCATGCGAGAATGGTATTGTCGAGAAGCTGGACCTCACCGGGTATTTCATGTCGCTGCCAGACTTAATTACTCTGGGAGATTTCCTAGCTGTTGTTCCTATCAGAGAAGTCATATTGGAGGACTGTGGGTTGACTGATGAGGGCGTCCGAGTCATTCTCGCCGGCCTCCTAGCAGCTCGAAGACCAACGAGCACTAGACTGCGAAGATGCACTTCCAACTCGGTCGATTTAACCCAGCAAGGGGGCGTCGTCCAAAGACTCGTATTGAAGAATAATAGCAAGATTGGGGTTGAGGGTTGGAAACATATCTGCCTCTTCATCCACATGTGTCGTTCTATCAAATATCTCGATCTTTCGAATTTGACCTTCCCTAAAACCATGGAGCCTGCGAAGACACCAATCAGTCATCATCTCCACTACAACGTCGGACGTCATTCTCCTCCCCCGGCCCCACTCGATTTGGCTTTCCTACTCTCCAAGTCGATTGCAGAACGGTTGGCTGGTTCCGAGTTGGAACTTCTAAATTTCGGCTCGGTTGGGTTGACCACGAACCAACTTGGTGCTATCATAGACGGTGTTCTAAAATCAGGAGTGATAAGACTCGGTCTTGCTAACAACAACCTCGATACTCAAGGTGCTCAGCATGTCGCACGATACCTGCGTGGCGTGAAATGCGAAGGGCTCGACCTCGGTGGCAACGATCTAAGAGACCACATCGCCGAGATCTCTGCGGCCTTTGAAGAACACGACGAACTTTGGGCTCTTAGCTTGGCAAATTGCAATCTTCGACCGGCCTCTTTGTGCAAGCTGCTTCCGAAATTAGTGAAGCTTCGCAATTTCAAGTTCCTTGATCTATCGCATAATCCCGCGCTCTTTATGTCCGAACCCAGTGCTATCGGATTGCTTCGCAAGTAAGTTACACGAATATGGAACACATGGCTAAGTACGTGATGCTAATGTTGTTTTGTTAGGTATCTACCTCAGATGATTGGATTGAAGCGATTGCATCTCGCGGATGTGTCGTTATCATCAGAACAAGTCATTTCTCTTGCTGAAATATTGCCCGAAGCTAAGACTCTGGCGCACATTAATATACTTGAGAACCCGGATCTCGTAAGCTTGGCTGACGCTAAGACTGAAGAGGCCCAAGAGGAGGCATGCGCTCTATATGCTTCCCTCCTAGCCGCTGCTCGTGTGTCGAGAGCATTAGTTAAGGTTGACATAGAGAACCCTAGTTCCGAATCAGGCGAGGTTGTCAAAGCGTTGGCAGATCGTGTCGTGGTATATTGTATGAGGAATTTGCAGGGCGTACCGGAATTTCAGGATTCGGTCAGCGACGATAGCCAGCCAGATAAGTTACCGGAGGTTCTTCGACATCTTGTTGGCCATGAGGACGAATCTCCGCTTGTTACTATGGATGATGATAGCGAACCTGCACCCGACGAGGATTATGTCATTGGCGGTACAGGTGTTGTGAAAGCTCTAGCTTGTGTTCTGAAGAACCGAGGGGACGATACCAGGCGACAATCGAGCGAATTTACTAGAGACCTCGAATCCGGTATAACCACGCCTAGAACCCAGTTGCCTCCAGGAAAGGTCAAGGATATGTCCAAATATTTGCTTATTAGCGCTCGGAAGATCCGCGCACGGCTTCAGCCAGCCTTGGCTATGGCCAAAGCATCTTCCACCAAGGACATACACAACTACCGTAAGCTTAACACATTTTCCTTCTTCAATTTTGAATGCTAATCTTGATATAGATCGTCTTAGCTTCCTCGACCAAACTATCGAGGAAATCATACAACGCTTCGAGAACGAGTTCCCAGAAACACGGCAATTATCAACGGAGGCCCCTGCATCGGATCGTTTAACTGGTCCTGCGACTGAGCGCACGTCTATTTCATCTCTTGAAGTAGACACGGGTCCAATGTCGGATACGGAAGAGGCAGAAACAGTCCTTCGTTCGCCGAACTCTCGATCCCGGCCTAACTCTGTTATCTCCTTTACTTCCAAAGCTCTTGCGGAGGAAGAAGCGCTCGCCCTCCGTGTCGGCCATAGATTCCGCCGGGGCCTTCTACTTAACAAGGAGCATTATGATTTGCTCATCGGCAATGAGGAGATCGGGAACGATCCTAACCATGTAAAGGTCGTATCATCCATAATTAGCGAATTAATGGACGGAGACGAGGACGTAAAGAAGGCCGTCGAGGAGAAGGGACCCGTGCGTGCCTTCCAAGAAAATAGGGAGGAAATTGTAAGAAGATTGCGCGATGAGGATCCTCAGTACTGGGAGAATTTCATCGAAGCACAGGAGAAAGCCAGGGCCAACGTCCACGTCGAATCTAAGAACGAACTCCAACAAGATAACATTTCGGTCGACGAAGAGGCTATTTCAGACTAAGCGCAGTGCGCCATGATCGAAAATCGGGGGAATGGCAACGGATAAGGAAATCTAATATGTTGTATCGATATCTGTACCAATGCCAAGTTGCATTTTGAGCGTTCGAGGGGGACTCAACGGGGTATCTGTTTATTTATTTATTATTCGCGAACGGAAATATCGCATGTACGATATTCTCTGGCGTTCAGAGGCGTCGAACTTTGGAATAGCTTGGTAACTCACTACCTGGGAGGTAGTCAATAGGGAAAGGAAGTGTGAAAAGTTCAATTCAAATCGAGGAGGGAAGGATGGAAAGGAGACACGAATAGTGGGGATAGTGGACAGTGGCTCTCGAAGCTATAAGCTTAACTATAAGAGACGCCGTACTTGACTTTATTTCGCTATGTAACTCATCTTGACGAAGGAGAGCAGTGGAAGAGAAAAGAGAAAATAGCAGTCAAACCAAAATCGAAAATTGTCCCATCTACCCAAGTCTACCCTCATATACCCACCTATTTATCTGATACGTGTGCCGCATTTGTTGAATAAGTGCGTTGGATAAGTGGGCAATACAAAGACACCATCGGAGTTTTTTCGTCCTTGTTGCCGGTATCCGAGTGGTCCGGTGATTAGGTCCGTTGGTGTGCCTGTGTGCTTGTGTAGGTATTTATAGCCATTAGATAGGTTGGAGATCGGATGTTGTCTACCTAGGGTAAGCTATTTGATTAGTATATCTGAGTAGACAGGTAGGCAGGTTACCCGAGTTTATGTATCGGATGTGATGTAATTTATATATGCGTTGAGATATATGTTGGGAGTGATATGACGGGTGGTTATGCGCCGCGCCGAGGAGCCCGAAGATGGAGTATGGAAAAATGGAGATACATGTAAGTCCGCTTTGTCGCCGTAGTGTTGTAGTGTAGATCTATCAATGCATCCGTAGTATCTGTCAACGTGGGAAGTAGTAAGCGCTAACTGGAGGCTTATATTCGTATTTGTACTCTTCACTGGTCAGGCACTCTTTACTTGTATCTTCATATCTTTATATTTTGAATTTCTTCTTTAAACTCTTAATAGCGTACCTAAAACGTAACGTATCAAGAGCGTGTGCAACATAGCAATCGGCGTTTCGCGAGAATCAATCTCTTCTATGTCTTTCCCAGCAGACTATGCGCTTTTTTCTGCCTTGTGATAAAAATTGGTAAATAAGTCCTGTTCCCGTGTTTCCCTGCGCTCGTCGCATTCCTTCCTCTTTATCCTTCCTCCTTCGCTCGCTCGCGATATATGCTACCACCCGAGAACCACCCGTCCTATATCCAAGACCAATAATATTTAAATAAGGAAAAACACGCTATTGCGAACGCTCGCTGTTGGGTATAATGTATGTAAATATGTAATGACTGGTCCATGTCCCCTCTCTCGCTATCGCCGATCCCAAAAATGAATTATGCCGAACCCGAACCATGCCTAATAATATTCCGAAAAATGAGTGGCGTAGGTGAGTATGTTCTTAGACGTAGTTCCGTCCCGCATCAACACACCCTACGCTATTCGCCGAAAATCCGCACCGGCCGGGTCGCATGCCGGTACCTTCCTCGACAACACCCCATGTTATTGAACGTAGCCATAAATCTCCTTCATCTACTTGCGGGGCTTGTCCGGGCGGGACTACGTCGTGGTGATGGCACTTTGCACTAATAACGGCACTGCAAGATCCACCTTTTAGTACGAGTGGGTTTCCCTTGCCCTCACCGCTAGCAAGCGATGCAGATGCCGCGCGTCTCAAGCCTAGGGCTAGGACACCGATTGCGAGGGCTACTAGGAGCGCTAGTAATGTGAGAATTGCTTGCGTGCTGAATGAGACGGCTATTATATCGTCGGAAGGTCGCGATCCTGGGGCTGGCGGGTTCGTCGCGTATGAGATTACGCCAGGGAATACGGCTTGGCTGAGGACGAATCCCATTGTTGCGAACCAAGCTAGTAGAGTCCAGGATACGGGTCGTGGTAGGGTTAGGTAAAGGCTGGTATCTTGTTCGCCGACTGCGATGGAGGAGACGCGGAGTGGTTGGGACCGGAGCGAGAATTGCGAAAGTTCGTGCGAGAGGAAGTATGTCGTGACGTGGGCGTTGGTGACGAGGTACAAGACGGCGATAAGGAGTTGTGGCAGTGCAAGGACGAGTGCCATTTGGGCCTTGTCGATTGCGGAGGGGAGTAGGAAGGACAGGTGAGGCGTCGCGACACCGAAGAGGGTTAGACCATCGTCCAGATTTCCAATTAGCCCAAAAGCTACGGCTGTTGGGACTACGATTGCGATCCATGAGAACGCAAGCAGTATCCACCGACGAAGCGATGGTGTTTGGAACCAGTAATGGTTGGTGGGGACGAAGAATTGCGCCTCACTGGATACCCAGTTCCCTTGGCGAACGTCAGCTTTCGTCAGCAGGCATGAGTTGGCGGTCGTTGGATCGGGATGGCGGAGGAATGAGCGGATCGCGTCGCCAATAGTCACGAGAGGTTCGAAAGAAGACCTTGCTAGAATAACTGCCATTGTGATGACAGTTGCGAGGTTGATGAGTACTGCGATGCCGAGTATAGAGCCGCTAAGATTGACACTGCAGGTCTCTGGCGCACTGGGTCGTGCAAGGCAGTATTGAACTGAAGAGCCATCCGGGGCTGTGATGTCGTTGTTATTTGAAGAGAAAGTTGTTAGTGAAGTGCCGGACTGGCTAGTGTAGATGAGAGAGGTGGTTGTAGGATCGGTGGTTGTGACGAGTAATACGGCATCAAACGAAGGTTGGAAAATGCGACTAAATTCTTGTAGGCATGTAGTTGGAGTCATGTTAGTAAAAGTACCAGCCGTGTCTTGGAGGCTGATTATTTCAGAGTCGGGGAGTCCTCCCTCGTTGGTATTTGTGTCGTTATTGAAAGGAGCGTGGTCGAGAAACGATTGTGTTACGAATAATACTTCGTAGTTGACTATATTTCGAGTCGTGAAAATTACTGCATTATATCTGTACACTGTCAGTCCGATAAATAACTCCCATTTAATGTCGGAAGACGTACATTATTTGGGCAGCGACTGCACTCAACAATACAATGATTGCGAGTGCAGTTCGAAACCCCGAGATATGCGCGAAGTTGCGCAATGAGGGTATGCCGATGTCAAGCCAACGCTTGTTTCCATGCGCAACGGCCAACTCTCGCCTCGTCGGACTTGAGAGTATTTGGAAGACGTAATTTGCTCCGGCAATAATAGCAATGCCGCAAGCGTTAATGACAACGTGGATTCCCATGTTGATACGTTCGGCCGTTGCGCAACCACCCGAATAAATAGCTGATTCTCCAGAGAGAAGTCTAGCCCTTGCGATGACCAATATTAAACATATTATTCCAACGAGTAAGATTATAAACGATATTAAAGAGTTGAATATGACTCCACCTCGCCATCCGGTAATGTGTCTCCGTAGGCCGCTTTGCCTACTCCAACTACTAAATGTGTTTAAATCGTGAGTTAAATCCGTACTTGAGGAATAATAATGGCCATATTCAATCGGATGTGATGTATGCGTATCTCGGCGTGGCGTTGTGACTTCGACACCCCGTTGACCCCATTTGCTTCGTTCCTTTTTCCTTGCTAATGTCTCAGGTGTTTCTCCTCTCAGGAAGTTAACAACGTAATCCGGGACAATACTCCTATCTATGCTTGCCGTATCATCATGCGGACGGAAGAAAGTTCGGGGCTGCCAAGTTCGAAAGGTGAAGCGGCTCGATCTCGTTGTTGAATATGCTTCCGAGGCATTACGACCGTGAAAAGGCCAGGCGAATGAATTTTGTCTAGAGGCGCTAGAAGGTCCTGATTTTGAAGATGTGTACGGTTGGCCCTCCTCGATCCTATCGGATGCTAGATCATCAAGACGAATGTGATCACGTCGTAAACTACCTGCCCAAATGCTCGGTCTTCTGTTGGATGACTCCATAACAGTCGTATGCGTGTCTGATCGTAGCCGACTCATGGTTCCTAGTTTGTATTACAATCTCCATACCAAAATAATAGCACCAATTTCCATATCCGCAAGGCGAGGGCGTATGGATGATAAACCAAGAAGTGAATTGGGAAAACAGGGAACAGGAAACGAAAAGAAACCACCGCAACAGCAGGGACCCGGAACGAAAGAAAGATCAAGAGATCAGCGTAAGATCGAAGGCGGAGGGGCTGTCAGCTCTTTTGTATGGTATAAAAGGCAGAGCTAACACCAGAGAACGACAGGGGCCCCTCTTCTTCCATGATCGTCCCGGGGTGCTCAGTTATTAGGCATGGATCACGGAGAAGGGTGGGATGGGTAAGCGAGTGATTGTACGAGCCGCTCCGGGATAGACTGTTCAGGGTGCATCAAGTACGACTGGGGTCCGCATAGTCCCTCAATTTTATTGTACCAGAGGCCAATCAGAAAAGTGTGTTTCAAGCCGCTGGGTCTGGAATGAGCTTTTGCATTGAAAGCCCACCTAGGGGAACTAATGCCTCGTCGAGACAGTCCGCTGATGGAAATGATGAGATCGTCTAGACTTCTGGACGAAAAAAGGGATAAGAGGCGAGGGGATATTATAAATATATCCCAGCTAGTCGAGATAGAAAACCTGCAAGTCACTAGACTATCTTCAACTTTGAAGATCACCAAAAAGGGTCGGAAAAAAAGAACTTGGCCAACAAATGCACATACACTAAATGCCGGCACGGTACGTTAGGTCGCTAAAACATCACCAACCATTAGCTCCGGAGGACATAAATGAGATGCAACACAGCGCAAGACAACCAGGAAATAGGTATTACTCCAAAATCAGCCTCCCCCGCAGCGGGAAGCTGAATACAGCTGACTATTGCTGCAGCTTCAGAACCTTTAGAGTTAATCGTATGGCTAACTTGCTCCCTAGCAAAGTCGTACAGCTTGTAGCCGATTCGAAAAATGATTGTTATGCGACAGCAGTCAAGCATGAAAATGAGTCGAATCATAAGAGAATACGATATAATGCTTCCAAGAGTTCAGGATGAGACGATTGACTAAGCCTTTGCTGGTCGGATTTCCTTTTTCAGCGTATATAGCAAGTCCGCCGAGATAGGATGCTCTATTTCTTCCAACACATCACAGATTCGGCTTGGAACGAATGCCGCGTGCTGACGTGGGATTCGCTTGTGGAAAGAATCTCGAGTCTTGAGATCCTGTGTAGGTTAGGTTAGGTACCTAAGGCGTGCTAAGTTATAGGTGAGTACGGCAAGTTTTATGGTATTGGCATGGGTAGGGGGGCCCTGGACAAGCAGGGCTATGCTAGAGGCCCTTGTCCTGTTTCAGCCCACCATGAGGGAAATGTGATAAGGCCTGGAAAGCCCACCATCGTCGTCCGATAAATGCTGCTGTGCTCGGCTCTCGACAGGGCCCATGTTCATTTACGAGAAACAAATAGGGGAGGAGAATGTGAAATTGGCTCAGTCATCCCCTTTCATCTCCCTTTCAAACAACCGAGTTTTTTTTCCTTTAATGTTTCTTCCATGATGGAAATAGAACTCAACCTATCTATCGTGCAGCACGAATTGCAATTACTATCACATCACTGATCATCCGTTGTCGTCACCTCATTACCACGTTTCTTTGCAGTGATGCAACGGCGGTTGTGTGTGTATATGTAATGCACATACGTCATTGAAAGAAGAGATCAACGAGGTCGTATCAATGTGTCGACCTCTGATTCGCAACGAAAAGATGCCTTGCTAGACTGCAAGGAGAGAGGGGGGGCCGTATTGGGTAGATTGATTAGTGCGGTCCAGTCTGATTTTGTGATTTTTGCAGGTTCAGAATTTTTATCTTGGCTGTGTTTCAGATGCACCGCGAAAATGCCGTACAACAGTCCGCTATAAGTACCCTAAGTATCTTGCCGTATTTTACCCGGTGAGTTCTCCAAACAGAAAGCCACTGCTTGATTAAGCCAATCAGACTTGGCCTCTCTTGCTAGGGTGCTAGCGTCGTTACACTTATACAAATCCGATTATAGATGAATACCTACCTAGGTAGGTATGCTGGCAGTCTATGGAAAGTTGTCTTTAAAAATAATGATAGGGGAATTTTTGCAACCAGAAACGTAAGCACGTAATTCTAACATACAATCCATTATACCGAAGAGAGAGGGGTTTCCCACAGCTATCATGGTGAAAATAAAGACAACATGCATTCAACTCTAGTTGAACATGATTGGTTATTTTTAAACCTTCAATGCCTACATATATCACATATATCTATGTACCACTTGATGTTGTCACCTGTCACTTAAATTCAACGTCCACGTTGGCCATGAAAGTAAGATAAAATATCGACTACTACCTAGGTTTGTGTCTCGCTGAAAATGATATCCCAAGTCATGCCATTATGAAATAACCTAAGCAACCAGTTATGGATGCGTTTTCCGCATGTATGACTCGAACAATTAGACAGTCATAATCAAGTCTAGGAAGGAGATAATATTTGAAATGTAGATGCCATGAACCGATCTGGCAGTAGACGAATATCACTCCCTTCAGTTATATAGTATCCAGCGCGATGACCTTCGAGTATGCGGTCCTTTAAATAGGAGTTTTATGACTACCTGCTGTGTAGCTACGAAGAAGTGTCAAGCCACTACGATATAATCTACGCTAGTATGAGGAAGACCGTAATATTGTTATTGCGTACAATGAAATTGAACTGCGTTATCTACTTATGAAATGGGCGCTCGGAAACTTTGATGCTATTCCCAACTAAAATCAGGCTAGCTTCTTCCCAGTGGCCTCGCAGAGCACTGCGAGAGCGACTTGGTATAAGGGCCGGGGATGCAATGGTTATATTGGCAGAAAATTGGAATAGAGTCAATGAGGAGTCAATGAGGTATCACTTAGTATTTCAATACTTTTCCTACCTCAATGGCTCGATATTTTCCACAAGTCCTTGAAACTTACTGCTCGATCTTGCCACGAAGATCGGTTGCATGTTTTGAATCTGAAGGCTGGTGATTTTCTATGTATAATTAAGTTTTTGGTAACATATTTAGTGGAATCTACGAAAGTCAAATGCTGCTGGTTTGATTGAGCCTTGTGATCTTTATTCTCCTTTGCTCCTTCCTTATTTCCTTTTTCTCCCCTTTGGGCAGTGGCATTGGGCGCCCTCTTCCCTCGACTCGAGGATTTTGTTCACCTTTCATTTCTTCTAACTTCCAAAACCTTACTCACGACTTCGAACTGCCCGTGTTATCGACCTTACTATCAGTTTCGAACTCGGTGTCATCAATTTTCTTTACAAATTCGAACTGGTGTTATCAATCTCACTCTCAATTTCGAATTCGGCGTTCTTAACCTATTGCCCTGAAAGACATGGATCCAATGTCTCATCACGGAAAACGCAAGGTATGAGGATTTGGTGATGATTGATTACCTACTCATCATAAATAGCATGCTAACCTCATTGCCCTATTAGAGAGAGGAAGAAGGCAATAGGGCTGATAGAATGATCTACCGGCCGACTCACTACGAATTCGACGAAAATAATGTCGTTGTGGACTTACGCTGCCCTTACACAACCCCACAACTCTCAGAATCCATGTATAGAGATGCCGGAAATCCCAAAAGATCTCGACGTTCCCCAAGTAGTGCCCCCCAGCACCCGATTCAATGGCGCGACCACGACGAGGTCGCAATTGAAATAGGCAAATATAAGCAAACCCTGGCTCTCCACGATTTGGTGGACGAAGATAACTTCCATATCATGTTACTTCATAAAGATCGTGCCATTATCCAGGGCGAATTTGAACAGGTGGTGGATCTGGGAGGCAAGACAATCCAATCGTGGGGGAAGGAAAGGACCGCAAGTTTTTTTATGCTTAGTCTGATCCATGGAGAGGACGGGATTGAACATCGGACCGAGCGAAGGGACGGGGGCTTAGTGAACATTCACTACCAATGTCTCTCAATGAATTGGGATAAGGCGAAGGAAATGATGTCTAGGGCATTCCCTAAGCCGGATGGGTCGATGTTGGCATTGCTAGACATCAGGCCGGCGGTTACTCCGAGGCCGGAGCCGGGGTACCTGAAGCCTGGGCACCGCCTGGTGCGGATTGAAGAAGTGCTCTTCTAGAAGACTATGTGGAATGAAGCATGATGAAAAGGAAACTGTGCTCACGGATTAGGGGCTGGTCTGGCGTGGGAAGAATCTGCTGAATTGCGGCTCGGGTAGTTGAAATATCATTGTGCATGGTTATGGCTTCCTAAGACGCGCCTTCATACTACCTAGCTAGACAGATCAATGCGAGCGGGAACCGGTCTTTGATAGTCACAAAATACGAATGCAAGTCGAACCGAGTAGAACTGTATTTCCCCACCATTGGCTAATGCGAGTAGCATACCCTCAGCCCTTAGGTATATGCAGCTTGGTGCTACGATGGTACTAGGTAGTGGAATTGATATCCATTTAACGATAAACTTGTACTGCTTTGGTGGTGTCTTGCTGATAAGAGGTGATGGGGCTGTGAATGTGGGATAACCATAGAACATGGTAGCACAACCTACACCTACCTATTGGTAGCAGTATGTCCAGACGGAATAGACCAAGGTGAGGTGAAGAGTGGCGATACGAATAATCACGTTGATTCGCCAATAAGGACTAGCCGATCTCTTGTATCGCCGTCCGGAGCTCTCCATATGGAAAGATACTAGAACGGGGAAAGCCGGGGTTACCTGCTGTGCGATCTAGCCCCGAACTAATTATCGGTTGAAATGTTTCGAAACAGATCGTCCGGGACCTGATATCTCACGCGAGCATCCTTGGGACTATACAATTGTTGTGGATGTGGTGGGTGGGTGTCCCTGTTGCTGGGTTGGTGTATGTATTGACGCGCGATTCTCGTGCTTCTTCTAGTCGTCCATCGTGTCGAAGCCACGTTTAGTCGCCTGTATAGACCACCTTTTCTTCCCAGCCACTATTCCCATCTTTTATACAAGGTCAAATGTATAACACATCGGAATCGGTTATACTATTCTTCGTTTTGGTAGATCTTCAAAATTCATTGAATGTCGTAAGTCGAAATGGCATCAGGCGAGATAATGGATTTGTTGTCAAGAGAGCGCTTACACGACCTTCTTATACGAATAGGAAGAAAACAGGCGGCACCTTCGCGTTTATTTCGTGTCAAACTCGCGCCTGCATATAGGCCAAGCGCGATGCGGACAGGGGTATAGAAAAGACGGATAGCGACCTCCAGCCACTGAATTTTAGCTGATCTTCAGAGTGACTGCAATTCCTATTGGTTACTTTCTATCTAGTGGCTTTCAAACCCCGCTCTGTTATCCGTTAGTACCCCTTGCAGCCCTTATAGGCCTTGTAAACCCCTGGCACCCGGCGCTTCTCTCTTTTCTTCCCCACAATGTTCCAAATGTTTCAACTTTTCTCACTGGCTCACGATGTAGGACGGTGAGACGGTTGCAGTCGACCTGCATTCATGACCCACGTTGGTCTCTCCCCATCCGGCCACTCATAGTTCGCATCGCGGTCTATTTCAACAGTCGCGTCCCCCCATTTGCTCTTTTCTCGACTTCTCTGAGCTGCGCGGCTGCATGGCGACTCACAGACTTGCAGATGCACTAAGACTTGCGAGAATGACTCACTTACCAACCATTCTCGATCCGTCCGACTTTTCTGATGTTGAGCCACGGTATAGGAAAGATTGTTCTGTAGAACAAGGGTGGCGGGACATGGAAGCTTGTATAGAACGGGAGGCCATGTGCGAAAATGGGTATAACATGCTTCTTCGGCCTTCGCGGGCCCGGTCATGTTGCGACCAACCTTTTCTTCTTCCCTAAATATCAGGTGTCATTGTTTTACTGATTGTGTTGTTTGCGACTCAATCCTATTATACATTTATATTGCCATTGTTGATACTATTTAGCAAGGCTTTAGTCGCAGGTTTACAACTGTCGCATAAATTGCGAAGAACCTCGGCTTCTATTATCACATACCTAGTCTATTATTTTATGAATTCATATTGATCCTCTATTATTTATCAATCATTCATAAATATAACTCATCGTCAGATTCTTGAATACACCTTTGGAGCCGTTTACATTGTGATAACAGTCCTTCATTTGGACACCCTTCAGATAAACACCACCCTCTCGAATAAGACCTGCCCCAGCGACATGCGAAAGATATGGCAACAGGTCCGCAAGCATTCTATTGCCTGTGGCAGAAGGAGCGAATCCGTGAAAAGCTCTTCGAACTACTATCAAAGGAGGACATCTGTAATATTCGACTCGCATCTTCAGCATGCTGCAATCTTGTTACCAAACGACTATTCTTACGAACCCACTTGACCTTCTCAGCCCATACCTTCACTCGACAGAGTAGAATTCAAGCTTTGTCGAGGGTAGGCCAACATATAGAACACCTTACCTTTTATTTTCCCCATTCAGAAGCTACTTTTCTACCTCCACTGATACACCCTGAGAGTGGGCGTGAGATCAGCTTCTTGTATAAGCCTCACACCTCAATGGCCTCGGTCCTAGAACGGCCCAAGTTCGCCAACTCAGGACTTGGACAGGTCCTCACGGACCAGTACCCACCGCTCTTCCACGCCGCTTCTAATGTACCGTCTTTCATCAATGCGATGAAGCACTTGCCCAACATGAGGCACCTCACCATTAAGACGCCAGGTCAAGACCCTAGAGAGAGGTACCGAAGAGACATTGTCGACTATGCGCTCATCAGCCTTCGGATATCACTTGAGCGGGCGGAGATGAAGAAGCTTACCAAGCTTTCATTATCATCCATCCATCCCTCCGCCTTTATCTACTTGCGACATGCCATTGGCTTCGGCTGTCTGCCATCGGCGGCCCGGCGATGGAAGCAGATCCGGAAACTGCACATTTCTGTAGAATCGTGGGATTTCTATGGCCCTTCGCCTGGACTTGACCATCTTAAGATGATTGACGACTATATTCGAGACTTCTCAACCTGCTTGGAGAAATTAACATTTACATGGCTTGGTCGTAAGGGACCATGCCCACTATCTCTCGCAGCTGACCCATTATTTGCGCCGCCTCGGAGTTCCATGAAGCTCTTCAATGAAGTCACTTCACCTATGTCGCCATTGCCGCCAGTACCATTAAGGAAACCTATTGTCTTCCAAAAACTACGTTATATGGCAGTTCGAAATGCCACAATGAATGCGCCCCAAGTAGCAGCATTAGTTTCGGCGCATAGGCATAGTGTCCGAGAATATGACTTTGAGAACGTTGTTCTCATCAATGATGGTAGCTGGGATGAAGCCTTGGCACCCTTAATGAATAGAAGATCTCGCAGCAACCGATGGACTCGACACTCAATGGCTACTATTGAAGAGACTCCTAGTGTCCGTTCTTTGGAACTGACAGATGATATACCAGATGACATGCCGGAAGAATCAGCGGCGGTGTCAGCAGTGTCTCAAGAGCTCCTAGAGTTCGACCTTAACGGTGGTGAAGGCGACCAGGACGAATTACCGGAACAGGAGCTAGAACCAGAACAAGAAGAGGAGCTTGAACTACCTTCAGACCTAGAATCCGCCCGGCAGGCCAGCCTTTCATTCCCGAATAAGCTCAAGAAGCGTCGTATTACTAAGCGACGTCGTAGAAAGAAGCCAAAGCAACATCATGATGACGATGAACATGAGCATGAATATCATGAACGATATCATCGTCGACAACCCTCCAAAGACTCAATTGACCAACCTAGCAACGAACACCGTCACCATCGTCGTCACCGACATAAGAAAGACAAGGACTTCACGGAGGATCCACCTGAGACTCCACGCCCAATCCATAGTCGCCAACCCTCACACGAATACCTCAGTCATCCTCAAGAACCACCACAATTATCCATCTCACCTCAATCCTCTCGCCCTCGCTTATTCGGCGAGGTCGATAGCGTGTATTCTACATCATCACGCCGTCTCTTCGGCGAAGTATCCCGCCTTTCACATTCCGGCTCAGAGCCCGAGCCAGAACTCATGCACTCACCCATCGACGAATCAGACTCCGTCGTGGATGAGTACTTCCGCCCCGCCACTCCTACCACCACACCCATGGATATCTCCGCTCCCATTCTTGGTAACGCGCCTAGCATGCCTATCTTACTAGAACCCACCGTGTATGATCCCACAGCCGAGCTCTGCTCTGAAATCACAGCCGTGCAGCGTGATATAGAAGCTGAAGAGGCTTTAAGACTCGTAGCCGAGGACGCGGATTACCAGACTAGTGCGCTGAAAAGGGCTAAGGAACTCGTGCTTAGTCGCCTGGGGCGTGAGTTATCTACTAGTAGCCGCGGCAGCAATAACACACAAAATACCAACAACACTAGTAGCAGCGGTTTTTTAAAAAGGGGTGGTAATGGCGGGGGATCTAAAAAGGAGACCTTTGGCGCGGGAGGTTTTCTTAGTAGCGCGAGGTTCCGCGAGGGTCTCTTTGGAAAGAGTAGTGCTACGCTGCAACCTGTGAAGTCGGTACAGACGTTACAGGATCACGCGAGTATGGATGTGCCGATTTTGTTTAGTCGGGCATGAAGGAGGTGTAGATATGGTGGGGGGTGTGATATGAGGTGATGGCTTATGACTTGTAATGATTACGATGATTTTCTCTTCGATATGATTGAATGATTAGTACATTCTTTTTGATAATAGACTTTTATCTTCTTTGTTCATATTATTACTTTGTTTTACGTGATACTCTTCCTTTTGTTTGGCTGTCCATACTTCTGGTGTGGCTTCAGTTGGGGCCTCATATTCTCATCGGAGTTATTCCGAAGCTTTTTACAGGGGTCAAGCTGTTGAATATGGGGTGTAGAGCGTGTGGGGCGCTGGAATTAAATTATATTGGGGGTGTCTAGAGTTGGTTATAGCGGTTCTGTAGCGCCAACGTCCGCCACACCGATACCTACCTAAGTACCTAGGTAGGTATTGCAGTCACTTCGCTCTCTGTAATGCTGTGAAGAATAGCGTTAGTTTACTACAACTATAGTGACCTATCCGCTAGAAGTATAGCTCCAAACTCACTGCATTTAGAGTCACGCCCCTAACACCACTCGCCGTAATGACAGAAGTGCGCGCCACGTTTTTAATGGAATGCTGTTATATATAGTGTTCTTATACTGCAATGAAACATCAAATTCATTTGGCCGACTGTAATCTTCTTCCTTCCTTCCTAAAATATAAAGACCGAATATGTCACCGGTCGGACAACTTTAAGTTCGGAGTCGATCCGAAATATGTGAAAATTTGTGGGACCGACGGATGTATCCGACTCGGACACTTCCCTTTCGGTAAAATATCCGAATTGTTATTGGCGGACTGTAATGCTTCTAATGAGACTGCCATGATAGAGTAAAACTTATTGATTTCAAATCATGGGATGGGTTTTAGATGTAGTGGTTAGGATATCGAAGTTTTAATTCCTCGAGAATTTTCTTTAAATACCGTAGTCTTCTTGATTGCTCTTTGCTTCATTGAGCCTCTTCTGGGTGGACGTTAAAGCATTTGGATAGTGTATCAATTGGACGGCCTGGTTTGGATTATACGAATGAACTAGCATTTGGTTAATATGTCGTCTACTGAGACCGAGACTAATTCAGCTTTTGTTGAAAAGAATGTAGCACCACCGGCCCATACTCCGACGGATGCATCCGACAGCCCTAACCATACCGACGGAAATCGGACCGCCTCCGATGGTACTGTAGCAGATGTTTCGGATCCTTCCGTCCACACATTAATTATTATCCTCATTGCGCTATGTTTAGCGGTGTTCCTCGCCGCCGTAGACGCTACGCTTATTACTGCTGCCCTACCTACAATAGCTCGAGAACTCGGTGCCTCCGACGCGGGTTTCGCGTGGATCGGATCTTCATACCTGCTCGCCTTAGCAGCTGCGGCCCCGTTTTGGAGTAAAGTGAGCGATATCTTCGGCCGGAAGCCGATCCTGCTTCTCGCCAATGTTATTTTCCTCGTTGGCAGCCTTATAGCAGCGCTTTCAAATGGCTTAGGTATGCTTATTGCTGGGCGGGCTATCCAGGGGACTGCAGCGGGTGGTTTGATTACGCTGGTCGAGATATCTGTGGGAGACATGTTTAGCCAGAGGTTCGTCGTGCTCAAATATCCTCTGATTAATATCCGTTTGAACTAATCGAGCTTTTTTTTGTTATTAGGGAGCGAGGCCTCTTCTACGGGATATACGGAGCCGTCTGGGCGGTCGCAACGGCTATTGGGCCCCTCATTGGCGGCGCATTCACTGAGAGAGTTACTTGGAGGTGGTGTTTCTGGTTCAACCTTCCGTTCGACGGGCTTTCCCTTATCATCACCACAATTTTCCTCCATATTCAAAATCCCAGGACCCCCTTAATACAAGGCTTTCTAGCTATTGATTGGATTGGGTCTTTTCTTGTTGTCGGCGGGACTCTCATGTTCCTCCTCGGTTTGGACTTTGGTGGGGTTATGTTTCCCTGGGGTTCTGCAACCACGGTGTGTCTTCTGGTCTTCGGAATCGTGGCATATGGACTCTTTGGCGTCTATGAACACTATGCGCGTTATCCTACTATACCTCGTCGAATATTCGGAAGCGTATCGCTGGTATCGACTTTCGCCGTTATATTCATACATGGCGCTGGTTTTGTGGGGCCCATCTACTTTCTTCCGCTATACTTCCAGGATGTCTTGGGCACTACCCCTATTCTCTCCGGTGTTTGGTTGCTGCCCTTGGCTGTCTCATTTACGGTGTCTGGTGTGATCATGGGGATTTTCATCAAGCGTACCGGCCATTACCTTTGGATCATTCGTGGAAGCATGGCAATTCTCACACTCTCCCTTGGCCTCTTCATCACATATGGGCCGCAAATTGACTGGCCGCGTATAATTATCTTTCAGATCATCCTCGCGGCGGGCGGTGGTGCCAACATGCAAACACTCTTGATCTGCGTGCAGGCTTTGGTTGCACCTGAAGATATTGCTGCTGCCACGGGTGCTCTGAATTTCATCCGCAATCTCGCATATGCCGTCAGCATCGTCCTAGGCCAGGTGATCATCCAGGGTATTCTGGCTACTCATAAGAACGAACTATTGGCCTCAGGCATTCCGAGCGAGACTGTATCGCGACTTATCAACGGCGCGGCTATTTCCGGAGCAGCTGATGTGAAGTTGTTTACTCCGACTCAGAAAGATGCATATGATCGGACTTTCTCCGACTCTTTATCCAAGATGTATATTTTCTATACTGCTCTATGCGGCGCTGGGTTTCTCATTACATTTGGGATCCGCAATAAGGAGCTTATGACTTCTCATGAGCAGACTCAGACGGGTCTTGAGGCGGAAGAAGCAAAGCGACAGAAGAACTTACGCGCTAAAGCTGACGCTGGAGGGGTTGGGTTGAATGGTCGAAGGGCTGAAGAAGCATGAATCGAAAAGGAGACCGATTGTAATATGACACGGAATGGCGATAGACTTGAAAGAGACTGGATTGAAGGTTATAAAAAAGTAATCGAATACCTACGTACATTGTAGTAATAGAAATTCGACATTATCTCGGGAGGGTGTAATATTTGTATCTGTTGAATCGTAGGGTCTCTGGACTTTTTAGGTAGGATGAGGGGTGTATTGGAACTACAACTATCTGAAACTGGTTGAAGAATTTAGGTGAAGACGTTGAAATATTAAGTGAGTAGATAGAACAGAGCAATTTCATATAGGTAGGTAGGTAAGTAGCTGGATGGACGCGTTTCGTATAATTCTTTAAGCTTGTATATATGACCAAGTGTTAATTTGAAGAAATAAAGTGATAACGTCGTCGTTACGAAAGGATGCGGTTCAGTTCGTTGTACCTGAAGAAAGCGTCGAGCACCTAATTTTGTACGGATTTAGGGGTTAAGAGTGCTGATGACTAACTGTATTTCCACCCTTGTTAGAAGGTCCCAATGGCCCTCACGCCTGGAACTATTTTTCATCAGCGACAATGGAAAATATCGAAAATAACGAACTGAACGACGATGTCCTTATGACCAACGATGCGCCTGCGACGAGGGATGACGATGACCAATGGTCAGGTGGCACTATATTTGATATCGAGCGCCTTCTGAGCACTGTTACTATCCCCGAAAATGATAGGGTCTTTATAGGTGTCAATGGTTACGAAAGTACGAAGCCTCCGAAACAACTCGCCTGCACACGATGCCATGCTCAGAAGCTTCGCTGTGTGCGCAAACAACATGCGCGAATTTGCGACCGCTGCCTATCCGCGAATCTTGAATGCATCGGCCGACAACCGCAACGTATGGGAAGACCGGTGGATCGTAACTCTCCGAGGGTTCGGTCTCAGCAGCAATACCAAGAAGACAATCGGCGAGACGTCAATCGTATCATCAAGCCATGTCCACCCGTAGCGCGACCGCAGCGGAAGAATGGCAATTCCATACTATCCGACAACTCCCTTGCGATCCCCGACCACACTAGTGATACTGCGCAATTGACTACGAGGCTTGACGAACAGTTATGGCGGAACACTCCACGAAATGCTTCAGGCACGCATTTCGGGACGTTAGACGGCAATACACAAGGAAACGATAATAATAACGTACCGAGCCCCGCACTAGCAAACGGATACGTCAATACTACTTCTCGTGCTGATATTTTAATGGATGATCTTGGCCTCTCCGACCTAGATGATTTCCAAACGAGCGTGTTTCCCTTCGGTAACGGAGCCACTACCCCCAACCAGTACACAAGCTTGAATACAATTGATACCGCAACCCTGCCTTCACCCCCAGAAGACCCGGTTGAACAACTTTCAAGATTACATCTCGAGCTTTACCAGTGTCTGACTTCGGTTAAAGCTATAGAGAAATCCAAAAGGGCAAAGATTCGGAATGATCCCGACGTGGATGGTGTGACTATTGATAGTAGCTGGTCCGAACGTTTGTTTTGGACGATAGGAAACTTCATTGATGCTCTACGAAGTTACGTCGGAAACGACGCCGAAACGGGCGACCAGAGCAATAATGAACAGACAACGAATTCCACGAAAGAAGGGCAAGACACCAGTAATGACCCACAAATCGACATGGCAACGACGCTTATGGTAGTGAGTTGCTATACAAGGCTTCTCCAGATCTTCGAAGTCGTCGTCTTCATAGTTGAGACCTTCCGAGTGATGGATTGTCCGGGCAGCTATGTGCAGATCAGGTTTGGAAGTTTCATTCCCCCAAAGAACAAAGAATTACATGCTCGGTTCCTAGGCCAATATGTCATACACTTGATAGATAGTGTATCGGAGGCAGTCGATACAGCTGTGGCATCGCGGCAACCCTACGCTCGGGCTATTGCCGAAGTCCGAAAGCTCGAAATTAGACTGAAGGAACGCATTCTGACGAGCCTTTCCTAAGACCGAGTAGTGCAGCGATGAAATACATAGTCCAGAGCCGATTCATCACTCTTATGCAACGTTTGATTTATTCTTGGCCAGGATTGGGGTCCTAATATATGCGCAAAAGTGCACCTGTCTCTATCCCACCGGTACATATCCGTATTATGTAAGCATATGAGAAGGGGCGTCGGATCTTCTCCGACACTTTCCATTTCGACGACGGACGTAAGAATTCACTATGGTCATTATGTTCCCCGTACTGTCTAAAGTATGGCTTGTTTTCGATGGCTAGCGATTACGCATGTCAGACGCTTTCTACTTATTCCAAAGAAACTAATCTGGTTATACCCTAACCCTAGTACTACCCCAACCGGACAGCCCCTGATTTCAACCCAGGCCGGCATTGCTCACCAACGATGCTGGCAGCATGGAAGCCCCACTAACCCCAGGAAGGACAATTCGGATATGTTGCAATCCATCGGACTGGGGAAACGAGAAATTTAGTTGATCTGTACTGGGTTATCTTGGTGGCAGGATCTAAGTGTACACAACTAGCGGCGGACGACACCGAAGCAACGCGGTTCGTGGCTCTCGGAAAGCACTACGAACACCGAGACGAGATTATGAGGAATTCAATATGATTTGGGATTAGAAAGAAGATTGTTTCGTCATATTTCAAGTATGGTGGTGATACTAAGCCTATCCTTCCGAAGACGAAAAAAAAGCACATGCTCATCTCCATTCCTGCCGTAAAGCCTTCAACCCTAGGATACTCTGCCGTGCACTCCCAAGTGGTTATATTTCACCGATTGATATTCGCAATCGTGTAGTTTTCGTTGAGCTCCACGGCGGGAGTGCTGTTGAACAGCCAACAATTCCCACCGAATTGCGATGTACAATCGGCCATTGTGCTGCACCAAGTCACTGCTGTACACAGGTTCGTACGCCACCAATCGTTTAACAGGGAGCACGCTTGTAGACAGTCCTGAATTGAATACGCCACTACTGCTGACCAAGTCTCAGTGTCGCCACCACCTATGTATCGGCGCCCGCAGTTTATATGGTATTGATTAGCTTCCCAGTCATCAAGCACTGTTCCATCCAGCGCGGGACAATCGATATCTAGGGTTGCGACACGAGAAGGCCTTGGAGCAGCATAGTCTGTGGTCAAATACGCGGTGGATTCAGTCGACGATAAAGTCGATGTCGGAATATGTGTGGGTTCCGGTGTGGTAGTCTCCGGACCACTGGGGAGGATCGCTTCTGAAGGTGTCGCGTCTGATGATGGCATCTCACATCCTTCCCGTGATTTATGCAAAGAGGCCCCTAACGCGCCCCCAATAACAGCCCCGACTATTAAAGCGGTGATAAGCGAAACGAGGGCACCGAAAGAGAGGAGATTGAGGTTAAATGGGTTTCGATTTTCTGAATGTGCGCTGGGTTGTGCTGGGCCGCTAGGGTACATGGATTGCACAGCGCTCTCAGCAGGCTTTTGATCTAATACTTCTGGAAGCTGACTCATAGGATGGGCATTCTCGATATACTGGGAATTTAACTCGTTATTCTCGTGGGGTGAGAGCATTTCGGCTGCCTCCATCTGGAGTAAAGAATTGTTGTAAAGCGACTACAGTATTGGGCGTGGTTGAATGATAAATATTAGAAGAATAAGGGGCTGAATTTGGTCCGCGCAGTCTAATAAGTTTTCCTGCGAAGAAAAAAGGACACCAAATGCATGTCTATGGTGGACCTTCATGTTGTGGATTGAACTCGTTTTCTTCGGCGAGGAACATTACAACAGCATCATATCGCATAAAACGAGGCGAAAGTGCTATCGGAATCGATTAATGTTGCCATAACCCTGACCACTTGAGTAGGGCAGTATTCGGTAATGCGAGCTTACACTACGTATTCTAAACTCCCGAGTATTACTCCCACGGAGTAACGACGATAAGCACCTACCCAGGTACCCGGCAAGCGCGTCGAGACATTGTTTCACGAATTCCCCCCGTTTGATTAGCCAAGAGACCTACCTCAATCGGCGTGTAGCACGAAGGGATCCGATCGGCTTCTACTTGACGCTACATTGAAACCTTTTACTATGCGTCATCGTTGATTCCTACTCTTTAAGGGGTTCTGCGGAGGGTGCTGTAGGCTCCTTTGAGGTCTTCGCTCGGGGCATCATTAGCGGATAGCGAATTTTCTTTTATACTTGCTTCGATAAGCAAGCATTTTGAATCATTATTTACTAGATAAATCTTGATATATTATGTTCTGATCGTGAAACCCGCAAGCAGTTGGCCGCTCCGATCGCTAACCCTAACCCTTACCCCAAGGGATCAATTTTCGGAGCCCCTAAATCATTTCTGCTGACTAATAAAATACTTCCCGAATACGTTTACTAATAGATCTATTACTGATGCCAAGAGATTTTTAAACGCGGATTGTGTCCTCGCTGAAGGTTTAGATACGTCTCCACTTCTCTCTCCCAAGGAAAATGTTTACGGCGTATTGGGAGCTTGCTAATCTAAGGAATAGGTATGTTGGTGGTGGAGAAAAGGGGGTGGGGGCGGAATTAGTAGAGATCAGCGGACATTCTCGCCGACAGCATGATTTAAACTTGGTTTTAATATATTTTGCATGCTTTCATTCAGATTTCATCCAAATGCATTAACATTTCTCGCTTCTCATTGATACCGTCTACATGTCTTCAACACAACCTGCCATCGTGCTCGTACCTGGGGCCTGGACACCCCCTGCTGCTTATGCTAAACTAGCGAACGCCTTAAAAGCGAGATCCTTCACCGTCGAGACTCCGGCCTTGCCATCGAATAACGGTGCTCGCCCGCCCAATTCATCCCACGAAGACGATGTGGCGGCAGTGCGAAAGGTAATCAAATCGTTTGTCGATGACGGTAAAGAAGTCATAGTGTATATGCACTCTTATGGGGCTGTGGTCGGCACGAATGCTGTCGAGGGTCTTACGAAGAAGGACCGCGAAGCGCAAGGTCTTTCGGGAGGTGTTGTCTATTTGTTCTATCTATGCGGCTATCTTCTCGCCAAGGGCCAGAGTATCTGGACGGTTATAGAGGGGTTTGGAGTGGAAGCAGTGAAGAACCATCCGTCTATTACATTTGAGGATGATGGGACATGGTTTCTGAGTGATCCCGTAGGTCACCTATGCCACGACTTAGACCCCGAGGATCAGGAGGAACAGCGAAAGTTATCAACACGTCAGAATATGGAGGCCATCAAGGGAAAGGTCGCCTACGAAGCATGGAGGGACGTCCCAAGCACTTATATCCGAACGACAGAGGACCGATGCGTCCCTCCTGTATTTCAGGATATTTGTCTTGCTTACCCAAAAGAGGCCAATGTACCTATTGACGTTAAGGTGCTTAACTGTTCCCATGCTCCTTACGCCAAATATCCCGACCAACTTGCCGATATGGTGGTTGAAGTAACCCGTTTTAAAACCGGCTGAGCTTTTCTCCCATAAAATCTCCAAGAAAATCGAAACACAGGCGGAGTGGCGGTTTATTATAGCTTTCTGCTTTTGCCAATCTCCGAGACTAACAAATTGCAACCGCAAAGACTACCCAGATAAGAATGCTTCTCTGAGCAGAAAGCTACTATTCATGTACTTAAGATAGATAATTACGATTTATAGGCAGTTTCGTAATTTCTCCAATCCACAGCGGCCATGTCGTGGTGCTTGTGCGTTTATCGTCGCACTAACAATAGTCAGTTACATAAATTAATGTATATTTCGATCCCCCTTTTAATAACGATCTACTACTTTGGGATTGTTAATGTTTAGAATATCATAGGTACCTAAATATAACTGCCCAGGTGCTTTCCCTAGTATTCTTTTGTAATACCGAGGAAGCAAGGGCTGATTATGATGACGTACAGCGGGATGATGTTGGAAATGTCTAACTCGTATCGTATGTCTTAAACCACACCAACAACCATATCATTCGGCGTAAGTTAATTGATACCCCTCACCGGCTCTAATCTACTACCTAGGTAGGTGAGTGAGGCAACTCATACAGTCTCTCGCTATGCATCCGCAACAAAGAAAGTTGTCGAAAACGGTACAATCAATAGCAGGCCTTGCAACGTAAAGATAACCTTCGTAAATGGCACTTACTAGGTCGTCACAATCTATCATGAGCGGCTTAGATAGACCAAGGGATTTTCGTTATATCAAAGAAACCGGCCGATGTACCTACCTACCTAGGTACCTACATACCCAAGTTACAAAGGTAAGGTATGGGCACCCAGGCAGCCAGGTAGGTAACGAGTATCAATGCACGATGGCGGTGGCAGTGCCTTACGCCGTCTTGCTTCTTGAACTAAGGGGGTCAACCAACCCCGCTTTAACTTCGCACTCTTCGGGATCCTGACAACCCGTCTCGTTCACGGTACTTTACTGATTGATATTTTGACAGGTAATTTAGGTACCTAGCCTTGATTGGAAAGTATGGCGAAGTCTTATGTTGGAACATCGCTTTCTTGTAAGTCTTTAATACATACCGAAGTATGATCCTGTTGCTACCAACTCTAATTACCCAAAAAAGGAAATGCTATGAATGCGTTGCTAATTCAAAGTCCACCTACTAACATTCTGCGTTCTCCAACCCTCTCCCCAGAAAGCAACTCATTCCAATTATACGCTCAGTGCTTTGAGCATCTAGCATTATGTCTCTTCTTGATACTATCCTCCCCGTCGTGGGATATGCCAGTTGCATTGCGCTCTGCTATGTATGATGTCTTCCCTATGTAAATGTATCTTTTATGCTAACAAAAACCAGTTTATCATTGTTTTCGGGTACCGTTTGTATTGTCATCCCCTTAAGAAATACCCTGGGCCTCTTCTGGCAAGACTATCAGATTCATATGCCGGCTACTATGCCCTGAAAACATCGCTCCATCATGCGACTTTCGAAGACCACCAACGCCACGGTAATCAGCATCGCTGCAGTGCCGACAATCATCTTACTAACCCGAATCTTCATATTTATAGGCGACGTTATGCGCTATGGGCCTGACCGCCTCATTTTCAATACCTCGGCCGCCCTTCGAGGCATGTAACCAGAATTAATGCTTTTCTTTAGAATGTTGCAACTGATAAGTTAAATATCTAGATATCTATCAGAATCCAAGAGTGACCAAATCCGATCTATACCTATTCGCTCTTATAAATGGGGTGCCCTTCATCTTCAACTTACTCGATCGCGACGCACACTATCAAAGGCGTAAGATAATTAGCCCATTCCTAGCCGAACGGTCAGTTAGCAAGTTTGAGCCTACTATAGTACGGCAAACCGATATTCTCCTCAAGCAACTTCTTGGTTCGTCTTCCCATCCTGTAGATCTCACGGCCAGCTGCAGCCAATTTGCTACCGATGTTGCTGCCAACTTGGGCTTCGGGTATCATCTCGAGCTTCAAACAAAAGAGGAAAATAGGTTCGTCCGTACGGGACTCGAGATCGGGAATTATCGTGTTCACACTTTCATGAACTTCCCTTTCCTCTCGCAACTTAGGCTCAATTACCTATTTGAAAGGAATTCGATTCGGCAGAAATGGGGCAACTTACTAGTAAAAATGATGAAGACACGCCTAACACAAGAGAAGGGCACGAGACACGACTACTATTCATACGTCATGAACAGCATTGCGCTAAAACCCGACGATCCTCAACATAGTGAGATATTTGCTGAGTCAATGATGTTCATGTCTGCTGGTATGTATTGTATACACTTAACCCATGAATCCAACTTGTCACGTTATGAGTCTAAACATGTATAGGTGGGGATACGGTGTCAACCGCCATGACTGCGCTTTTCTTCTACCTGTCCAGAAATCGCCATTGTTATGATAAACTTACCCGAGAAATACGTACCACATTCGAATCAGGCAGCGAAATTCAAAGAGGGCCGCAACTGTCTGGTTGTTCATACCTGCGCGCCTGCATCGATGAGGCATTGCGTATGTCGCCGCCAATAGGAGGTACCCTGTGGCGACAACTAGCTAAAGGAGAGGATGACAAACCGTTTGTGGTTGATGGACACATTATCCCCGAGGGGACTCACGTTGGCGTTAACGTTTACTCCATCTATCACAACGAGAAGTACTTCCCTGAGCCGTTCGCTTTCAAGCCGGAGCGGTGGATAGCAAACGACAAATCAACGGCAAACAATCCAGACGAACAGTCAAAATTACTGGCAAGCAATAAGGCTTTCACGCCTTTCACACTTGGTATTCGTTCTTGCCCTGGAAAGGCTATGGCTTACTTCGAAGCGAGCTTAGTTGTGGCAAAGACGCTGTGGTACTTCGACTTTGAGAAGAGCCCGGGCATCCTCGGGGATGTGGGCCGCGGGAAATCGGGCTGCTACATTGACGAGTTCCAATTGCAGGATATGCTAACATCGCGCCATGATGGACCGTATCTAACTTTCAGACCCCGCGGGGATTTTTGGAAATAACTTACAGGTTAGACTACATATCGACGAGGCTCGTATTGTAATCGTAGGATTGATAGGAAATCGAGTCAGTAGGACCTCTAAATTAGCACCGCTTCCTAAGTTTCTCTATTACATGTACTCTGTTCGCAATCATATTGCCTCTCCTGGAATACACAGGCAGGCCGGTATTAAGCTCGGATGCTAGAACGTGTTTTTCTCACAGTAGTTTGCTTCCATTTGTGGTGCAGGAGGTCGTATCCGGTTAACAGGAATTACTCCTTACTAAACATACATATTTCAAAGCGTAACCACATAGATTGTATAAAGTAAATACCAAACTATCCTTGCAGAAATATCCCCTTACAGACAACTCAACTGTATGTCTGAAAGAGTGCCTACCTGGCTATGTGGGCCAAAGGCCTCAACTCCTAGAAAGAAAAAAGGCCGTAGGCGGAAACTCGGGGGTTGCTTAAGTACGGTCAGATCCAGGTGACGGTGCTACTAACCTGGCTGCGAAAGTTGTACTAGTCAAGCATTATGTCAATATTTTGTCAGATAGTATATAATAGGAGAGGCCATCCCTTATCTTAAAAACCCTATGTGTGCGCTTGAGTAGGTATACGACAACCCTCATTGTATATCCGACAACATGATATGTTCCTGTATTTCCTTGTCCGCTTTACGTGTTTTCCCTATAGTTTATATAGAAACCTAGGTATACGTTTATGTCTCCTCACGAACCCCAACAAAGGGTATCGATACAACAACCGCTACGTTCGAAGGCCTCTATGCTGGAGGAAAATAGCCACATAGAATAGCTGTGGTGATGCAAACATGCTATGTGGCGATTCCAGGGGTCAGCATGGAACATCTATAGAGGCCTTATATATTCTTTCCATAGTGCTACTTACCCGTCCCTGATAAGACCATCCAACAGTCGTCCAAAGTAATGAAACCAACAGCCGATTTATGCCAATGCCTCCACCTCCATCCTTGCTTCCTCTCCGCGATGAATAGCAAATAGACAAGGCTATTGAATCTTCAACATTGCCGTGGTTCCAAACAATTTAAATCTGACGGGCATCCGTTTCAGGGGTGGGGAATTAGTGCGTGCACGTCGTCTATATTCTCGATAGATGCCCGAGGGATTCATTTAGGGAACCCGACAAATGAGGATGAGTATAAATGGTATCCCTACCGAATGCCATTTAGCCGGCGCCCGTGTCCGAAACCCATTGTGAGAAGAACTCTCTCAGTTGGGGAACATACGTAACCTCTCTCTCTACCAGGTATTGGAAGAATGGGTCGAAGAGGTCATGTTCAGGATGAGGATGCGGGCACGTCGGCGGGGTGTCTTCGCCGTATAACTTCTTCCAAATATAGTACCACTTCTTCTTAGGGTCCCCCCTATGCTTGGGAATGGGGGGCAGTTCATCAACAGGCCTACCGCCCGCCCCTTGGCAATTCGAATGAGCTTCCAATGATTCACGGTCCTTAAATGATTCCCAGCAGCTCCTACAATGATGCTCTCGTAACTTGTGAGCACTTTTTAGGTGCTGCACCAAGGTGCGAATTTCTTGAAATTCTTTATGACGGCAACCTGGATGACCGCTTGGGTTGCGCTTATAGAAATAACACGCAAGAGGCCCACCCCTATTGAGTTTAGTAGTCGGTAAACATATTTTGCAAGCTCCAGCGACTCTGTCCGTATGTTTTATTTCATTATCGTCTTGGGAGAGCTTTCTCTTGTTTGTTGCTTGATGGCGGTGTCCCGTTTCATAGTATGCAGGTCCGGGCAACGAAGAATATTGTGCTGAGGGCATTTCATCAGGATGCGATAAATCTCCAATGCTTGGTATTTGAAGCGAGTGGATTGGATATTGAGTAATGGATGAATAGTCTGTCCAAAGAGCGGGTTGCTGATTACTGTGAGAGACACAGGTGGGCTCAACTGCCATAGAAGGAGGCTCAAGGGAAGATATATAGTTGCGAGATGTATCCCAACTTTGGGATTCGAATTGACACGCGCCTTTTTCATTGGGCCACTTTTCCTCGGGTATATTTCCCACGTCTGGATAGGGCTGATCTAATGTTGGAACTGTGTTGGTGTGACCTGGAAAGTAGTATTGAAAGTCGGAAGTGCCCTGGTGTTTGAACAAGGAGACAGTTGGACCCGCATCCCTGTTAGCATCTAAGATACTATCAAACGGAGCAAGAGAATCTGGGGAACTGGTACGGGGTGTTGATTCGCCGCCCTCATAACTTTGATCCGGTTCTGGATTACGCCAAATTTCGGAGGTGACTTCACTCTGGCTTGGATGGGTCTGAGCTACCGAGTCAAAAGTGCCTATTGAGGCTCTTTTGCTGGGAGGTGAGAGGCTCAAGAAAGGTTCGGCAACAGTTGTATCCCCCATACGAGTTGAGGATTCGCTGATCCATTGATGGGTCCCATGCAGAGCCTCATCCCCGCCGACTTTCGGGGGCCATATATGATGCTCCGGCTCCCTCCCACAAGAGGCACATTTCATATGACCACATTCTACACACCCATCGACAAGCTTTTCGGGCATCTCTCCGTGAGGACAACGGCACTAGGAATGATTAGCAATTTCCAAGCTTAGGCAGACGCTCGGATAATGACATGACTTACACAATACCACGAGACATCCTGTCGCTCTAACTTCCGACTTGAAGCCATTGATTGTATATGCCGCAGTTGCGTTTGATTCACTGAACAATATTATGACACGGGTATTCATTTTAGACAATGGTGTAAGAGGCCTTGCTAGCCTTGAGATTTATTAAGACAATTCCCTACTATACATTTGCTAGAATGCCTTATTGGCCCATCCCGCGAACCAGAGTGCCCAAGAGTACCCAATTACTTCAATCGAAGAATAGCCAGCGGCATGAGCGAGAATATTTTTGATCACCGTTATGCTTAAGAATACATCTTGATGGGTGTTTGATCATGGCTTAGATCAAAGATGCTTCTGTCGGGTGATCAAGCTGATGATCACATAGGATCGTGCATAATCGGGGTAATATGGAGCTGGTTGTGTTCGGGTATCATTGGCTGAGTGGTTCCGGCTGACAAGTTGGGATTTCTTTGATCAAAGTCTTGACCATTTGATACCTATAAAGTACCCATGTATGATAATATTGTTTGGGAATCTGCCTTAGGGAAAGAAGATGCGAAGCCTCGCGAGGGTGGGAAAGAGTGCGTTTACGGAGTTGCTTGATGACCTGAGAAGTACATAAAACGCCCTGCTATAGCTCTCCTAGCTGAATCGAACCCCTGCAACCGGCGTGGATCCCCACTCTATTTAGCCCTATGCAAGCTACGTGTGTCTACCTAGGTAGGTAATACCACTCTAAGCTGCTTCTTTACTCGCCGTTACCGTACCTAGGCAGCCAGGCAATTTCATATAAACCCTTAGAATATCCAATCGGTAGAATCCCAACCCTTGCCACCACTATCTATCTGACCACCAATAGACCTGGGTAGCAGATACACAACATATAGCGTATGCGGGCTCCAGTGAACGGGAATCCGGATATGTCAAAATTTTATGGGTAACACCCCGCACCAAATATCTTAATCCAAACAAGCATTTCAGTATAATTACGGCGGTCCAATAAGCATAAAACCGCCAATGCGCCAAAACGCCGTGCGAACTTACAGTGTGGTGGCGTATTTTACTGTGTCACTGTAATTACAGGGAGTCATGTGCTGAGGTCCCCCGTAAATACAGGGGATTACAGCGCGTATCCCACTAGAAAATTAGTGGTTGATTTATAGCGCCCTATAGATATCCACTGTAATGCGCTGTAATTACAAGGCGTTTTAGTGGGGTTCCATAATGCACTGTAAATACAGGGCTCGAAGCGCTATATTCCGCTATAATTACAGCACATTACAGTGGGCACCTATAGAGCGCTATATTTTCAGGGCTCCAAAGCCTTGTAATCCACTATAAGAACAGGACACTTACAGTGAATTTATAGTGAATTTTAGTTGAGCGCTGTAATGCGCTATAATTATAGGGCCTTGAGCCCTGTAAGACCCTATATTTACAGCATGTTTATAGTGTATCTTAGTACCCTACTAAAGCCTACTGTAATTACAGCGCTCATAGCCCTGTAAATTTAGTCCCCACAGTGCGAAAAGCCACTACACTGTACTTATACACTGTATTATGGTGCATTGGCGGTTTATTGAAAACGGATCACGGTAATAATATCCTAAAAGAGGGGGACAAAAAAGATCTACTCTACCCAAGTCGATGATTGGGCAAAATGTATGGACGAGCAGGGAGTTGAACCCTGGACTTCTCGCATGTCAGACACTGGAACAATGCGAAGCGAGCACTCTACCACTGAGTTACACGCCCTTTTTCAAACCTAAGGGACACTTGTACCCTGATTGGTTGAAATTCGCCACTATTTGAATTGATATTCCTAGCGTCAGGGGCACGGTGCGGAAGCACTAATCTACTACTCTGAGCGACCTAGGTCTGTGCCTTCTCCTTGTCTTTGCTCTATTCGCATATAACATCGACAACAAAAGAGACAGCAAGTAGCTTAACTAAAACAGAAACCATGTCACCCGAAGTGCACCAATTCGCAAGGCCACGAAGACAGCTAGAGCCAAATGACTGCGTTGATAAGTTCGAGACGGTCGCTCCTAAATGAGGGGGTGTTCACGGCGCCTCTTAAAACGAACTCCGATAACGTTTGGTCGCACAACATTGTAAGAGTCGATCATTAAATATCTCTGTAGGTAATTTGACCGATGGCGTCGCGGTGGCGCAGCTGATAACTTTTGCGAAAGCCAGTTCCCGCATTCCAATGGGCGAATAAGTCGGGTGATTTAGGACTAAACGCTTCGGAAGTCATTCAAAAGCAAATTTGACCAGGGTATTGGAAATCTGGTTTTCCACCCGATCTCTTGCAGGCATAGGAAGAACATGTTCCCCGTCAGAGACGCCACGTCAATATATGCGACTCTCATGCTAGTGGTGACGAAACCGATATGATCACTACTTGCCAATGAAGAACGATCCCAGGTGCAGGATATAGCCAGCTGAGGAACATCGCGGTGGTAGTGCTGGAGCCTGGTAGGCCTCGAGAGTCCGCATGAGGTTGACTGGGATGGGTTAAACCCAATGATGAGACCACCACTGTTATTTATTCACACAGAGCTGGTTAGGGGCACACTCGCCTCCCTAGGTACCTTAGGTAGGTAGGTAGATAGGTACAAGTTCAGGTGTCCCCCCTCCCCTAGTCTAGCTTTGCTGAGCCTAACATGTACCTACATTCCAAGCAGATACCACAACTAGCAGGTGATTACCCATTACACTTACCAAGCAATGCTGTTAAGGCTCTTTGGAGTTCCATTAGTTATTCCTATGGGGCCCTGTACCCTTAATTCCTCATTACAAGATCTTTGACTACCTAGGTACTGTTCTTTCTCATTTAATTCAATCTTCTTAACATAACATAGCAACCTTATCGAGCCTTGGTACTTAACGCATGGCTTCATTTACTAACTCTTTCTTATCAGGTATCACTTTCATTATATAATCAGGGATGTTCTATAAAGAGACAATGACACATTGTCTGGGAAACCGACCGGTAACTGCATTATTATAAAGGTGCCGTGGGCGCGTAAATGTAGGCATTAGAATGCTGCTGATGGTAGAAAGTAATCCCGGCTTAAAGATACACGCCATTCCACACCTAAAACTACTAAGTTATATACCGGAAACGTCTGGTTTCTTTGTCCCTGGATGCGGAGCAGAGATACCCAACAACCTACTTTTCTCCTAGAAAACAAAGACAATAAGTATCGATTCTCATTTAAGCCTTTCAGTCCTTCGTACTCGTAATTTAGCCAGTTTCTACGAACCATTACACCCTTAGGCTATTTGATACCAGAGGTGTGGATTACGATGGAGGAACCAACAATAGAGCAACTGCGCAGGCTAAAGAGCCGCCAAATCAGCCTCGGGTTTGAATCGGTATTACAATTTGAACAAGCTCTACTTCGGTTCGAACAATGGGAGACATATCGACTCACCGATGGCATCACTCATGCTATACTCGACGAAGGGGAGGCGATCATAAGAGAGGCCAATACACTCTACGACAGATCTGAGGAACTGGTAGCAGGTATGGACGCAAGACCTGACAACATGGGCCAGTATGCCAATTTATCGGATCGTGATATCGGCGGGGCTTGGGCAAATATGGTGGTAGACGAAGCTATCGCTCAGCAGCATCTCAATGTAGCAGAAGACAAGCTCACAAGGTACGAGGAGGCCCTGGACGATTACCGCTTGCAGGTTCCAGCAGAAGACGATGAAGAGGAAGAGGAAGTAGGCCAAAAAAGAAAACGCCCATCATCGTCCGAATCAGACGAGTTTGTATCCCCCCGCCGCGACGGTAACCCCGGCCCTTTCCATGAGGATTATACTCTGCTCCAGGTAGGCGAAGGTTTCGCGCGGAGATTTCCTCGGGTTAAGCCTCCACTAAAACCAGAAGAGATTCCCGCATTCCGCGCGAAGAAGCAAGCGCAGGAGGAACAAATGAGAATAGCGTTGGAAGGGAAGCAAAAGAGGGCGCAAGAAGAAAGGGAAAGAAAGAAAAGAAAGCTAGGGAATAACTTAGAGCAAGAAGAGGAGGAGGAGGAGGAGGAATGGGAAAGTTATGACAGCAATGACAGCAATAATGATGAGGTTGCCAATGAGGATGGTGATGAGGATAATAATAATACGGACGACAATACGGACGACAACACGGGCGGCAATGACGAAGGGAGTGGTAAAGAGGGTAATGAGAATCAAGATGATAAGGACAAGGTCGAGGGAGAGAATGTAGGGGGAACTAGGGGGGAGAATAAGGAAGAAAATAAGGAAGAAAATAAGGACGAAAGCAAGGAGGATAAGGAAGAAACTAAGGACAAGGAGAGTAACGAGGGGAAGGAGGCGAGTGACAAATCTGCCGATAAAAGAGATGAGGGAGGAAATAAGGACGATAACAACGGAGGCGAAAAATAGGGGAATAGTTCAGGTTAGAGAGTCGATAGTTATTCGTGAATATACTCCCGAAACACAGCATGGTATACGAACATAGGGACTAGTTTTTTTCATACTAGAGACTCCACCGATTATTCGAATGGATACTGACTAAAGAATATAAGCTAAGAAGTTGACTAAAAGCAATCCAGTGGTCTTGGCATCACAAGATAAACGGCCGCGTAGTGTAGTGGTTAGCACGCAGGATTTGTAAGTTCCTTTACAAAACGCAGATTATTAATAATTGGACCTAACATTTCGCAGTGATAAAACATTATATATTCCTGAGACCTGAGTTCAATCCTCGGCGGGGCCTCAACTCTTTTTTTATTTTTTATTCACCCTCTTTCTTGTGGAACAGGTCTCTTCCAGGCCCCCTTTTGTAGTCTTAGTGAATAAGCAAATTTAAAAGCACTTTTAACATGAGCACACAATTTCTTCAACTTGTACAAATTCGTCAGGAGTAAATTTGGCATTATCAATTCATATCATTCATTCTCTTTCCCTTTATAACAATATTGGGTAGATATTTGACTTAATCCATAGACACCCTCAACAAATAAACAATCAGAATTTGAACGATCGCGAACAAGATACAAAGGGGATGCAGGTGTTACCAAAATTTTATTCGGTCACACTATGGCCTGTAATAGGTAGGCAGAGGATATTTTCGTATTCCGAAACTACCGTGTAGCTAGGCACTTATATGAGTAGTAATCTGAGTGAAGGTACACACGTAATGACTCCAGAAGTTGCGCAGTTGCTCAAAACGTATCATTCAATCCCCAACCTCTCAAATATCCAGTTGCATTTTCCTTCCGCCGAACCAAATGGACCATATACTTGCTGTAAACATAAAACAGCCAAATGATGTATGCGATGAAAATAGCCACGACAATGGCGACGAATGCAAGATCACGAATATGCTGTTCGAGAGTTGGACAGAGCTCCCTAAAAGAATTACTGGTTCAAAATTTACCTGGCTTCTCTCAAGTCGTTCGATTCTGCTCGCATTCTTTATCTCTTTGCGGTTCTTCTGGATGCACACGGACCTAAAATCCTCGAGACTCTTGTTGGTCTTCATGTGCTCGACCTCAAACTTCTTCAGGAGCTGCTTCTGGATGTCTAAGGAGGATTCAATAAGACGATGATAGTCTGCCATGACTTGAAGTGGATTTGATTGGCCGTTGCGTTGTGAAACCTGTGGTATCCATCCCCGTCAGCAAATATAAGAATTTGCCGGTAAGTCATGCTCTCGAGATTCTATAATGCTAAGATTTCCTGGCCTCACTCATCCCAGGAATACGGTGCCCCGCAAAGCAATGCGCACGTTGATCATTGGAGTCTGACGGCTACCCCAGCCCCCCAAGTAGGTCTCCCTCGACCTACCGGAGGGACCCCCCTCACGATTACCAATCCACATCAGCCACCCGCGAGAGAGAAAGTGACTGTCGGGCCGCATCGGTACTACCCGATGACTTGCTAGAATGATGCCAAGAATCCAACCCAACTTAAGGGGGAGTACGAAAGTGAGGATTAACCGATTCATTCCCCCTCCCATGAAGATTGCCAAAGGGTGGTGCCCCTGTCCAAAGTAGGGAGGTTTATTGACGCCAACTGTCTCTGGCACCAACACATGCCCCGGCAAGAGCTTGGAAGAAAGACCCTCCGCGAATCCAGGTAGATTTTAATGAAAACTTGGTAGTGACAACCAATCGAAGCAAGAAAAACGAAATCGGGGGGATTTGCTGTTGGCTGACTAGCGGGAACTAACTGAGAGCTTCGTTCGGTGTTCGACATTATGACGACTCGGTACCTGGGTAGGCGTGAAATTATTAGTATGTAGGAATTTTGGGATGTGTAGGAATGTTGGTAAAAGTATGTAGAGGAGTGTGTATTTATATGAGTAGGGATGTAGGAATATTTAGGTATTGGTAGGTTTATTATTTGAGTAACATACCTCGAAGTTTTGTGTTGTTGTGAGGAAGAGGAAGAAGAGGAAGTGTGAAATTAGACGAAGTCAGGTATTTGTAGAAATGGTGGGGGACGAGAGATCAATCGCAAATCAGTAAATTGGTTGCATACGAACCTAACTTTAAATCAGTGCAACTGTTTTTTTTTTCTTCAAAAAAATACATTGATCGTACCTGACGTTTTTGATCTTTTGCCTGGGTGATTTGTGGTAGTTGTACCCTTGCAGTGTGCTGTGGCAGCACCTTCCGTAGATATTTCCAAACTCTATTTTTCAAATCAGCCTACAATAAAACACACAAGTACATAGTTACTTCCATTTTATAGGTGAAAAAATAATTTCAAGTAAAGATTCATACCCCAATGAGGAATGGTCACCTATACATATACATACCTAGGTGCGTAACAGCTGCCCCAAGCCCTACATGTATGTAAATGGCAATAGCACAATAAATTGATTGATTTGTGATATGAATTTTATAAATAATTAGATGTACATAGGTACTTTTCTATAGGCATGATTCAAGTTGTATGACGGCAGGTGCCCTTTCCACAGTAGCCACACACCTCTTGTAACCTCCTGTAACTACCCGGGTACGCACCCAACATTACTTGCTTGGAAAGTAACAGTATCAGCCTCGCGCACTTTTCATCCTCTTCCCCTATCTCGGCTTGAGATAATATATTTTTCATTGTAAAATACCAAGGTAGATAGAACACGCTGTTTAGCCTCCTGGCCAATCAAGGTCTCAGGTAGCATTAACCCCTATTTACTACACCAAGTACTTAAAAATCAGATTTAAAATAAGCCATGTAATATATCTGAAATACTCGGGTTCGTGTTGTAATTCTTGGGAGATGGTCGTGGTGAATATTTGGATGTGCCAACCAGCTCGCTGTAGCTGTGTTCTCGTACATGCTTGCAGACATTCCCTTGGGCAGTCTCATTGTCGAAGAAACCATTCTTGGCGGACAGTATTTTGTCACAGACAAAACAACGGTAGATCGATGCTTCGCGCAGAGGGGGCCCTTGGTGGTAGTGAAAACGGTCTAGAACGAAGCGCTCATCTAACGTCCGCCCGTCTGATGTGACATATTTCAGACCAGCCATTTTTTGTGATTGATACCAATTGCACACTTCGCAACGCAAACTGACGATCCAATTCATCTTCTCCAGGGGTATCCATTTTAGTTGTCCCGGGCAATTATCACTCCGCGAGCTGCGAGTATTGGAGAGGGCGGGGTTTGATGCCTGAGCCGGTGCATTAGGCAGACTCCGACTCTGCGCCTTGGAACCTCCCTTCGTCCCTTCAATTTGTTTTTTTCTTAGGGCTTCCCGCCTCTCAATTTTGTCCAGAAGCCTTTGTCGAGCACCGTCCTCACCCTCGCCGTAGATCATAGACATGGAAACTCCGAATATGCCCAATTGTGAATAAATCGCATCTTCCTCCTTCTTAGTCTGGCGATTACCGAACCAGGAGAATCGTTCTTGCACACTAAAATCATCCATCGGTGCCCCTCGGAGAGCAGCTTTATTGATACCCGTAATGTCGTGAATTAGCTTTTCTAGGGACCCGGTCTTGCTCCCTAGACGGACCTCGTCATATCCATAAAATGTGACAGACTTGGGTGCGATGAGCTCTTGCAGCGTCCAACCTCTAGTAAACCATCTACTGCGCCGAAAGGCAGACTTCCAGTGCCGAGAATTCCCTCGTACATCCGCTAGATAGACATAGCACTCGTGCGCACCCTTATACCAGCGACACATGGAATTAATCGCTTCGTTATAGATCACGCTGTTGGTCTTGTCGATGCAGCAAGTATCAACCCAGAAGTAACGAATTCCGTCTGCGGTCGCTCTCCGGGCACAGAATTCGAGTTTCTGGTATCCATCCTTGTATGTTCCCCCGCCGCTGGTAATATCTTGAAAATTGACTTCTTGATCGTCGGTGCCCCACGTATGGGAGAGGATTGCGTACCGAGGGATGTCGGCGTTGTTAGTGTACTCACCAGTCAACTCTATAGCCCCACTGCTGCGAATTTTCAAGAGTCTCATCTTGAACACGTCTACAGAGAGGATAGATTTCAGACTGACTTCGTGGCAACGTTGGCAAAATTATGAGAAAGGTTAAAAATATTCTTCTATGTTAGCAAGGCTGAGGTGTAAGGGTTGCTGCGCCTACGTCGCATTCATATCCATATCCATATACCTATCAGTCATGCCCTTCTTGGCGTCTCATCCTCTCGGTCCCGTACACGATGCATGTTGGAGAACCCCTGTTCAATTCTATAATCTCAATTTTGAGGTTCTTATGTTACCTTAAGAAAGAAAAAGAATTTTAAAAAGCTACAGCCAAGGTAGATAGTATTATCTGTCTGGATCAGCGATAGTGTATATATGTAGGTCTGCAGAAGGAAGTCAAAGTTAAGACTGCGGCTCCTGACTAGAGGCACGAACCTAAAAGCGGGGGGAAACTACATATGACATTATGTAATCAGCTCAGCTGGTCATGTGGCTTGGTGTCTGCCTGCTTCTTACGTAATGATAGTGTGGGGAAAGTACCTAAGACGTTTCCCTTTCCTGGTCGCGTACGCCACCACGCAATTCAATTTACTCGCGTCACCTTCCAATAGCAACAACTCTTTTACCCAAAATTCAAGAAATTGACGATATACAATCCTCCTCATATCCACACCCGTCTTTTTGAGTGTGCTCCGCAGAGCATACTCGCGAAATTCATGACACAAAATCTACATTCATAATTGTTGCAGCGATGCCAGCGTATGTTCTATTATTTACTTGGGTATTTTACTTGAACGCGTTTGAATTAACATGTAATATTTATTAGGCCGGGGGAACAGCACAACGGCATATCCAACCCTTTCGAGGAGGCCAAACCTCACATATCCGAATATACAGCCATCGAGATCGCTACATTACAATCGCGATTAGAGAAACAATTAGGTCCCGAATATCTTTCAGCACGCAGTGGTCCTTCTGGTCAGAAGGTTCATTACATCGCCGCCGAGAAATGTATCAATCTCGCAAATGAGGTTTTCGGATTCAATGGCTGGTCCTCTAGCATCCAAAATATCCAAGTCGACTTCGTAGACGAAAATCCCCAAACCTTTAAGATTTCCCTTGGTTTGTCCGTTATAATTCGAGTAACGTTACGCGATGGTACGTATCACGAGGATATTGGATATGGGCATATCGAGAATTGCAAAGGAAAGGCGGCTGCCTTTGAAAAAGCGAAGAAGGAGGGGACCACAGATGCGCTCAAGAGAGCCTTGCGGAATTTCGGCAATGTTCTTGGTAACTGCATCTACGACAAAGAGTACCTATCTAAGGTAACTAAGATGAAAGTCGGGCCTGTTAAATTCGACGAGAAGAACCTGCATCGCCATTCGCACTTCGCCAAGAAAGAGGCAGATGTTGTAAAGGTCGAACCTAAGGAAAGTGTGGACAAGGGTACGGAAAAGATGACGGCGCATGGTGGGTTTGATTCCGACGAAATTGATTGGGCGGCTGCTGATGTTCTGGACTTGTAGTTTCGGACTTGCTCGACGAGGAGTTTGGGGAATTTGATATGGCCGATTTTGGAGTTACAGACGAGGGTCACCCCGACGAGGTGGTGTTACCCGGCTCTCATGGAACCAATTCAAATGAGAAGTCTCAATATTTACCTGCCGGTAATACCAGTGATCGCAATACTTCATTTACAAACAGTGCTTCAAGGCCTATGCAACCACCTCCGAGACCGGCTGTACAACCTTCTAGACCCCCTCAAACTCCGACTCAGCAAACACCTCAGCGACCGGGCGTCCCTTTTCAAGGTCGTCCTAATCCGCAACATCCTAGACCCCCTAGTTTTAACAACGCAGCCCAGCAAGCAGCAACTAACAGTAGAACGAACCCCCCACCGCCGACTGCTGCGGCACCAACGGAGCCAGTCTCATTTTTCTCAGCCCGGTCTATTAAGGCTCCGCCGGGGGCTGCGGATCCAGATACTCTCATCGTCCCACCACAGGGCGCTAGGTTATTCGACCCTCGCTCAGAAAGTCCTTCGATCCGAAAAACGCCCGGTATCGATCACAACTCTTCCAAGCCGGTATCAAGAACCGGACAGCATGTTCCACCCGTCAAGAGAGATCAAGACCCGCAACGCAGTTCAACAAGTTCTTCAGCCGCCAGTGGCTTCTCTAATGCATCTAGCTCGGGTCCCAGCAGACCGACCGTGGGCGCTGTCGGCAGCCCCGCGATGAACCATGCTAGACAGATTGGTGCCCCCGGCGGTGTGGGAAGCCCTTTAGCAAATAGGGGACAGTATCGACCATTGACAGTCAAACGGCCAGCTCCATCGGGACCCGAGGCAGGCAATAGGACGCCACTAACGGAAGTAACGACGAACGGCCCTCCCCAGGGCGTAAATGGCGGCGGAGGAACGGATCCTAAAAGACAGAGAGTATCCTAATCAGGATGGCAAACGAATACTTTAAAATGCAGTCTTGCTTGTATTCTACGGGTTTTACGGACACAGGTTTTTTTAGGCGGTAATGTTCGGCGTTTTGGAGTACATCCGCTAAGGGATTCGGCGGAAAGCTGTCACTAGACCCATAATGTGTTGGCCTTCCGTTTAGTTGTATGGCCACTGGACGTTATAGATGAATTCTTCCAGATGTCAATAGACACGATAGAAGCAGGAAGCAGCCCTGGAAGGTTTTCAACCCCTGTCCTTCAGCTACCCGGAAGTAATGATTTCCATTGAGTGACTTGATTCGATTCGATATTTTCACAATAATCCCTTAAAATGACATCTACATTGGGTGAAGTTGAGTAGAACCATAGTACATGACAAGGCGTTCGCCGATGCCTCACCATTCATCGAAGTAGTAAGAAACTCGGGAGAAACATAATACCGTTCGATTGGTAATAATCGCGGTCACCAGAATTATGACTCCAATGTTAAAAGAATACCCGAGGAAGGACAAATGTTGCGAGACGAGACGTTTTAGTCATGCCATTTCAGGTCTAGTTGCTGAAGCTCCTAGCTCTCAGCTCCGTGCGCTAAACGGGATAAGCAGGAATACATTAGTAATCATCGTAGCATTCAGGGGTGAAGCTCTATAGAGGTATCCATCGATGTCAACTAATCTACCTATCTAAGTAGTTAGAAATTCCCGGAGACTTTCGGAAACTAAGTCTTTCCGAGGGGGTTCGGTGGTTCTATTCTTTGCATCGTGTTAAAGATACCTACCTAGGTAGCTATGATGGATCGATTACGTAACGCACATATCCCATAAAACACATTAAGTCTCAGCTTGGAGATCATCACCTCCCCCATACCTATATAAACAACTCATCCGTGTTTTCGAAACGAATAAACATCTCATCTTCTCAGACTTATATATATACCAAATAGTAGTTTTACTTCAGAGAATAACTTCACGACAATGGCGGACGGCAAGCCCACTCTCCACTACTTACAAGTGAGTCAGATTTTACCTCATCACGGAGCCATAGCACTACTAAACTAACAAATATAGGACTCACAAGCCCATCTTGTTCTCTGGGTTCTGGAAGAATTGGGGATAGAATACCACCTGGTACTTCACAACCGCATAGCAGCGCGTTCGCCCCCAGAACTCAAAGCTGTGCATCCCCTCGGCAAATCACCCACACTCGTCACACCCTCCGGCCGCGTGATAACCGAGCGCAGTGCTATTACACTATGGCTGCTCAACACTTACGACAAAGCGGGCCGTTTCCGTATCCCTTCATCTCCCACGGGTGAGGGGACAGAAGACGATGATGTAGTCCGGGAGGAACAGTTAATCTCCCTGGGCGGCGCCACATTAGGCCCACTACTTATGATGAAACTTATCTTCGAGCTCTTAGTCCGCCGCGCACCATTCTTCGTGCGCCCACTGGTTGCAGGTGTGCGGTACGCATTGAACAGCGCGTTTTTAGATGCGGAGCTCGCGCATGTAGTCGGGTATCTCGACTCCGAACTCGCTGCGAAAGACGGGAAGGGCAGTCGGAAATGGTTCTTAGGTACTGAGGAACCGACGCGTGCGGATTTCTCGACGTTGTGGTATCTCGATTGGGCGAACCAGTGGGGGTGGATTGATATGGAGAAGTATCCGAGATTGAAGGAGTTTCATGCGAGATGTTTGGAGAGACCAGCTTGGAAGAGGGCGTTGGAGAAGGGGAATGGGTATAATTTGAAGTTTTGGTGACGTAGGGGGCTGGAGATTTGAAGGGGTGGCATAATGTATATTGGTCTGATATGGTACATATGTATGAATAATACCCTGCTCTAATTATGTATGTACCTACCATATACCAGTGGCGCTTTGTACAATACTAGTATCGAAGTAGTTTACCATATTCAGTTCAGTTTTCTTCAATTGCCTAGATGAGCTTGCGAGCGAACGTTCGGCAATATCTAGCCTACCCCAATGATGTTCTGAAATTATTGTATTATCATTGTCGTGAACCGGATTAACAGAAGCGGGTTAGTCTCGAAGCCATGAATCAATCCGAGACGTTGAAACGGCGAGACTAATAATGCCGCCGGCCAAACCACTTGAAGTGGTTCGCCCACGGGAAGCGATTTACGGCCTTGGATAAAAAAAACAAAAAAAAAAAAAAGTCTGGGGACGACTACAGCGCTGGCAAGGTAATTGATCCTATGACGATCCGATATAACGGATGTCACTACCCGATAATTTACCGTTCCTAGATTCACCTGCAAGTCATCGTGAGAATTGTATTGGTAGAGTGTGCGGCGATGACCCGCACGCGCATCGCATATGCAGCCCGTTTGCTGGATTTGGAGTAGCTTGCAAGCCTCGTAGGATTCTACCCGTGTTGTACCACGTTCAAGTTCCGCCCTTCAAAAATCCAAGAGTACAGTACTCTACGCAGCGATGGGCAATGTGCCGATTTATCGGGGCCGAAAAGTCCTGGAATATCCCGCGAGCTAGGAATGGCTAGCAAACGATGCGGAAGCATTCCGCTCCACGAGAGCTTCAATGATCCGAAGTCCGAAATCCGGCTGCTCGAAATCGACGATGAACACACTGGGGACATCCGCTGGCGCATGTCAATCATTTCCCTTAAGGATAAGCCACAATTCACAGCTCTCTCTTATGTCTGGGGTGACCCGACCATAACAAACCGTATAATCGTCAACGGACATAGTGTTTCAGTGACAGCAAACCTAGCGTCTGCACTTCGCAATGTCCACTAACATTGGATGCAGGAGTTAGGGCCGCATACCCAGCATCGATTCCGCATATGGGCAGACGCCTTATGTATTAACCAGGCTGATGTCGAAGAAAAGAACCATTAAGTTCCGTTGATGAGATCTATCTACTCCTCCGCAGAACTCGTGATTTGTTGGCTCGGTCCATCCGATCCCAAGACGCATCTTGCTTTTGATACAATCCATGTGCTTCACACCGAATGGATACACCTTTGTCTTGAGGAACTCATCGCTTTCGAGTGGATACGTGGGCACCCCTCGTTACACGAAACACTTACCGATGACTCTTCCGTGAATCAACATTGGGATGCCGTGCAAACTTTCGCCAGGCTAAAGTACTGGAGACGCACCTGGATCCTCCAGGAAGTTATCCTCGGCAAGAAAGCTATCATAGCGTGCGGCTTTAAGGCTATTCCATGGTTCTAAGTACGAAAGGTCGTAGAGACAGCGACGGCGCTTAGTGCTGAGGTGGGAAGATCCGGGATTGACTGGCCAACTTTCATCTGCCCAAGCGTCTGGAAAACTATTAAGAATATCCGCGTAGATTGGGCCGCCATCTTATTCTTCTTCTATACTGGCGCAAGTTGGGCTAACCGCAGAGAACAAGCTTTGATCAAGACTGATTGGCAACTTGCAGCCGTAGCCGGGCGCATGCTGCAAGCTACAAACCCGAAGGACCATGTATATGGTCTCATGAGCATATTCCCGATCCCACTCGTCCCCGACTACTGTCGCTACAGTATATCGCGATTATGTTATCGCTTGGCTCCAAGATTGGAACTTGGGTTCTTACAAGAATGTGGAAGAGCATTATTTTCTGCTATATTCGGGCTTACCTAGGCCGCGCGGACTTGAAGCTACCTTCGTGGGTACCGAATTTTCCGGCGCTATCCGCCCATCGACAGGAAGTCTACGAGGAGCATCGCCAATTCGGCGAATTAATCGCTGATGGCCAAGCAGACCATTCTGTGTTTGAACTGGGTATAGAGGGCTCGACAATTGTCGACATGTCCCTATTCGTGAACGGTTTGGACCTAGGGCCCATCGCTAGTGCCGAAGAATACGGCGATGATATGAGTCGGGTGTCTGATCCTACAGGAAAGTATATACAACAATTCGTTTCAGAGGTACCTACCTATGTCGACGGATCGCCCTCGCTCGAAGCAGTTTTCCGGCTCTTCTGCCGGAAGTCTTACGGAATGGGCCAGCCCATCGACGCGGATGGAGTTATTAAGGCCCTAGGTTTCCTGGAGACTTTACTACAAATTGACCCTGACGGATCACCATTGAGCGGCAGTGAGCGCAGGGAACAGCTAGAAAGCTTCGGGCTGGAAGCATGTGACGCAGACGCATTCGCATCTTCTTTCGTAGCTACATTTGCAGCGGAAGGTAATCCCGCTCACCAATCCGAGGCGCATGACATTCTTGGTCGATGGTATAACTCCCCTAGCGGCCTTAGTAGTGCCAAAATGGAGCTAGACGATGATTACTTGGCAGTGATTGTTGACATCTGCTTGGACTATCTCCAGCAAGCGAACCGTGGGGCCCGCCAAATGCTCTTCCGAATAGGGCCATACATCGGTGTTTCCCAACGCGGGATCCAGGTTGGGGACCGAGTGTGCATCTTAAAAGGGAGCAACACGTTGTCGGTGCTGAGGGGGGTACAGGACGTTGAGAGTCAGTACTACCACATAGCCCCTTGTTTTGTCATAAGGCTTATGAATGGCGAGGCGAAGAGTTTGCTGGAGGGTGGATTGACCAAGATGCACAGATTCGAGATTCTATAATAGCTTAAGACATTGTTATACGTCTTGGGAGGGTTAGATAGGATATTGAGCGAAACGATTAGCCGATATCCTTTTACGATCCAGTGGGCGCTTGAATCGAAGCTCATGAAACCCAATTCCAATCCCGTATGGAGATTTTACGAGACCCGCAAGAAGCACTTAGACGACATCACGCTACGTATAAATCCCTCCAACGATATCAAGAATATCATTATGAAGGAATTGCTATCCGCCTATACACTCTATCCTCATCCACCTAGGTAATCGACGTCCTGACGTCCACCAGCAGTGCTCAGTGAGATCATAGCGCATTAGAACATCTACTTCGCGAATGTGAGAACCGAAGCCATAAGCCGAAGACTTCGCGCAGTTTTGGGTAAACTCAGTTCGAATGGCACCGTATAATTACGCCGAATGTTAAGTCCGAGATTATCGACAAGCATCAGTCGTTGCATCCTCTAATACGTAGGCATCACTAAGTCCGACAATGCTTTTTCTCTAGTGAGGTCTATATAAGAGATACTATGATGCAGGTGTCACAGGAAGGTGTCTTATACGCCACTTGGAGGCGGAATGCGGGGAAGTCAAGGGCATACTCACCTCCAACTTCAGGGTCACATTGCGGAAGGACGATCATGGATCTTCCCCTCTAGGCCAGACCCGTGAGAGTTATTCAGCCGAGAAAGCTATACGGATTAGGCTAGCAGATCGAACAAGTCGGGATCGATGACCGTCACGGCGCATGATCGGTAGGCCTTCAGCGGACCGAGGAACGATTCTATTCAGGGATTCATTTCGGCATATTCTTCAGTCATTCCACGAATAAAAGCAATTGCGACAACGCGAAAGGGTATAAATAAGGTGAAAAGAGACTACAAGTCCCTAGGAAGACAGGCCAACCAGAAGGGCAGTCAATATGTTCGACCGCAGGCTCCTCAGCCTTGTGGCATTATACTCCCTAGGGGCTACGGCCTCAGTCATCGTACGAAAGACAAACAAGGGGCCGACGGGTTATGAAGTAGATTTCCAATATATCAACAAAACGGCGAGCCGCGTGCTTATCGGCGGTGGCCTAGAGCCGTTCACGGATCAGTTTCACACCACGTTAAACAACCGTGCGTGGTATGACCCGCACGACTACCACCCGGGTGACTTCTACATCAATTCTGGGACGCCGGATCCCGACTACCAATGGCCGTATGAGATGACCAAGGAGGGTGAAGATAGTCTGTGGACATACACGACGCCGCTTCCCTCCGGCATCTATAGCTATGCATACTTGGTCAATTGCGACTATGCTCCTAACTGTAGCATCGATACCGGCCAGCTAGTCATCGACCCAGATCAACCCCCTTTCCAAAACGTTCAAGGCGATCAGGTGGCGTCCAGCTTCCAGGTGCCGTTCGACGCACGATTCCAGGGAACTGATGATATTAACGCCAACTTCGACTACGCACTCTCGGCTCCAACCGAGTACCGTGGCACCATCAAGTCCGTCAACTACACATCGCCAGGATCGATCCACCCCGCGCCAGATGTGCACCACTTCGCGCTGTACCTACCGGCGGAGTACGGCACAATCCCCAACAAAAAGTATCCCCTTCTCTATCTTTCGCATGGTGCCTTCGGCAACGGCAACGACTGGGAGAATCAAGGTCGTATGTCGAGCATCGTCGACAACCTGATTGTAGGTGGGCACATTGAACCAACAGTCGTAGTCATGCCATCGTTCTACAACCTGGACGACAGTCTGCCCCGCTTCATCATGGGGAATCAGTCAAATTTTGCTCCATTGCCGACATCGATCCACATTCGGGAGAACTATCAGAAGTATCTGTTCCCATGGGTAGAAGAGAACCTCGACGTCTGTAATGAGACCTCATGCCGCGCCTTCGCGGGCCTATCCTGGGGCGGCCGGCTCACGTACGAGATGTACGTCAACGCGACCGATTACTTCGACTGGTTCGGCATGTTCTCGCCGGCGACCGAAGGTCCATACGTAGATAACGTGACGTTAGCGGAGAACCCCGCGTTAGCGAAAAAGGGGGTATTCGTGGCGTACGGATTGTATGATCTTGTGTTCGACGCCGGGAAGGATTTACAAGCGGCTTTGGATAAGTTAGGAATCAAGACCATATCACGGATCTCGCCGTTCGGCGGTCATTACTGGAATACCTGGCAAGATGAACTCTGGTGGTTCGGCGTCAAGGCTTTGTGGAAGCCGTTCCCGTATACGGCGCAAACCGGGCGGTAGGATCGGCCCGTGTAGATCTACCCATTAAGAAAAGAATATTTTCGTCTTCGTTCGATGACGTCTGATTTAATGTCCGTTTCAAGATGTGATAACGCGGATCTCTGCAGATATCAATTAGAACCATGGACCTGGGTTGTAGATACTCGCAGACTACTCATAGCCTCCGCAATAGTGATGACATCGCATGTGAGGTCGTCAGGTTGCCGAATGACAGTCACGCCACGTTGGAGTCCTAGACATACCTTCGATTTCGGTAGCAAACTTTTTACGGCACAGATTGCCGTAATAGTATAAACCTCTCCGACTTCTCGGTAAGTTCCTCAATAATTGAAAAGGCTCCAGAACTCCCAACAACCATACCTAACCCAGAAGATTCGCCACATTAAATAAGAAACGTACGACCCCGATCACATAACCCTACAAAGCGCCTTAGGGGAGATCTCTAGAAACGGCCCACAAGAACGAACACGGCGACCCGACGCGCTGGGACTATGTGTAAGGGAGAATAATCGAACTACGATGACAACACGCGTGGTGTGAATCCGGAATCGAGCGTCGCGCTAGACGGAGATGACAATACACATGAGCAAAACAATGTTCCTACTTACCTAGGTATGATTAACCCACCAACCAGCCAGCTTTGACTATATGACTGTCGATCAAGGACAAGTGGAGGAGCAAGATACGCAAGACTACCAGAGAGTCGGTACGATCGATGCTTGGCCTAAATATCTTATGTACCTGTGAACTCGTTTTTTTCGACATGGGACGTGTTCGCATTCTGCCACCTGCATGTAGGGACTAGACTCATTCATCTAAGTTAGACAAGTATTTCTTGGCCTCGAAATGTCACTCCGGTATATTCACACTAATATCTGGTTTATTAATGGTTTTATAACTCCTGGGCATGTATATTTATGTATACTTACGTATAATACCTAGGTAGTTTTACCACGCTGTTTGCTTAGCTCTAAGGGGACGGCGGACCGCGCCCGTCCCAGGGAACAAGAATGGGTTGAGCTTTCAGATTCGCCGGTGGAGTAAAAAACCTAAAGGCAGGGATTTAATAGAATGTTCTATTTACCTTAACAAATTGTTATGCATTTGATGCTGTGCATTAGCAGAGAACTGTTACACATCGGCCACTTTTTATAGGTAACACAACGTATGTAATCACCTAGAATTACGCGCCGACTATGCCGTCGGGCATTTATACATCAAGATTCGGAGTGCAACAACGTCATTGTTCCACTGGAGGTATATAATTGCCGGAATTAAGAGTTACTATTTGCGAGTGTTATTAACGACGTAGGAACGGAGATAGTGCAGCGGCAGGGTTCTTCTGACGCCACGATGTATCATGCAAATGTTATACATAAAGTTTCAGATTCGATCCGGAGAAATAGATGAAGCGTAGAATGCGGCTGACTTGACAATAGGGCTGAATAATGGACAGGAAACTAAACGACGTGTCATATTAGAAAATCTCAAGGTCCTAACATGGAAGAGTGTCACGAGGTTACAATGACAAAGAAGCTAAGATTCTAGTGACGATGGCTTCAGTTTAGCACGAGATGACGTGGGCCAACCGAATACGTAGCGGGGCAATTCTTCCCGAACCGACATAACAGAAACTCCCAACTACCGAATGAATTGTGCGACGCACAAAAACTGCCTTAATTTTCTACCGTCTGATTGTGTAAGTAACTTTCCAAAAATCCAGCCAATCTGAATTCCTATAATCCTGCATTCCCGATTAACTTGTCTCACACAACTGGTGAGATGGCCGCGAATAAGCCAAGCCGCGAAATCTTACCTTAGCTATCAGTCAGACAACCTTGGAAGTCTAGAAATTTCCTAATTTGGTAAGTCCGGGTTGAGACCCGAGAGGACGGAAGGAAGCTGCAAGTTTTTGCGGATTGTCTGCCTAGTTGCTCCTGCATTTTTGGAAGCTGCTCCTCATAACAGCCCGTACCCGTCCCTGTGGAGCTCCGCCTGCGCTAGAGCTTGTTGAGGAGGACAAGGAGGACTGTGCTGGGACCGCCTACTGTAATCCAATGGACCATAAAGTTAAGTTTGTTTGTTTGCTCATTGTTAGATGGAATCGCGCGACTCTTAAAAGTGTGTTCCGAATGCAGATTCACCGACCATAATCAGAGTAGTGGAATACGAATTACCGGAAAGTGTGATCCCAAGTGGTACGGTCGTACGATCTAAATCAGCTCATACAGCTCATACAGAGTCGCATAAGGTTTGTTAAATTGCTGCGTAATGCTAATCGGGCGATTTCTGATTGGATATAGCTATGAACAGTAGCCGTTTTGGGGGCATAAGTGACCTGATATGGGGCGGGGACAGCCGTTCGACACGACAGCCGACTTTAATACCCACTCACTTTATTATCCACTAAGAATGACCAGTAAACTACCTAGTAACTGTACAACTTGCACAGCTACTAGTTGCCTGCCAGGTTCCCTCCCTTTGTTTTTCCTTGCCTGCCTTGAAGCTACCTACCTAGGTAGCTAGCGTGAACCCTTCAGGGGATTTAGCACCTTCTATTCAATCAAATGAATGTACATTCACATTCTGTGCTACCATCCACCCATCTCATCATCGCTATAACCAGCCAACCAAGTCACAGCAAGCGCGTATGTATACCATGTATACTACTTAACTTTTAGTTACAATTCGTCAGACAGCCAGCTGAGCCTATTCGTGTGCCAGGGGTCCCTTTTTATTTTATCTTTTCTTCCTGTGACCCTCTAGAACTCTACAAGGTAGATCAAGTATTTCCTTTTCTATTTAAGGAAAAGTTGTACAGGCAAATAAAACACCCTCCACTCCCCTCCATCAAGTTTCCATTCCTACGTTTCTAGTCCTCTTCTCAAGGGTGTATGTCCTCCTCTGCCTATCAACTTCCCTTCTCTGCTTGTCTCTCCTAGCGCCAAGACATTCTCTCGATCGGTATCCTACGTATTTAAATAAGCGAGCGAGCGACTCTTTTCTTTCTTTGATACCCTCTTACAAGCGTATTTTATCTGTACTGTTGTCATAACAACCTGCAGTACCGACCCTCGACTAGCAACAAACCTACATCGAATCGAGGTCACGAGCCATTCTAATACCACAAGCGCCAATATGTCGCCCACTTATACCATGTCTGCACACTTGTGCAAGCAAATCTACAAATCGTTCCAAACGCGCCAGACCTCGCCCGAGCCTTCAAGTAGCCCGACAACCACCACTTACACGTCAACGTACTTACGCCGTTCCCCTTCACCCGTCCCCGAAAAGCGATCTATGGATAGCGACCGCAGCGATTCTGGCTCTCACTCCACATCACCATCGTTGCCGAGTTCAAGTACAAGTTCAAGCTGGAAGTGGGGCGGTCGCTAAGTTGACAAATGACCAGTACCTAGCTCCTACTGGTCTTACCAATCCATTTGCTTAGAAGCTTAGAAGGAGAAAGAATGCGGAGGTAACATGCTGGGCGATGACGTACCGGCTATTATTGGAGCAAATACCATGATACCCCTTTATTTTATTGAAATTGAACTTCGAGGAATTGGCGAATACCTACCGACTACCGAGTTGGCACGACACCCGATGAATCACGCGATCCATCTCTCCAATCGCGCAACGCAAGGAAAAAACGCCATATATTACCCTATTACATCTCGCATACCTATATTAGGTACTCATCGACGCTACTACTGCACACTGCAGGGCGCCACAATGCGCGATGATGCTAGTGTACTTTTTTGTTACAAGAAATAATCTGCTATGTTCTTGAAAGCTATTGGGATGGGCGTTAGTTATCACTCAATCATGCAGTTCCCTGCGGTGGAATGGAGTTAACGGTTTATTAATCTGAGGAAAGAAAGCGTATCGCGATGCGTTTTAAGAATGGTTATTACACACTACGTAGTACAAGATTGGTATTGGGTCTACGTTCCCCTGTAGGCCATGGTCTTATTGCAAACCATGGAGCTGGGAACAGTAGAATGTACACTTATCCCAATACCAAATATAACGACTATTGTCCATTATTTTACGTTGTCTATTTGATGGAATTTAGAAAGTGACCAGTTGTTTAGCTTCATTGCTCAACATCTATACCTAAGCTACCCCGGATGTATTAACAACGCGGCACTTCTACCTAGGGGCCATTAACTGAGGCATCGGCAAATGCACCGGTAATCACTGCTGCAGTAGAACCCAAATGAACAGTAACCTTCGAGCACTCAGCACATACCACAAAAAAATCCAAAAATTATCACATATTATAGAACCAATCGCCGCATACCAAACCGTTATACTCCCACAAAGGTTCTCAACAAAAGACTTTGAGTCTGTTACCTTGATGTCTTTGAATCACAACTCTGGCCAGTTGAGTTCCGCGTCATTAAAATGGAAAGGTACCTAGGTAGGCAGGCAGTAAACTTCCAATCTCAAGAGTCATCAACTTACTCGGCTCTAAGATCTGTGCTAAACATAATTGTATATCATTTTCTATACAAGTTCATATTAGACTACACATAATATGAGGCTCATGGACTTCCCAAATTTTTTTGTCGCGAAGAGATTAATTTAGCTCGTGCTAAGCGACGAGACCCGACCCATAGAATCAGATACAATAACATCTTCATAAACCAAATGCGCACCTGTATTACTCTGAATAGTCCTATTAAGCTATGTAGTCAACTAGCTAGGGGTACTTATCCATTGACGCCGCCTAATGCACATGTTACATGCATGTATGGTCTATCTAATAACGTAGGAGTAGGTATATCATCTCACTTCGTGTCTTTTCATGCCAACTCGCTTCCACCTCAACTCCTCGCAAACATCAACGTCTACAGCCATAATAGGCGAATCAACCCATAATAGGGGTGAAATTTGCTTCATGCATTTAATGCGACAGCACTTCCATAACTCCCTGTATTAAGCCCGACCATCCTCTTAACACTAAGCCAGAGCTCAAAGGCCTCCAGCTTAATTTCAACTCTTAGGAAGCCCACCCACGCGGCGATAAACCTAAGCGCATTGCCGGGTCTCAGTAGACTTCCGGGACGGGCTCGTATTTCTTCGACCTGCTCCCTTAGAACCGTACGCGCACAGTACCTCGCCAGAATCATGAAACTCCTCACAGGTCCTTGGCGTGTATGTAAATTCTCATCCAGACTTCTTGTCAAATCGTTGGTTTTAAGAATAAGCAGTATAATCCTTGGAACCTGTCCCAGCATCGTAACTAGATCTGATAACAGACCCTCCTGCAACGCATCTCCCATCGACTTCTTTTCTTCCTCGGATCGCTCTGTTAGGACCGATGTTCGTACGGTGGTGAAATCCCGTCCAGTGATCGCGCTCGCAAAGAGTGGGAATTGTTCGTCATTTATACCCGCGACCTCATGCGCGTATTGTTTCATGGCGGTCATGTCGCCGTCGATGACCGCGAGCCACATCTTCGCATACGACCGCTGGAGGTCCTCGGGTATATCCCGGTATAAACCGTGGTCGTAGATGATGATTTCAAAATTGGCGCCACCGGGGCGACGGCGGGATGCCTTCCGGATGGCCAGGTTGCCGCCATGCGGGTCACAGTGTAGGGGAGCGTTCTTGCCGAAGATCATCTCATTGAAGGTCCGGGCAAGGGTCGCTGAAACCTCATCCCGGTCGATGTGGTTTGAGTCAAGGTACTCGAGGTCATCGAGTCGGTGGCCGGACTCGTTGGCCATCACTAAAATTCGCTTTTTTGCCCATAGTACTTCAGGAATTACGAGGGGTAACTCGGGGATTTGTGAGAAGTATTCCTGTGTACGGATTGCGTTGGCGGCTTCAAGCTGAAAGTCAAGTTCCTGCGGTAAGGAAACTTCCATTTCGGATGATAGCCACTCCAGATCATACTCTGGGAAGAATCGTTTCAACGTCGAAAACGTGAATTTCGTTAATGCTAGGTCAAGAGGTGTCCATTGCGCCAACACAGGATGCTGGACTTTGACAGCAACCTTTCGACCGGTCTCCTTTACCGTTGCCAAATGTACCTGTGCTAGAGAAGCAGCCCCTATCGGTTGTTCAGAAAATTCCGAAAAGTAATCTTTTAATTCTTCGCCCGTATCAAATCGAAACATTTGCTCAATCGACTCGAATGAAGACACGGGGCACTTGTCTTGTAGCGGTATAAACGTATCGGTCCACTCGCGTGGGAGTAAATATGTCATAGCACTCTGTTCAAGGTGTCAGCAAAGATCCAACACCATATGTTCGTTCTGCCTTTAGTGCAATTACCAAATGTTGTCCTAGCTTAATAAATATACCTCCATTTTTCTCGAGGACTTTAAGTGTTCGTTTCGCACATCTCTTATGACATGACTCTAAAAGTGACTCCTTTTCTTTGGGATCTTCGGTCTGATCTCGCTGGTTTAGTGTTGTTCGATAACTGCGAGTTGAATGCGTTAGTTATGGGTTCAGCCCCTTTCGCCCGCACTTATCCATGACGTACTCATTGATACATATTGCTAGAGCGGCAGCGACTCTTCCTGTTCGTTCCGTAGTCTCATAACCATATTTTATTTCATCCGTGAAAGCCAGAACCCCAGCCCCTGTAGCAGCAGTTGCCGCTGCAGTCAATATAGTGACTCGTGTCCTTGGAGGTTTCGTTGTTCGCTTCGAGTAACCTGACGATTTAGTCGCATATTGTCTCGCAATGGAACGCTGTGTCGTTCTAACGTGGGCTAAAAGTAATTGGGTGCGGCAGTTCGAACAAGTCCATGATCGGTTGCTGGCAAGTCGGCCAAGCGAATTGATCGAAGGGCATTTCATGGTAGCGTGATTACACTCATTTGTAGCGGTAAGTCTTTAATATTTTACTGTAATAAAATCGATTGATCCTATGAGTAACCGAACAATAAAGACATGATGTTATTCTTCTTATTTTCTTAATTATTAGCAAATAAATAAATAAGAGTCGGTGGAGAAAAGAAAAAAGAAGAAAATCGCGTCGGCGATTGTTGAATCTTCGATTATGTTGGGAATAATTGCAGGCTAATAAAATTTCAAGAGTCTTTTTTTTGGTCTATGGCTCGGTCTATGGGCATGCATCCCCCCGGCTCACGTAGAAAACCTCGGCGTCATAGGTACAGGGATAAAAGAACATTCTATTTAGAAGGGAAACCAAACCTGGATCGTGCGATGCAAGGTTCAGATCGACATGAACATAATCGGATTAATATTGCCGAGTAAGAGAATAATGTTACCTAATCATGTACTTAAAGATGTATTAGTCAGGGGTTTATAGTGATTTGAGACATAAAGCGCTCGGATAATCGTCCCGGAATCACGAACTATTCTATTAACCCAAATCAATATAACCCGCCGATCCTCTTTACGCGTTAGAACCCCGCTTTTGTGCATTGATAGGGGTTTGTGGCGCGTTTACTGTTCCCCTACTCGCGTCTCCTCTTCATTAAACCCATTCATTGAAATAGTCGTACTATTCACTCCAGCCTGGTTGAATGAATCCATCCAACAAAGAAAAAAAACACCAACTTCACCTCGTATATCACACCATTCAACCACAACTTTATAATATCAGACGAAATGCTAGCCACAATGCCTGTCTTCAATCTTGACTTCTCATCGCCGCATCGGCCGACGCATTCTTCCCCGCTATCATCTTCGCCCATCAGAGCAAACTCTCCACCTCTATCCCCTCGCAATCCCAACACACTTCCTAGATTTGACACACAATCTTCGCCTATCCGAGCGCCATCTCTGAAGTTTAAGTTTGCTTCTCGCGATGCGAAGAAGAATCCCTTGAGGCAAACACGAGAAATTGCGCAAGAAAGTAGGCGAACATTATTCCTGCGAAATGTACGAAAGCGAGCGGATGACAGGAAATGGGAAAAGAGAGGAGGCGACCAAGAGGTAAATATTATCCCAATTGATTGGTCCAGCTCTTTCCATCGATATTAACGGATTTTCAGGCATTAAAGCTCGAGTGGTCCATATTAGATCGTCAACGACGAGAACAGAAAAACGCCGACATTGATGGCATTGTATTCGAGGATGAGATTGACGACATCCCGGAGCTACAACGCCAGGTGCCCCCAGAGAACCCCGACGATATGATGATGGTCGATGAGATAGCCCAACAAGAGGAACGAGAGTTGGATGCGATGTTATCCATGTACGAAGCTCAATCGACCCAGACATCTCAACCCTTTGTTCCGCAATCACCGGCGATGTCCGACGATGAAGATTACGATAGCATCTTCATGGATCTCCTATCGCAACAAAGGAGTAATCAGAACTTCATATCATCAGGGCAAATGGACATGTCGTGAGATTCGGATCGGAACCTCTTGTATTCATCCATGTGGGCAATGGGCGTTAACCGGTACGGATCAGGATTCAGGGTGGCAAGGGACATTAATGATTAAGGGAGTTCTATAGGAGGATATGGTATGAGAGCGCATCTTTCATGTACATGCGATTTTCGGTATCTGGGCCTGACATTTTCCAGGCGTGTATATGCAAATGAGGATCAATAGTCCTTCGTGTATTTATTGCGTCACTGAGGCGCACAGGCCTCATCAGGTGCATCAAGCACTTCTTTGGCAGAAGGCATATCCCCAACTAGGTCATGGGGAGGAGAACCTGCTGCTTGCATCTATTGCTCAAGTTAGTACATAGAAGCATGAGGCAGATATCTCCTTGGAGAATAAACTTGCTTACCTTCTGCATTCTGTCCACAATATACTCTCGATCCGCCGCGTTGGAATCGGAGTATGTAGACTCTTCGAACTTGGTGACCATCTCAGAAACCAAGACTTGCTGTTCTTGATAACGTTTTAAATCGTCTTTTGCGAGTGTATCCTTGTTCTTCTCCATCCACCCGGGAAACTTGTCATTCAATTCTTTCATAGGCTCGTAGAGGATCTCCTTGTTAGTGAGTTGCTCCATCATACCCATCAGCATTTTAGATAAGTCTTCCTCGCTACCTCCTTCACCTGGTAGATCCTTCATCGCTTTCATCATCTCGGCGATGAAATCATCCTCGGATCCTTCTGCGGCTGCGGCAGCAGTAGCTTGGTCACCAGATTCTTGCATCCTTGCCATCGTGCGTCGAATCGTTTCCTGAAATGAAGCATCTTGACTTAAATCTGCTGCTGCTCTTTGGGATGATTGGGGACGTGATTCTGAATCGGCTCCTGAACTTTCTGCAGTTGCATCACCAAGACCTTTGAATATGTTCTCAAATTGGGCTTGCATATCCGGCTACTTTATATCAGATCTCGGTTGCAACCATATGTAACAGCATTATAACTCACCGAATTTTCCAAGCCACTCATTAGTTCTGCCATGCCAGCCTGAAGTTGCTTTTGAAATTCCTCTTCCGTCAAATCGTCCAAACCTTCTAGTGGGATATCCGTATTCGACGGCGCGTCCGTTGGGGCAGATATTGGCGCAGCTGGAGCAGGTATTCCGGATCCAGATGAAGTAGGGGGTTTCTGTGCGTCTATGTTCACAGTGGAAAACTCATCCAACATGTCGTCTAAGTCGTCGAGATCGTCCTCATCGGGATCAGGAGCGTCTTCCACCTCAGGCGCGGGAGCTACGCTCCTTCCTGCATTCGCTGGCGCATCTTGGTGAGCTGGATTAGGAGCATCGCCTGCCGCCTTACTTGCCTCCATTTCGTTGCTTGTGTATTTACTGTTGTCGCTTCCAGTTTGTGAGTAACAAGGCGTCCCTAGTTCAGACTGTGGCTTAAGCTTCTTTCTCTATGCCGTTAGAGCCCAAATCAACCAAATTGGCACAAATATGAAGAGTCGGTTCACCGAACAAAGGCCGGGTACAAGAGAGCTAGTTAAACAATGGTGTTCCAGAAGGTTACATATGTAAATGAGAAAAGAACTCAACCCGGGCAATTAAAAGGCATCAATAATGAATAAGAGGGGCTCTTAGTAGAATGATAATAGTTGTGACTTGAATTAATGGAAAGTGCACAAGTTACCGAGGCCTTTAAGCTGTATGATGCTTGGCGGCGGCGTGCTAGTTAGATCGTCCGTAATTCCCATATAGAAAACGTGAAAACATAAGTGGGTGCATAATAAACTCGAATATCATACAGCAATTCCGTTATGGAACCGGTTTGCTTTCGGTTTTGCATAATATTACGTTATGACCTAATGGTATGGGTTCCACGATAAGATTTAGAAACAACCCCACTAAGATGGGGGGCACTTTCCAAGGTTCTGGCAGAATCTATGCAAGGTAACTTAGGCTACTTAGGCAGTCACCGCCTACTCTTTTTGATGAGTCCTTGGTGATTACCTTTTTTTGCCCATAATAAAGGACGTGGGAAACTGCTAAGGAATCGCAGAAATAGCACCAAAACCCCTGTAAGAAAGACGCTATCCGTTAACAGCTTCTCACGCCGCTATTCACATTCGCACATCGCTTTGAGGTCTTACCTGCCCAACTTTATACTCCTTCTCTTTTCTTCCTCGACTTTTCTTCTTTTTCTTTTTTTGCTCTTGACTAATAATCATAAGCCCCGCTGGATACTTCGCGCATAAATCATCTAAATCATCTACAAGGCTCCATTCGTTGTGATCCTTCGATCGTTGAAACAACTCGTAGATCCAACACCAATCTCGTCCTACTCTCCAACTTCTCGAGCATTTTGCGCAAAGTTCGAGGGAAGATTACACAACGTAACCGAACACTTACATAACAGGAAGTCCGACTACCACACTGACAACCACAAGTCTTACGTAGCCATCACCCTACGATCAATCCCATCACGATGTCTCTGTGCCAATTGCGCCTCGGAGAAGAGCGGTATGTTGTACCTTTCGCTATAAAGATTGCGCGAGGTATTTGTGACCTCCATAGACCTGAACTAACATTCATGTTGCAATAGAAAGCAGTGGAGAAAGGATCACCCTTTCGGCTTCTGGGCAAGACCGGTTAAGAATTCTCAAGGTGTTTTAGACTTAAAAGTCTGGGAATGCGGTATTCCTGGCAAGGAGAAGACGATGTGGGAAGGCGGACTTTTTAAGCTGACCATGACATTCCCTGATGGTAGGTTCCACTTAAGGCATTGATTATAAGATGAAAGAATAGGGCTGACTGAAATCATTTCTATAGAATACCCCACCAAGCCTCCGAAGTGTACGTCTATTACACCAACGACTATCGCATAGCGAATATTTCTTATCGGCTACTAACTTCCATATCTAGGCAAGTTCACGCCCCCGCTATTTCATCCGAATGTCTACCCTTCCGGTACCGTCTGCCTTTCGATCTTGAACGAAGACGAAGGCTGGAAGCCTGCGATCACGGTGAAGGCGATCGCGCTCGGCATTCAAGACCTTCTAGATAACCCGAACCCCGAATCTCCAGCGCAAGCCGAAGCATACAACCTTTTTAAGCGAGACAAGGCTGAATATGAGCGACGTGTCAAAAAGACGGTCAGAGAAAACCCAGCCAACTAAATCGTGCCGTTAAAAGAAGACGAAGCCTTAGGGAGAGGGATGGGGATTATTATACTGGATGTGCTTTAGGGATTGGAGTTCAGGTCACGGATACCAGATACGGGATGGCTGACTTTTCTGCATTTGAGCCCTCGGAGTTTGACACAAGGCGGTTAACATAACGCGATGATGTCAAACGGGTTAGTGTTTTGGCACTTCGGCCATAGGAGTTCGCAGGTTTTTTCTGACCGGTGAGAATACGAGGGAGTCGAGCCTTGTGGTGGGAAAAATGGTACCGCGTGAGATCGAAACAGGCTGTTTTCCACATGGATTCCCAGATATTATGCAGTTAGATGTTCCGTATAATGACCAACGGTGTTTACCTCCCAGGCGCTACTGCCATCCCCTACACCCAGATTTATTGACCTTGCAAATTCGCCATAGATTTCTCGAGACTTACATTGATGAATAGGCCGCTCGGTATTCGTATGTATCTGCCTACCCACCTGAGGTCAATTGCAGTTTAACCTGGCCTATTAAGAGGGGATATGATATCCTCCTGCAGATTCTTTGTACCACGTAAAGTGATAAATCACAAATCACTCGAAGACTCGAATAGCACATAGTTATCTTGAAATGATGTAAGGGTCGCGTATGAAATGTACATATTACCTTTTCTATTTTATTTAGTAAGTACATCCGGATCTGATCGACCCTAGGTTATGATCGCTTAGGGGTGTGGATTATGAAGTACCTAGCAAACACCATCCTTATCAGGATCTAGGTAGAATTAGGTAATAACATAAGTTCATATAAGACTAACAAATACATATGTATCAACGAGATATATGTAATAAATCATGTACATATATCTTCTTCACCGTCCCGTTTATCTGATCATCGTATGTATCGAGGTATCCAATAGGCTCTAAGTAGTTTGTCAGTGACTGGCTTCCAAAATTGACTCTTTCCAAAAATTCGTTGTCCGAAATCGGCTAATTTTTCCAACGTGGCGGTCTTAAGCTAGTATTGATTGCGGGTGCTATGAAGCTAAAAGAGCCCCCCTACTACTTTCATCTGGCAGAATTAAAACCAAAGCTTGGTATCAGAAGGCGAACAGTACCAGTACCAGTACCATACTAGTTGATAATAAAATTTTGTGACTCAATCCAATTCGCCGGTATTGTTTTCTTCAATTGCAGAAAGAGGCACGTTTTCGTACATTCTCTTTCCCCTTCATATTTCTCCCCACGTTATTTTTACTAGACTTGGTCGCGTGGCCTATCCTCCTTTCAACCATCCTACATATTCCTCTTCGACTTGTGCCTCGCCAATTCGTTCGTTTATACTTGATATCACCTGCATACGACATACAATAGATCAAGCAAGATGTGTGGAATATTCGCATGTCACTGGTAAGTTTTATTTTACATTACCTTTTCCCCTGCATGAAATTGTTCCCTACAAAATGTCATGGAGGGGCAAAAGATCGAGGGGGAAAAAACCACCCCACCAAAAATTATTATCGATTGGATTTACTTGTGATGCCATTGGAAGAACACGTTTATAGGGTGTATCTATACTAATATGAATATTTTGCGCCCAGTCACCCCGACGTCCAGAAATTCAAGCCAACGGCTTTGAAACTGGCAAAGCAGTATGTATTAGCTATATCCAAGCTCTAGAACTTCAATTGACTTATTCGGCGCAGAATCCGACATAGAGGACCGGATTGGAGTGAGTCACAGCGCTGCGGCAAGATAACGACGTCGAACTCATACTGACTGCTTCTGCGCACGATAGGTGGTAGTGTTATCTGCAAAAACACGAGTATGAAAACCTAATAGGAAACTGGTATATATAAATCGCCTCTAACCAATGCGCTTTTAGTCCTTTGCCATGAAAGACTGAGCATTGTCGGTGTTGGTGGGTGATCACCTCGTTTGTCAAGCGCAAGGAAGCCTCCCCACTTACAAGATCGCAGAATCCGGCGCGCAACCCCTAACCAATGCCGACGAGACCATCATCCTCGCCGTCAATGGCGAAATTTACAACCATCGTTTAATACGAAAAAACCTAAAGACTCCTTATCACTTCAAGACTGCCTCGGATTGTGAAGTTATCATTCCTCTCGTATGACACCCCCAAGGCTGCGATGAAATATTGCGTCTAACATACCTGTAGTATTTGGAATATGGACTCGACGCCCCAAAGTACCTAGATGGTATGTTCTCATTTGTTCTGTACGACAAGAACCTCGACCGAACAATCGCGGCCCGTGACCCAATTGGTATCACCACGCTATACCAAGGTTGGTCTTCGAAGGAGCAAGGTACCACATACTTCGCTTCCGAGTTAAAGTGCTTGCACTCTGTTTGCGACGAAATTCGCTCCTTCCCCCCAGGACACGTTTTCGATACGAAGACCAACGAGACGATTCGATATTACCAACCGAGTTGGTGGGATGGCTCGAAAATCCCCGAGACACCCTTGGACCTGAAGCAGGTTCGAGAAGCATTGGAACGATCCGTCCGAAAACGGCTTATGGCTGAGGTTCCCTATGGTGTTTTGTTGTCAGGTGGCCTCGACTCGAGTTTGGTCGCTTCTATTGCCCAACGAGAAACCCTGCGGCTGAAGAAAGCTGCGTTGGCTGCTGCCAACGGCAATGCTGCTGAGCTAACTGAGGATCCCGACAAGGGTGAAGGTCTAGTTGGTATCGACGATGAGAACAAACTCTCGACCGTAACATACCTACCGCAACTCAACTCCTTCTCAATTGGTCTACCCGGCTCCCCAGATAACGAAGCCGCTATCAAAGTTGCCAAGTTCCTCGGCACGAAACACCATGTTATGACCTTCACTATTGAGGATGGTCTTAACGCGTTATCCGATGTCATTTACCACCTCGAGACATACGATGTAACGACGATTCGTGCCTCGACACCCATGTACCTCTTATCCCGAAAGATTAAGGCCATGGGAGTTAAGATGGTTCTTAGTGGTGAAGGAAGCGACGAGATATTCGGTGGATACCTATACTTCCACGCTGCGCCGGACAAGAAGGCCTTTCACGAGGAGACTGTTCGTCGTGTCAAGAACCTGCATCTTGCGGACTGCCTTCGCGCTAACAAGTCCACTTCTGCGTGGGGTCTCGAGGCTCGGGTGCCCTTCCTTGACAAGCAGGTGCGTTCATCTTATTAACTAACCCCCCGGTCTGATCTTATGCTGATCTTTTGTAGTTCCTCGAAGTATGCATGAACATCGATCCCCAGGAGAAGATGATCACCAAGGAACGAATCGAGAAGTGGATCCTGCGAAAAGCATTCGACACATCGGACGACCCCAGCGCAGAGCCTTACCTACCAGACGAGATCCTATGGAGACAAAAGGAACAATTTTCGGACGGTGTCGGTTATGGTTGGATTGATGCTCTAAAGGACAACGCTGAGATCCACGTCACTGATGAGATGATGAAGAACCCCAAGCCCGAGTGGGGTACTGATATTCCGGATACCAAGGAAGCGTAAGATTTCAATCGTATGTCTGTATTGCTGGGTTGTGCTAATGCCTTTTTAAAGTTACTGGTACCGATTGATGTTTGACGAGCATTTCCCTCCCCACTGCGCCTCGACGGTGATGCGATGGACGCCCACTTGGTCGAAGCAGACTGACCCTAGTGGACGGTGAGTTATTACTATTCCCAATTGAATTCGAAAGAAATGCTAATGCGTAAACATGCAGAGCTATCTCGACGCACAACGCCAAGTACGAAGCAACAGCATAAGAAAAGGTCCTGTGATGCTGGATAAATAGGGTGAAACCAAACAAAACAGCAGAAGTCTAGGGTTTGAGGTTTCGATATTTTACCATCTTAGGGTCAATTGCTGGGAACGATACTATGCAAGAGAAGAGCTGAGATTGCGCCATTATGGGAAATACTCAGCAAGTCCGGCAAGTATTGATTGGTCTCTTTTGGTTGCTGGGATGAAGTATAGACTTGGTGGGGGACTTTACCAGAGTACCTGTATGTTACCCAAAAATTGCGACAATACCAATAGAGGTTCCCTTGTATTTGTTTTAAAGCTATGGCTATGATAAGATGATGTGTTCGAATCAGTACAAAGATTAGTTGATTTCCTATGGCATTACACAGATGCCTAGAAATATGTGCTAGTATAGCCCTAAAAGGCATAAAGACAGCAACTGGGCTATTGCAATAAGGCATTGAAATAGTCCCCTAGGCAATCTCGTAGATGTAACTGGATGTACCGATTTAAACCACTCCCGGCATAAATAAACCCCACGTGGACAGGGGTAAATTAAAGAAGCAAAGCAGATTCCAGAGTTGCCAGGTGCTACGTGTTGTCATTGTGCATTTGCCGGCTGTCGATAATTCACTAGCTCCCGGCGCCAATATGAATTTTACAGTTTTGGGTGCCGATGAGATCCCGATAAGGGAAAGAACCAGCAAAGCCAATTTCCACCTTGCCGTTGTCCCACGTTGTTCTACAAAGCTTAAGTACATATTTTGCTAGGAAACCCGAAGCAGGAGCCAGCAACAGCCTGTCCGACCATCTCCCAATCCGATTCCATCTGGTTACCAAAAATCCACACACACCAAAACCATAACAACCACAACACACTTTTTTTTCCCATCCGCTCTTTTTTTGAAACTCTCTAACCACCCAACTACCTAAACGAATACAATTCGTATCCTCGTTCTGATCTGCCCAACATGTCTATCCCGGCTTTCGCTGATATTTCCAAGTCGGCAAATGACGTGAGTTAAACCCGCATATGAGAAGGCTGAAGAAGAAGAAGCTATGCACCTCGGCTGTATTTTCTTAAGCAAACGGTCGAAAAAGAAATTTCCCGCACAACACGCATAACACGTACATACGTATACATATACTAATGAATTATATCAATTCTTTTAGTTGTTGAACAAGGACTTCTACCACCTCTCGGCCGGTACCATCGAGGTCAAGAGCAACACTCCTAACAATGTCGCCTTCAAGGTTACTGGCAAGAGCAGCCACGAGAAGGCCACTAGCGGTGCCGTACGTATTTCCCTATTCGATAATACCCACCCTTAGCCAGCTTGGAAGTCAATTCCTCTTCTGCTGGCTATAGGTATAATTCTTTATCGCAAAGTCCCTCAATGACTAACAATTGGATATTCTGAGCTATAGGTCGAGGGAAAATACGCAGACAAGTCGCTCGGTAATACTACCTCTCCCACCAATGAAGCTACCAACAAAAGACATTCCCGCAGACGCCAACCGCGGCAAGATTCACTTTCAATGACATTGTCGCGAATCAAAGTGCCCGGTTCACGAGATTTTCCTCTCGAATTCACAATCCTCCTCAACCAACATGCGTCCATGTTACTAATGTTCTACCGACGCGCAGGCCTCACCTTGACCCAGACCTGGAACACGGCCAACGCTCTCGACACCAAGGTCGAGCTCGCAGACACCCTTGCCCGGGGTCTTAAGGCCGAGACTATCTTCTCGTTTCTACCCGCCACCCAGAACAAGAACGTCAAGCTCAACCTTACGTTCAAGCACGCTGCTTTCCACGCCCGTGCTTTCGCCGACATCCTAAAGGGTCCTAACGTTAACGTCGACGCCGTCATCGGCCACGAAGGTTTCCTCGCTGGTGCCTCGGCCGGCTACAACGTCCAGAAGGCTGCTGTTACCGGTTACGCTGCCGCCGTCGGTTACATCGCTCCTCAGTTCAGCGCCGCCGTCACTGCCACTGACAACCTGAGCGTCTTCGCCGCTAGTTACTACCATAAGGTCAACAGCCAAGTCGAGGCTGGTACCAAGGCTACGTGGAACTCCAAGAGCGGAAACAATGTTGGCCTCGAAGTTGCCAGCAAGTACCGCCTTGACCCTACCTCTTTCGCTAAGGTTTGTCCCTCATTCTTGCGTAATTGGATCGTGTAGGAGGAGTGTTGTTAACAAATAGGGAAATAGGCTAAGATTAACGACCGTGGTGTTGCCGCTGTCTCCTACAACGTCCTCCTCCGCCCTGGTGTCACCCTCGGTCTTGGTGCCTCTTTCGACACCCAGAAGCTCGACCAGGCCACCCACAAGGTTCGTTTCATCCCTATCCTTAAATTTCGGCATTCTAACAAAATCAATAGGTCGGTGCCAGCTTCACATTCGAGAGCTAAATGCCATATTCAAGAGAAGGATTATTTTCGGATTTGTTCTAGACGGATTCCCGGGAAGCAGATGCCCAATACCCCTTTCATCCATCCATCCTCTTTATCGTCACCATTTGTACTACCCTATACAACGTGAAAATAGGTAGGAAAATTCCTTCGCACTCGGGTGGAGATCTCTCTTGAATGTAGATTAGACAGACCTCTTCGGTTCCCGTTTTCTGGCAGGGCTGATTAAATGGTAATGCATTGATGAAAATGTACATGATTGTGTCTGTTTTGACTTTGTACAATGTGAGGTCTATATGTTTATCCGTTCTTTTTATAAATCACCGACATGTCTCCTTTTCCAGCCTTAATTTAAATTTTTGATGGGTTGTGCTTTTTATTGCGCTGTGACGCTCTTGGGCTTCTCTTTTTCCTTCCTTATTCTCTTCCCTTCTCCACTCCCCCCAGTACCCCTCCACATCTTCCCAATCATGAAAGGACCCATAACACTCAAGACTAGTATTCCCCCAATTGCGAAAAACATGCCTGTCATCCCTCTCTCCGGCTCGATGCTATTGCTTTGCCGATCTTCGTAAAAAGCTTGTCGCGCGGCGCGCCGCTGATCGTGGTGCCGCCCCGTGCGCTCATGGGAGGCGCGGTCGAAATGGGGGACTTCGTGGTCGGTGGAGTGGTGGAAGGGTGTTTGGCCGGGACCCATGCCGCCGCCTGGGGAGTGCGGGTGGGTGAAGGGGGAGCTGGATTGGGAGGACGAGGTGTTCGATTGGGAGGTATTAGAATGAGAGTGGGACGATGAGGAGGTCCCGGTGCTTTCTTCATGCGCCGCTCTCCGCTTCGCGCTTTGCGCTCCCCATCCCCCGCTGCGGAAGAAACTCGGTGGGGGCCCGCGGAATGCGGTTCGGCGGCGGTTGCTTAGGCCCGAGGCGGGACGGCCACCGGCTGGGTTTGTGCTGCTGTAGGAACCGCTGTGGTGGTGGGAATGTGAGTGGGAGTGATGCGAGGACAGGCGTAAAGTGTCTCGATCGTAGGCTGCGCGCTTTGCGGGGATTGAGAGGATTGAGTAGGCTTCGCTTATTCGCATGAAGCGCCGCGAGGAGGCTTGTGGGTCTGTTCGGTTGTGGTCGGGGTGGTGCGTTTTGGAGAGGGTGTAGAAGGATCTGGTTTTAACAGAGGGTTAGTTAGTGGAGGTATCACATGTGAAAGTTTAGGTACGAAGATGAGATGGGAAGTAGATTTTACAGATTCAATGGGCTCAAACATATAGAATACGACATAAAATAGCGATTATTTCACATTTTGTATTTGTAAATCGAAATATTAAGCAAGGGAGGATTTACTTCTTAATCTCAGCCGGTGTAGCCCCCGGATGCAATTTTAACGTCTCGTAATGATTCCGCGCATTATCAATCTGCTCATCGCGGAGGATCGCGGAGCCGTGAAACGGCCGGTGTGTCGTTGGCGCTATCGGAAGAAGGAAGGGAGTAGTAGCGTATAAGAGACATCGGCGCGGATGGACGGCGGAGGCGGAGGTCGCTGCGTGGCGGAGTGGCATGCCTCATCCCGGGCTAGGTATTGATGTTTCCTAGCTTTTGTTTTCCAGATAATCGCGCTTTGAAAGGTATGGGTTGGTATAAGTTATGTAGAAAAGAGAGAATAGAAATGGCAGAGTCGAATCCGTGCCACCGAAATACGGAAAGGAATAAGTGACGACATCAATTGGGTTATCAATTTTAGAGCGCGTGCGCAAGATCTTATCAGATTTTGATTATGTAAGCGAAGTAAATGTTATGTCATCAAGGAATTTACGTAAGTGTCTCGATGATAATGTTGTCTTTGAGGAAACAAGACCAAGGATTTAGGGCAAATGGATATCGTCAACTTAAGTTGAATTTATTATCATGTCTATTTAGATTACTAGAGTGAATTAACACAAGTCAAGTTTAAGTCCAATTATGAAAAGCTATAAAGTCAGCAGATCTATAGCTTGAAGACGAGGAAATTGCGTGTTGTAGATATGGTGACTAATCAAAGTTGAATTTCTCGCTCGTCTAAATAAACACCACCCATTTCTTCCAACACATCCTCTCCCAAAAAGCCTATACCGTACAGTCATGATATACATCGCTGTTTCTGCGAAACAAATACCCCTATCCAGTATTACCCCACTAAATCCTAGTAAGTGATTGATGCTGTCTTGTTTATGTACTTCTCATTTCTCGTCATTACGAGATTGCGCGCAATCCATCTCCCTGCATCTTCCCTCGAGATCTTGTACCCCACAATTGGGGTTTCAACTCCGGTCGTAGGGTCTTCGATGCCTTCACGGATCGTTCTATCCGATTCACCATCAACCAGGAAACTGGCCCGAACAATGGTAAACTCCTCGCCGCTTTCAGCTAATTTGTCTTCCATCACTCGCTTGTCGGCGCCCGGAACCTTAATCATAGCTTGCCATACCGGATTGATCATACGGGGCATATCGTGTGTGAACTTAGACAGGCCAGTAGTGCTAACTGCGACGATGTGCGGTCGACCCTCAACGCCTTGACTGCGTAGGTTCGCCAAAGCTTCGAAAAGAGTAGTCATACCCTTCTCGCAGACATTTACGTCCTCGAAACTCATTTTGGACATGATGAAGCGGGTACCGATCGTGAAAATGATCTCATCAACGAATTTGCCGTCTGAAGTCTTGATACAGCGAGATACGGCTTCCACGTCATGAGCGTTGCCTTGTACGACTTGAAGATTGGTATTTTCTTCCTTTGGAACGACACTGGTAAGTCTAGTTGGGTTTCGGCAGAGCGCAACGCATTGGTGGCCTGCAGCAAGACTGTGTTTTAGTGCAGAAAGCCCAACACCGAAGCTTGCGCCAAAGAAAGCAACCGTCTTCTGAGTCATGTTTCGATAACTTTTTGAAATTGGTATTTTCGTGAAAAGGAGGTATTGTTGTCAAGAAGATACTGTAGTATTAGGGTATAGTTTGTAGGGAATTGTTGCGTTGATGTCTGGTGTTATCATGCCCTCTGTAGTCGGCCCATGAAATACCTTTATAGTCATCGTGCCTTCCGAACATGACTCCTTCCGCCGTTAAGGTTTCGGCGTGTTGTATAGCTTCAGGCAGTCGCCGGTCAGTCTTCGCGTATTTCTCGCTCCGGATGTGGATAAGTCGGGGTGCGGTTCCCCCGGGTCTAAAATCGGGGCTGAGCCGGGCGCTAATTCCTACCTTAACCCTGACGGTTGTAACGTAATCTAACCGCATTACTCATTAGAACATAAGCACTATTATCTCAATTATTAGTCCTACACGGTAAAATCTAATTCACGAATGAAAATAAACAGGTTGACTCACGTGAAATGACATCAAGTCTAACGTAAAGTAGTTAAAATGTCATGGTAATTTCAACAAGGGAGTTAACCCACTCGGATCTAATGTACATATCATGTCGACGGCGCCAGGTGCATCGATCTCGGGAGCGACTTTAGGTGGGTTAGACCCAGTCTCGGCCTCAACCTCCGAAAAACACGCGAGCATGCCTGGTGCCATGCCACGTGCTGCAGTTTCATCTACAGCGGTGGATCCGGCGGCACCAACCGCGAGGACTAAGTTGCGCAGTTGTGTGACGTGTCGCACCCGTAAGGTGCGGTGCGATAAGAACTCACCATGTTCGAATTGTCGTCGAGCGAATATTCCCTGTGTTTTTCCATCCTCGGATAAACCGCCAAGATGGGCTCGCCGACTTGAGCGCGTCGCCAATAGCGCTAAGGCTGTGCAAGATGCCAATCCGGAGGTCAACCAGGTTATGGATAGGTTGCGGAGTCTTGAAGGTCTTGTTAAGGAGCTAAGCAGCCAGTTAGAGCAGGCGCATGCTGCGAATAATGACCGAAGTTCGCCTCCCGCCAATTTCTCCGGGAACTCAGGCCAGGATCGCAAAGTGGACTATCATATCGAATCTTCTTCATTATCATCCAAAAATACACCTAACTTGAATGCACAGTTTGGTAGACTGGTTCTGGGAGATTCTGGTCGGAGCTCCTATGTAAGCAGCGGCTTTTGGTCGCGCGTCAACGATGAGGTAAGGCGAAGCGAGGTACGCTTCTTGCAGCTTATGTTACTAATATTGCTACAGCTCGATGGTCTAAAGATGGACGCTGAAGGTCTCACTGGTGGCGACTATGATAGCTGTGAAGATGAGGACTCTCCTGGAAAGACCCCTTCATCGACCCAAGAGGTTGATCGAACACCCTCAGAACGCTCTGCGTTTCTCTTTCGACACAATCTAAGTCCACTATCGCCTGATATTCGAGAGCTTCGCCCTCTGCCTTCTCAACTACCGTTCCTTCTGAATGTCTATGCGGAAAGCGTCAATGTAATGTGCCAAGGGGTTCATATACCAACCGTGGCCAAGATGATACGAGACCTACGAGGCGGAGACCTGTCCACTCTCAGTCCAGCCAACGAGGCTCTAATATTTGCTATTAGTTATGCTTCCGTGACATCGATGGATGATGATGATGTGAGTGTCTTCTCTATTGCAACATTGCAGCAACTGGATGCTCATACACTATGCTCTCCGTAGGTTATGACATATTTTGGTTGTTCTAAATCTGAGCTTAACCTGAAGTATCGCCTCGGGGTAGAGTGTGCCCTAGCAAAGGCAGATTTTCTCAATGTCCCTGATATAACTCTTCTACAAGCTTTTGTCATATTTCTATTCTTACTTCGGCGTCATGATAGTCCCAGATTTATATGGATGATGACTGGTCTTGCTATCAGGATGGCGCAGGCCTTGGGTTTGAATCGGGACGGCAGCCGATTTTCTCATCTTACCCCGTACGAAATCGAAATGCGAAGGCGTATGTGGTGGTGTGTTTGCGCTTTAGACATAAGAGCCGCGGAGAACCAAGGAACTGACCTTACTATTACTCATGGAAGCTTCGATACGCAGATGCCTTTAAATATTAACGATACGGACCTTAGTCCCGAAACCAAGGAAATACCAGAGGAACGAGAAGGCATGACAGACATGACCTTCACACTCGTCACCATGGGCCAATGCGACTTGACACAACAAATGATGGCCATAAGCCTTAAAGATGGAGCGCCTCGCCTAGAAGAACAAAATCGTCTTCTAAACGAATTCGACAAACGACTAGAGCGCATATACCTCCGATACGCTGATGCAACGGACAACATAACTTACTGGGTAGCGGTGACCATCGCGCGTCTTGTCGTCTCCAAGATGAGTCTCATCATCTACTTTCCGGTACTCTTCTCTTCACCGTCACCAAGTCAACACGCTTCGGACGAAATCCGCGCGAAGTTGCTCGTCGCAGCTATCGAAGTCGCGGAGTACAACCACGCGCTCAACGCAGAAAATCGGTGTCGCCAGTGGCGCTGGATCTTTCAGACCTATACACATTGGTATGCCGTCGTGTATCTCTTAATCGAAGCCGCGCGTCGTCCATGGTCTCCGGCCCTTGAGCGCGCGTGGGTCGCGCTACATAGTGTCTGGCTCATTCCCGCGCGGTCGGATGCGGAGAAAGGTGGGCAGCGTATATGGGTCCCACTTCGCAAGTTAATGGCTAAGGCCCGACGACATCGTGATGAGGAACTTGAGCGTCTACGTGCTGATACTCAGGCCGCGCGCCAACTTGAAATTGAGGATCGATATGCCCCGCAGCCAGCCAGTCAGGGCCCACTTCCAGGGTCGGATAGTGCCGAGAGTTTTCGTGAGAGGTGGCGACGACTCGTGGGATTGCCGTCGGTATCGGACTCGCAAATAACTGAGCAACCTAGTGCTTCTGGGCCTTCCGTGCTGTCGGATTTTACTCATCCTTCTGTAGGAGTGATCGCCCCGAGTTGTAACTCTATCCCTGTGTATAGCTCGGACGTCCGACGGGGATCCGAGTACACTTCTATCCAGCCGAGCGCATCTCATAATAATGGATTTCCAGTATCAACGTCCAATATCTCCATAGGACCGCAACTAGGAGTAGACCCTTCAGGCCCTGCTGACTTATCTGACATGCGGTCCCTGGGCGCAGGTTTTGGGGCGTGGTTGTGGGCTGATGCCGATTCGTCGGTCGAGATGTTCGCGGATTTAGATACAGAGGCTGCGGGTCTAAATGTTGACTCCGATGGTGATATTGATTGGAACAATTGGGTTGAATCGGCTACGGGAATGGAGAGATCGGATGGGCAGCTGCCAGCTACCTAGGTACCTAGGTAATGAGCGGTTTAGCTGAATTCTAAGATTTGGTTTACTATGCACTCCGCGTGGGGGTACGATGTTCGTAGATTATTCTTGTTTACTGTTGATTGAGGTCGTTAATAGAGTGTGTTACTTGCTAAGTTCTATGAATAATGCCATATATTTTGTTACAAGATTTGGGGTTTATACGGCAGTCTAATAAGCATAAAACCGCCAATGCGCCAAAACACCGTACGAACCTTGTACAATATAGTAGCATTCTGCACTATCTTTCTGTAAATACAGGGGGCCATGCGCTGAAGCTCCCTGTATTTACAGAACCTTACAGCGCATGTTCCATTATAAATTTAGTGGTTGGATTATAGCATTTAACCCCCTATAAATACAGCACCTTATAAGTGTCCACTGTAATACGCTGTAATTATAGGGCTTACAGCTCTATAACTCCCTATAACTTAGGTACAGCGCGTTACAGCGGGCACGTATAAAGCACTATATTTTCAGGGCTGTGGAATTCTGTAATCCACTATAAGAATAGCACACTTATAGTGAGTTTATAGTGCATTTCAATTGAACACTATAACACGCTATATTTATGAGGCCCTATAATTACAAAACATCCATACCCAAGCTTTCACAGTTGGATGGTACGCTACCACATTATAACCATACACTACATTATGACACATCAGCGGTTTATTGAAAACGGCGCACGGTAATACTAGGTAAGTCCAGTGCTGTAGGGGTCTTATAAGTACGGCTTCTTGTAGCACTCCACAAGAATGTTCTATAATAGCGCTGTAACTACAAGGGGCTATAGGGTTTAGCTCCCTATAATTATAGTGCGATATAAATGTCCACTATAACCGGATGCTATAATGTGCCATATTCATAGGGGAATAAGCGTTATAGATTCAGCTACTGGTTTTAAAGCGGGTAGAGTGCTGAAGTCTCTTATGGCTATAGGGGGCTGTAGCGCTTTCTCCCTTGTCATTATAGGGAGATAGCGGCCCTGTTTTGCTGCCTCATTTGCCTCACTGCGCAATACCGACAGCACAACGGGATTCTTGAACGCACTAACGGGTTGGTTTATTCTATAGATAGGCACCTAATTATTGCATTTTTTTCCTTGGTCCTTATACTTCATTCTTCCCGAAGCCCGTAGGACCATCCCTTTTCACTTTCAATACCGTTTCTATATGCTTTAACCCAAGCGGTGTTTTATCTCTCGCGGCTAACAGTCTAGCCGTCTTGACGACGTTCTTAATTTGACGTCCATTGAGCTCGGGGCGCGCCAATCCCTCTAATTCCGACTCCTGAACGCTACTACTTGTGGTACCGGGTCGAACGAAGACGCGCCAGACATGCAGTCGGCTGTCGAAGTCGAGTTGGGGATAGTGGATAGTAAGGTGGATGCGGGATTCGAAGGCTGGGTCGAAAGATGCCAGACGGTTAGTCGTCAGGAACATGACACCTTGGTAGTACTCTAGTAATCGCAGGAATACGGACACTAATTTGTTGCGATGCACTAGAACAATGGAGGTTAGTTGTACTCTGACCACCCAAATAGACAGAAAGGGAAATAAATGATGTCGGGTGTTACATACGATCCGCTGTCGTCCGCCGCTCCAGAAACACATCGCACTCATCCAGAAGCAGCACCGCGCCCCATCGTGTTGATAATTCTAGCACCTGCCGCAGGTTCTTCTCTACTTCCCCGGCTTCTATGCCAAGTTCGCCTGCGCTCATGCTATAGAGGGGTTTGTTCATGGCTTCGGCGACTGTGAAAGTTAGCCATCTTGGTCAGTGAGCTAATACCTACCTAGGTACTTAGGTGGGTATGTGATCCCGCTACGCACCTGATTCTGCTGTAAGTGTTTTACCGGTACCGGGCTCGCCACTGAGAAGTAGTATGACGCCTTTGCCTGCAGATAATTTGAGTAAGAGATCAGGAAAAGGGAAAAGAGTCATTTGCTACCTTTGCCCTTGACTATGTCATCGAAGTTATCGGATCCAGAAAGTTGCGCTTCCACAAACGCCCAAATGATCTCCTTGTACTCTTCTTGGGGCAGGACGAGTTGCCCGAAGGCGTCCATATTCCAAACGATGTCCTTAACATCGTCAACGTATAGGTAGACTAGATGTCTTAGCGCCTATATCCTGATGGGATTTCGGTGATACTAACCCCATTCTTTGGCTTGAAAATCGAACCCTTTAACCGTCGGGCTACATAGAACATAGTGTTCCTCGGAAAGAGACTTGCTGCCTATTTGCAGTCAGTATCCATTGCGACGCTCCTGCGGACCTAATTGTGGCAAACCTTTTGATGTCTGTTGAGTAGATGCAAACCTTCGTCTAGCTTGCCTTGCCGTGTGTTGCATGACTTGGACCGCTGGAGGAGCAATTTCATTAAGTTCATCCGGGTCAGTGAAATCTTGAAAAACGTTCAAGTGGTCGGAAGATGTCGGTCCATTTAGCGGGCCTAATTGGCCGGGGCTCTCTCCATTGTATCTCATGAATGAGCTAGTATCGATCATCACTCTACCATCGTCAATCTACGAGCATTGACTAATTAGCACAGTATCTAGTCTTCCATATAGCGTGTTAGTGACTTACGAAATATTTGCTTGAGCCACGAAAACTTGGGGATCGCAGAGTAGAATACCCTGAGTAGGCCTTGTAATGCGTGCCTTTCAGCATCTCGAATCTGCGACCCCTTTTCTGTAGCTGTACCCGGATCTCGTTTATCTGTGGGTGTAAGTGGCTGGGAAGCACATTTAGCTCCGAAATGGGCTTCACGTTTTCGAAATCCGCAATTGATAACGATATTGTCGTGTACCCGAATAAGTCTCCATCGGTATCAATGTATCGGCATAGAAGGGTGTAGACCTTCATGCCGCCCATAAGTTCCTGGTAATGGCCACCGTTCACGAGAAACAGGCGGTCCTGTCCATTCGCCGTGGAGTAAACCTCAGTGCCTGGTTCAAAAAGTGCCCAGACGTAATCGAACGATATAACCTCGTTTTTGAGAAGGTCCTCTACTTGATCGATATGTGGTCTGATCTCGGAACTTATGATGTCGAATAGAAGTGCGAAATGATTCTTGTCAACGTCATCATCATCTTCAGCACCTGGCGTCGCACGAACAAATTCACTCCACCGATAGAAGAACTCGCGGAATGGCGCACGAAACTCCAGCTTCTTTAAATTCGTGTTGATACCCTGGTAACCCGCAAAGACTGGCCCGAGTCGGCTTTTGATCAGCGGGCTCTGAACTGTGATGGAGTGCTATTCACCTAGAAGTTAATATGATAATCATCCATTTCTTAATCCTTTAAATTCTTACTAATGCAAGGACTGGTTCCTCCGTATCGCCATTCCGCTTCTCGCGGCGTACGATTAGGGCAAACTTCGCTGAGGCGGGTGTTGACTTAGAGTTGACCCCTATATCTTCGGGCGCCCACTCTTCCCATGGGGCGCGGGGGTCTTCTCGATAGAGGTCCTTAGTCTCAGTCGTCATACCAACTTGGATTGGCTCTTTCGCAGAGTGACTACTTTCACTGCCATGGCTTTCAGATTGCTCGTCATCATCGTCTACGTCGTGGTAGGGGGCTAATAATGGCGGACGCGGTGAATGTTGTGGAACTTGAGGAATTCGAAAATCACGAGATGAAAGTAATAGGGAAGGATCCGGGCCAATGTGGAAGCTTTGCATGGCTTTTGAATTTCTGTCCTCTAGACGACGACGTACCTAGCGAATCTCGAATTTGTCGATGTATCTATACGGCTTCATTAACATAACATGAAAGGGGATTATTTCCGATAGTTGATCTTGGTGTTCTAAGCAGAGCCTTGCGAGGGGTATGATGTAATACAAGCGCTGCTTACTGCCCACGCCACGGGGCAGTGCAGTGGAGGTACATAGGTAGGTAAGGTGTTTCACAACGATCCTACGCTATTCTGTTGCATGCGAAGCATTCTTAATGATCATAGGCAAGGTATTCGGCAAGGCATACTGAGCCTATCGAATAGTCTCTCTTATAACTTTCACATTTTAACGTCCCATTGCATATCTCGGCCATAGGAAAAACATCCTTTTAATTGCGAGGCCATTATCTATCATATGCGAATTGCTTGACAATGTTTGACGACACTCGAGAGGTGTCGCATGGCCGCCAGGAACCAGCGATTGGTCAATCGGACTTCCGCCTGTCGGGAAATGTTGAGAGGATCTTAAGAAACCCGACAAATCGGGATCATGCTCGTCGTTGGGCAAACAATCTTCGCTTTTTGACTTTTGATGATAGCGACGGGATTGGATCTGGAGGCGATTGCACTTCTCTCACCTCTGTCCAAAATGAAAAGAGTCCTCTCCGCGGGCAGTGCCAACCTTGTTCCAAGAGAGTCCCTGTTCCATCTGGCCATATGTGCGAAAGCCATCTACTCAAGAAAACTCCAGATCGAGAACTCGAGCTTCATAAATACGATGACCCCTGCATCCATGTACGCGAGCACTCTTGCGACGATTGCCAGCATATCCCTCTCTTCCCGAATGAAGGAAAGGTAACCAAATTTCGAATCCGAAGGCTGTATTCATCGGAAATTGCAGATGCGGTGCGATGCGATGACTTTGTGGCTGTGTCATATTGCTGGTCCAATGAGAAGGGCAATGATGGAACGACGCGGCATCAGGTAATTGAGGAAGATGGAAGGGTCCGAGATGCTAGGGCATCGAACGCTACGATTGATCGGACCGTAGCTTTCGCCCGAGAGAACGGATTTCGAATGATTTGGATTGACCAGGTATCTTCAACCAAGCCGTGTGCCGGGCATTACTAACGATGATTTTTCGAAATATTTAGGAGTGCATAGAACAGGACAATTCAGAGGAAAAGGAACTTGCCGTCCAAGCTATGGACTACGTATATCTAAGAGCGCACACGTCAATTGGACTATTTCGCGCTCAATTGCAGCATAAACATCTAGAATGCATATCACTTGCGTACGAATCCCAGATGAGTCGGTTTCAGAAGCGCCGTGGACGACGGCCGCTCCGAGGCTGTCTCAAAGTTAATATTATGGTCATGTGCGAGGCCGTTTCTATGATTATTAATGACAGATGGAATACTCGTGCGTGGATCTTGCAAGAAGCCTTCGCTTCAAGTGGAAATATGGTTCTGCTATTCCCTAGGGCCGATAACGTCAACGTGCCCTCTTGGCTGTTGATATGTCACGAACTTTCTCAGAGTGAGCTTGCCATGCAACTCGACACCGTTCAGAGCTGTCTACGAATCTGCGCCCCTATGATACAACCAATGGTCTCGAGCATTCTGTATACCAAGGAGAATGGTGCCAGGAAATACGGCGCTGGGCGGGAGAAAAGGTTTAAGGACCAGAATGCCCTCGGAAACGCAGATGAGATACGGGAGACAGTAAAAAGGATTAATTTCTTTCATCCTGTCTCGCCAACGCAATCGGGTAAGCTTTGGATTAACAACTCAAAGCCCAGACGCACTTGCAACGCTGCAATGGCGCTGACATACCTTCAAATGCGAGACTTGGAACGTGTCGCAGATAAACTTGCTATTGTAGCCAATATTTGTAATTATGACTTCAGAGTCAACACGTCTGAGCTGGATAAAACCGAAAGCAGGCTTGGGCCATGTATCATGGCACTCGCTCTAGCTAATGGCGACTTCTCATTGTTAGTTCCTCAGATGTACCGCACACCGGAAGATATTAGTGGGCCATTCTTCCCGAGACCTTGAAAAACTTAACTTGGCTGACAGAAGTAGAATTTCCCTCTCATGACGATTCGGAGTTTTCGTGGTTGCACAATCTTGCGCAAAATCTCCAACACGCACAATCGACTGACTGGAATCCGTTTGGACCAACATCTGGTAGCAATAACGTCTCCGTGGTCCCTCTTTCCGAGAAAGGACTTTCATTCGCTGGGTTCTTATGGGCAGTGGACAGATTCCTAGATCTCGCGTCACTGCAAGTGAAGTACGGCGAATCTTGGCGGGGTCTCCGAAAAGCGAAAGGGCTTTCTCAACCTCCACAGAGAACCAAGCATCTTGCAACCACACATCTTCTATTTGAAACAATCCAGCACCTAGTCTCCATCGGCGAAAAAAGCGTGGCAAACTCCATATTTAATTCGACTTCGAATTGGCGATGGAACAGTCGCGACAATTTCCTGCAGAGCGACGTGATAGAATCTGTTGATCAATTTCCCTCTGGCTTGCAAGTAGAGAATAGGAAGGGGATGTTTGCTCTAGATCCAAGTCCGGATGGGTGGTATCATCAGTGTTGGCTCATTGACAGAGTCATGGATAAAGGTGGATTTTGGGTTGGACATGAAACAGAGGACAATTCTTTTGATACGGTGGACGAAGCGGCCACCGATCCCAAGACCGGGGCCGTTGTACATCAAGTTGAAGACGATCACGAGATTTCGATGAGAGACAAACACGACAGCAATGACAGCAAGATGTTAATAGAAGACGGCAAGACATATGCTCCTAATGACGGAGTATCGGATCCTAATGCTCAGGCCACGGGTGACCATAAACGCGAATACTTATCAGAAGATGGTCACAGCAAAAAGATGCGCGTATACTCAGTACTAGCAATGATGTCGGACCTAGTAATGGAGCAAGATGTAACGGCTACGAAGCCGACAGAGGGCATATCCAAGTGGTCGAACATCAACCCGCAGTCAATGGCTCTTTTTGCCCTATTAGCGAATCAAGAAACTTCGAAAAAAGAGGAGACCTATAATCGGCAGGCTATCTTCGATCTCGATGGGAATTCCGAAAGGCGGGTCTTTGTACTCATACCCTTACAAATGACCCTTGAATCCATCCCGAGGCCTGCTATGCGTAGCAAGAGCGTCTCGTGGATTGTTGAAAATCCTAATGAAGTGACGTTAGATAATGATAAACAAAAATCAACAGGAGCACCAAGGAGGTTCAGGGTAAAGGGTATGACGAAAGGAATGTGGGAGTTTATGATAAATCCCTCCGGGCGTTACGAAATTAGTTGAATTTATTATAATGGGGAAGAAAAAAAAAAAGCAAAAAAAAAAAAAGCAATGACATTGAGGGGTAGCCATGGGAGCGTTTTGATTAGGTGCCTAGGTACCTAGGTACCCTATAGTAAGCCGAATTCATAGGTGTTATTGTACTGAATCGCACTGTAATTATACGACCGAGTACCCTGAGGCCTATTCTAACATCGTTCTCAATTTGCCCTTATACCCAACTATGACCAATAGCGATGAAGTTATCGATGAAAATGGTCACACCGACATTGATGAAGACGATGATGCGGCAAGACAGCAGATCACAGAGATTATATCTTTTCTTAGATACCTAGATGATACTCCAAGCAATAAAGATGAAAACACGAAGCGGCTCAATGAGCTGCTCCAGGACTTGCCACCGAACGGGATTAACGTTCATACGGATGATTTCTTGCGACAAACTATCCTGCACGTCGCTGTTCTGGAAGGCCTTGAATGGGCGGTCAAAGCTCTTCTCGACAAGGAGGTCGACGTCAACGCAACTGAGTACGAAGGGTGGTCTCCCCTACATTGAGCTTCTGAGAATGGACGCATAGAAATCGCGAAACTGCTATTGGGAAAAGGCGCCAGCCCCCAAGCGGTCAATGGCGTGGGGGATATGCCTCTTCATCTTGCGGCCGAGATCGGCGCTGAAGACATGGTTAGGTTGTTTATCGAAGGAAATGAATGCTCTATTGATGCTATTGGGAAATGGCGAATGACGGCATTACACCGCGCTGCTTGGCAGGGACACAATGGCATTGTCAAGTTTCTTCTTGGCAAAGGAGCAAAACACGACTTAAGAGACGTGGATGGGTGGACTCCACTGATGGCAGCAACGAGGGAAGGACATCTTACTAGCATGAAGGAATTGCTGATTAGTAAAGGATATGAACAAGCCAATATTCGGGACGATGCAGGTAAAACGCCATTCTTAGTGTCGGTTGAAGACGGGGAGTTGGATTCCGTGTGTGTGTTCTTGAACATGTCCGACAAAAATAAGCGCGATCCTGATGTCTATCAGAGACTTCTTTCATATGAGGCCCAAAACGAAGACGATGCTCAACAAATTCAAAAACCCATCTTTGACGCTCTAAAGGAGGACAAACAAGGTTTCAACGAGGCTCTTCTCTGGGCGGCAGCAAAATTTGAAAGGCATAAGGTGGTAAAAAAGTTTCTTATCTGGAGAAACGAGCAGGAACCATCTCCGCAGCCCAGTGCTATTGAATTAGCTACTGGTCAGAAAAATCCAGACCTGCTCTGGTGGCTTATTGCAACATCCCCACGCACTCCTGATATCACCAAAAATATCGAGTCGGCCGGGATAATAGCAAAAAAGGCCCAGAAAGAACAGGAAAACCCTAGGGGTGGGAGGCCGGATACTAAGCGTGGCAATAAGAACAAATACGATAAGGACGCCTATGATGACCAACCACCTACAGATGGAAATCAGTCCACCGGTTGGGAGGCCATAGTAGACATCTTGCAGGATCCCCAAATCGCACAGGTGTATGAGGATAGTGCTATTTTGAAACCTCCGCGGCCCAAACCCGAGCATCTCGAGATTCTGAAAGATTTCAAAATACTCATAGCCAGATTCTACAAATCTAAAACCGTCTCTAGCACTATCCGGAGGACGCGAGACCTGAAACATACTGTGTATGACAAAGGACCCGCGCAAGTAATGACGACGGCAATTTCCAAGCTCGAGGACATTATGGATAAGAGCCTCGAGAATAGGAATGATACTACTAAGTCTTCCCGATTTCAAGCTACATATGGCGCAGACAGTCTGAAGTTTACGTATGTCCACATACCATCTACGAATGTATGTGTCCATCAATATTCTAGCTGATTATAGCTAACCTAGAGCAGATGGATTGGATGAAGGTAACAGAAACAATTTATAAAAATTTACGAGCCTTGATATCCCGGTCGCTCATTTTTGATGATAGAGGGGTCGCTAACATCTTTTTCAGGACCTACTATTGAGAATCATGGTTGACGAAGGCAATAATGCTACCAGCTACCACGAGGTCAGCTCCTTTTTGCAAAGTACCTGGTTTGAAATCCCAGATCGGACTTCTGGGTCAAGGTTTATGAGGCCACAGTTTGTGGAGAGGATACCAATACCGCCTACTAGCAGGAGGCAAGACAAACATTTACCACCGGAACAGAAAGAAGACCAGAAAGTGGTTGATACCAATGATGCACAGCAGTGGGACAGTGTCCAGGAAGGTGAAAATCATGAGGCTGACCCTCAGGAACTTAATGAACGAGAGGCAATGAAAGAAAGAGCGCAGGAGGGTTGTTTTATCCCTAGCTCAGCACTTTATGTGAGCGGTCTATATGATTCCATATTGGCTTTGCTACTCCTCGGAAACTGACTTATGGAATTATAGATGCCTTTTTTGTCGTTCGCCACACAGACAGAGTTTGCCAACGAAGCCCCAGGCAAGAAGTCTAGGGAATTGATACAGAAATATAGAAATTCCGTTGTGCATAGCTCCGCGACTCTTGATGAGGCATACTATCACTTTAAATCGGGAGATAAAATCCAAACCGACCAATCCGTTCGAAACCGCGGCCAGGTTGTCACCAAACAGTTAGGCTATCACCCCAAGAAGAACCAGGCCGAGCCCTGGCCACTGCTACGTGTTAATCAAATTTGGATTTGGACGATAGCCGACGGTAAGTTTAAGTGAGTGCTATTCTATGTTCTGTCACTGAAGCATTCTTTCAGGATGGGTGATTACCGGTACTTCACATCCAGTCGACGACGTCGAGCAGTCCTGGCTTGAAGGATTCACCGAGCATCTCAACAAACAAATACAGGCTGGGGGGGCCCAATCTCAACCCGGGTCTACCAAAGACATGATGAAAGCGACTGTAGAATATTGTATTGGGTCCTATGAGAGGAGGCGGGCTTACAACCGTCCCGATGACGGTGCAAGCGATCTGTAGATCCGGCAACTCTTTTCGAATTATATAAATTCCATCGTATGCTAGGTTATTATCGTATCTAATGCGTCTGTGTTAACCATTCAATAGGGAAGAAAGGAGACAGATCTCTTCACCAAGTTTCAACGGCTCGAGAATAAGTTTAGAGAAGCTATCAGAGAAGCTGAAACGCTATTTGGCGAGATAAAAGACGTCCGCGATGAGTTGAATATTATTAAGTCGATTGTAAACTATCAGAACACCGTCCAGAAGCAACTGTTCGACAAAGACCTACCGAGTTCAGGTCTTTCTGCAAGCTACATTGTTAATGATATTATGGAAATGGAAAGTCTCGCGAGTAGGATTCAGTCTGCTGTAAGTTGTTCGCCTATTCGGACTTATTCCAGCGGTCGCTTACATAGAACTCCTACAGGTCGATTCGACGCTCTCCTTATTGCAGAGCGAGATATCGAACTTCCAAGCAGAACAATCTGCCGCACAGGGAAAAGAAGCTGTGAGGCAGGGAAGAACCCTGATGCTATTCACATGGATTACTATCGTATTTGTGAGTCTTAGTCTTCTGCATTCAAAAATTTCAAATTTCTAACTCCTAGTAGTTGCCGTTGTCATTCCTCAGCTCTCTATTTGCGCTAGATGTGAAAGGCTTGCAAGGAGCCCCTGCCTGGGCTTTCGGGATTATCTGTGAGTACTTCCAAATGTAATATCCTGTAGGGCTTTCATTAATTTCGTTTAATTGGTGTTGCTCTCGGGTTCACCGTCGTGGTGTTTGGCGCTATATATTCCGTTAAATTCATTCGCAGGTATTTCGCGGGGCGTAATAGTAAGTTCTCAATATTATAGTGTTTCAGGCGTAATCTGTAGCACTTACATGTCTCTTAGGTGATGTGAAAGATGAAGAGATAGGTAGAAGGCAGATAGTGGAGAGGAGCCAGGGACTAGTTAGTGGATTGGAATAGAGGAAAAAGGCCCTAAAGACGACTTTTACCAGGGTAATTTAATGTCAGCTATCGTAATTACGACGGGTCCTAGCGCTATAGGTTCTGTATTTGTAGGGCATCCGCTATTAATATGGGCTCTAACTTAGCAGAAGGCAACTCGCCCGCGATTAATCCTTTCCAGCTACAACAAATAATTAAAATTTTCAGGCGTACTTGTAACGACCACCTCTCGGAAGGACTCCCAAAGCCAAGGCCCTTGAATAGATGACCAAATCCTTCCCATGGGCTTCCGGCTCCATCGAGGCGGCCTCTTGTCGACCATGGGTGTGTTGCTAAACCACAGCCACCTCCAGGTACCTAGGAGGTAGCCAATCAGGTCAAACATCCATTAAATGGAAGTATGTGACTGGAATGCTCGGTTGTCACGTCGATTTCTACTCATCTCTTCTACCACTCTTGGTCCATCTGTCTAAATTATTATGCATGTTCGAGTTACATAGAACTGTTTTTCAATGAGGCTTCTTCAAGTCCATACGAGAAAATTGGAAGAGTTTAATGGAAATGCAATACCGCCTTACGCCATCCTTGTAGGTGCTGTACATCGTGACGTTGTGGCGTCGTCGATACCCCTCATCTTCATTTGGGGGGTTGGCTACCTCACCAAATTCCCTTCCAAAGACATGAATTCATGGAATAAGATACATGGACTTAACTAATTCTAGATAATATAGTCACATACCTGGGGGAAACACGAAGTAACCTTTCGGGATGTCTCCAAGTCATATTATAAGAACCGCAAATTTTGTATGAAATTGGAAGGATGTTGTCGCCAAGCAGCCAAAGATGGTTTCCACTATGTGTGGATCGATACCTGTTGCATAGACAAGTCAAGCAGCGCCGAACTATCCGAGGGGATCAATTCGATGTTCCAATGGTATAAAAAATCAACTGTCTGTTATGTGTACCTGGCGGATGTATCGGCTGAGGACGATCCCTTTAACACTCCGTCGGAGTTTCGAAATAGCCGGTGGTTCACGAGGGGTTGGACGCTGCAAGAGATTCTTGCGCCCACGGAGTTGGTTTTCTTCGATAGGGTCTGGAATGAGATCGAAGTTGATCGGATAAGCCGATCTCCAAGCCCTTCTCGAATAGACCGGAATATCAATGCACTCCAGAACCAGCAATACTTCAATTCACCCGCCCTGCTCAGGCTTCTCTCCGATATAACGAACATACCCAAAAGGGCATTGGATACTGGGGATTTTTCCCAGTTCTGTGCAGCAGCTCGGTTAGCATGGGCCGCTCACAGGGAAACGAAGCGAGTCGAGGACCGAGCATACAGTCTTTTTGGTATTCTCGAAGTCAACATGCCATTGATTTACGGCGAAGGGGAGAAGGCTTTCATACGTCTCCAAGAAGAAGTCATCAAGTCGCGAGACGATGACAGTTTGCTAGCTTGGGGGTATCGTTCAATACCAGGGGCGCATCCCGGCATCTCTCGCAACGGGGTCCTCGCCCAATCACCTTCTGAATTCAGCCAGTGCCACAGTTTTCAAATACTCGAAAGCGAAGAAACAGGCCCGGATGTACCGCTCGCGACGTCACATTCTGCCATGACCAATATTGGCTTACAGACGTCAATTCCCATTCGCTCGATCGACACCAAGAACGGGATATACATTGCAATTCTGAGGTGTCTTGTTCCTGGGATATACGGCTCTAGGAGCCATCTAGCGGTTCCTCTAGTTCGCACTAAAGGAGGTAGCGAAAACCATTTCAGTCGCGCGCCCGGCAGCCCGCCTTTTCTTATACACAGGGAGAAACTGGTCTATATAATCAATCACTCGAGGCTCTTACGTGTCGCCAGCAGATTGCCTTTGTTATGGAAACTCCTCGTCGCGAAGCCAATCTCAACATCAATTTACTTGCGAGAAGGCTCCCCGAAGACACCCGCAACTCCCACTTGGTCAAAATCAATGAAAAATGATTGCGAGACAATGAGTCTACATATTGATGAGATAACATCGGCAGGCTACGAGATCGCATCTTTTTACCCCCCTTGGATAACCAGGCGGCCAGTCAATGGAAACCGTATGGTTCTTCGACTAGGATCGTCAAATAAGTCAAAATTCATAATCGTATTCTCAAGGCCTAGAGAATTTTCAACTGGATTTCTATTTTTCGCGATATGCATAAGCGCAAAGGCTCGCACGATAGCAAGAGTGGACCACGGGTCAGCTTTGGAGTATCTTATGGAACAAGGCCGAGGTCTAGAAATCAACATGAACCACCATGGAACGCATAGGGAAGAACTTGAATTGAGCGAAGAAGCCGCTGATGGGCATGTTCGATGTGTCAATCGCGTATCATTCCAATACATGTTCGGCGATGTCCGGATTAAGTGTAATGTCGAGCGTGCGTATACGGATATTGGTGACAACGAGCCCGAGCAAGAACAGTCTCCGGGCGCGACGCCCTCAGTCACCTGCTTAGAAGAGATTGACCAGCATTCAGTGAGGGGTACTTACCGCTAAGCCACGATGACAGAGCGAATAGTAGCTTGACGCTGCATGCAATACGACTTACTTTGCATATGCCCGAGCCCAATTAACGGACAAGGCTGGGAGCGATGACCGCGACTATAAGACGCGACTCGCGAGTCACGGACGCGATCTGTAAATTTTATCTTGTAATTAACACACCAGCTATCAATTCGACTAGATAATTGGTTCTCGAAAAGCAAAATATTTTACAAAATGGGCGTGAAAGCGAAGCGTAAGGTATCTCCGAATCCTACGCCGGGGTGGACGGGTAAGTTTGATACTCTCAACTGCGATTTTATAGACGCGTCGCTAATGAATGAATAAAGCGCCTACAACTAGTTCGCAAGAACCCTTGATTCCCTCTTTCGGTTATCTTACAAACCTGGCCTTGATTGCCGCGGCCGTACACGCCGCAAATGAAGAGTATCTCGCCGTCGTCTCCGAATATTTGCGATGGCGAGATCGGTCGGCTTCAAACAACTCATCTTATTCCAACCACAGATTCAATAGTGAAGACCTCGAAAAATTACGAGCTGTAATTCAAGCGCGGCCGCCCGAGGAAAATACTCTCAGTACCTCTCAAATCTTAGAAGCTCTTGAAGACACGTCCTACGTCGACATTTGGAAGCGAGCGGCTGAGAATATGGCCTTCCTAAAGCGTCACCCAAAGCACCAAAACGGGAAGCATCAAGGAAAGGCGATGATGCGAGCCAAGAAATTAAGGGACTGCCGGGTCTCGATTGAGAGCAGCTTTTGGCCAGTCGAAAAGGATCTGCGAGCTTCACACCTTGACAATACCTGCGCCAGCATTCTCGCGAAAATTGAAATGCTTCGCGAGTATGAGGAGGCATACCCCATAGCATCAGACCGCCCTCGGTATTATTCATTCAATAATCGGTCGCCAAACCTTCTCTTCTTCATTTCCATCTATGCAATGGCGACACTCGTCCTAATGGGAGTGGCGTTCAAACTCTCTACCAATACCCGTGGCTCCACCGGGAGCTCCGACTTCTACGTGCAAATCGTAAATGCGATGCCCCAAACCCTGGGCCTTTTTACAACTGTCTTCACTATCCGCAAAAAATCAGCGGAATACCCGAGGGCCTGGACATCTGCCCTTTGCCTCACGGTGATCGGTATGGCATTGACTTGGGGAGCAATACCAATATATGTCCAATTGCCAACTATATGGAGCGGCCTGCTGTCTATCTGCGGATCATTCGCGGCATTAGCCAATATACTGCAACTCTCTGTAATAACCGAGACTTCAAAGCTCAAGCAGCTCTAAGACATCAATTTGTTTTCTTGTCTACATTGCTCCAGCGTCTAGTTCAACACGATACCACACCACGTTGCTGCACCAATATGGGAGAAAGAGACGGCGAAGAGGGACTAACATTCTTTTTTTTTTTTTTTTCAGAAAAAAAAAATCATTCATTAAATACTGTCATATAAATTAAAAGTATCGACCATTTAACCAAGTCGCTCCTTATATGAACGAATTAGAAGCTCGGAATAGCTCGGAATTAGGATTACTTTCATAAAAGCTGGATCAATCTAAGCAACACGCGCAATATTAGGCTCCTGTAACTCAACCTTACACTGCGGTAAATCAATCCCATACGCCTCACTAACCAGCGTCGTCGTCGCATTCCCACTCCCCGTCGCGTCAGGCACCGTATACCACCTCCGATTCTTAATATCACCATCCTGCGCCTGGTCAAAGAAATTCTGCGGCGCAAACATAATGCTGCTCACAGCCTCATTATACAACGTCACGGGTATATCCTCGCTACGCGTAAAATGGTGCATACCCAAATTAAGCCATACAACCAAATCCTCGCCTTCCACACTCTCATCATCAAAGAATTTGGCGAAATCTTGTTGTGGTTTCCATGGCATGTTTAGATTCTGCACGCTGTTACCCCATGGTTCTGAATCATGCTGTCGTGTAACTGCAAGATGCGATTTTGAGAGCGCGGTGTTGCGCCGTGAGAATGGCGATGAGAGGGTGCTGAGTCGGATGTTGGATTTACCGGGTACGATCCGGTACCCTCGCGGCGCACCCCATTTGTTGGTTTTGCTGGCGTGGTTCACTGCGTACATCGTCTGGCCGTTGTCTGCCCAGCTTAGCTGTTGCTCCGTCGCTACGTTATGTGTTTCGAGCGTGATCTGCTCGAATTCGCCGAGTTCTGGCCACCAGGGCTGCGTCGTGTTGACTGTCTTCAATTCGGTTACTTGCAGATTGTTCTCGGTACCTAGGACATCGAAGTCCGCTTTCCACGTCAATACGTGGTCGTGAAGAGACCCTTGTGTGGCTTCTTGAATGCGCGGGCCCCACGCTCCTTGGTCCCGGTAAAAGAACGAGGATTGAAGGTAGCCGGATGCGCGAACGGTTATTTCGAGACTGCCATCGACGTGGAATGCATAATCGAAGAGGTAGTCGTAATTTCCGACCGTGGCGATTGAGCGCAATGTCAGGAGTGACCCCTTTACTACGCCAAGATTCGTGAAACCATAGTCGTTGCTAGCATCTTCGGCGCGATGGCGCGAAAGGGGAAACCCTGCGTCGGATTCGAAGATGCAGATGGCATTCGGACTAACGTTCGTCGCATTTTGGGTATGGATGGTGACGTTCCAGAACGTTGAACCGAATGGACAGTCGAAGCCCTCGACGAGTGGGAACAGGTCGGCACCAAGTGAAAAGTGGGTATCGTGGTACAACGTCGTGGCGGCCTTTGGCTGGAATCCTCCGTATTGCGCCGCTGCTTCTTGCATTGACAGCTCGTAAAGAATTCGCTCCCCTTTGAAGCGTATGTCATATAGCATGATACCGAGCGTTCGCGTATGGGCGACATAGAATGACCATCCCAGATACTCAACATACTTTTGCTCCGGATCAATCTTGTATCGTTTACCCCCAACCTCAAGATTTTGCGGTGCGAATTTCTCTTCTAGCTCACGTGTTCCCATCTCGGGATTGTACTTAACCAGGGCCCAATCGTCATCGGATGGCTGGTAGAACTCCTCCACTAATTCCCCGGCTTCGAAAGCAGCGCGGAGATCTCCAACGGTTGGAAAGAATCTAGTGTTTGTGATAATACCCTTAAGTTGATATAAGGAGGCATCCGTGCCGGTGACATCAAGCTTGACGAAGAAATCAAGAGGCCTTAAATATGTCGCAGACCCGGGGAGCCTGAACATTATCACTTGGAATGCTTGGCTTCCGTCAAATGACGTAGGGTTTGTGGATGTCGCGCTCAAGGTTGACTTGGAATCCATAAACCCATAGAAGGCCCCCCCTAACAGAGCCGAGGTTATGTCACTGATATTAGACATAACAGAAACCAGAAGAGGTTCCAACGCCACAAGACGTTGCATGTCAAAGAACCGTCCGTTGAAAGGTACAGAGCCCCCTGTTCCTCCATTGTACAGATAATCCAGTTTCTGGATAGTCGTCTCACCGGACATAGGCAAGGGACCGATGATGTACTCCTGGGACACGGGTTCGAGTTTTCCACCCTCAAAAATAACGGCCCGAGCCCAGGATCCCGGCTTCACTCCTAAATCATCTATATATGGAAGCACATCAGACTTATTGACATGTACAGTATCGATATACCATACATAATTATCATTAAGTAGGGCTTCATTCGGGTCAGTAAGATTCAATCCAGACGCTGGGTCGTGGAGCAAATTCCAAACGGCCAAGTTGTCCTCGGCGGAGATTTGCGCCCAGACATTTGCCTTTGGAGCCGCCACAGACTCTGCGGATGAATATAGCGAACACGTTGAGGATGATGTATTCTCCCGAGCACTTATATGTTGGTTAAACTGCGGCAACAACCTCTGTCTACCATACCCTAATGGAGGTGTCGTAAGGGCATAAGTTGATGCGGCGACCAACACAACCGCAAGCATAACGTTTTGAAACATGTTCCCTGTCAATTGAGGAAAACCACGAGGTAGTATGTTTACCATGAAAATACGACAGATTATCCAGACCCTACAGAGTATGCAGTACGCAGAGCACTTATACTCCTCCATATCACCGGACAATACTTGCAGATCTATTCCTACCAGCTCTTCAGCGCATCCCAATATCAAGCCTATATTGGTAATATAGACGGGCTAGGCAACCAAATGGCGGCATCTCAGGATATAAGAGCACTATATCGGGGCTGATCCGAATTCACATCCTCTTATCGGCAGACAAAGACCCGTCGGCTAAAGATTAACGACATCCGGCGTCGGTCCACCGCGATAGTGATGTTGGACCATATCAAAAGACACGTGGGGGTGAAGGATGGGAGGTTGCGTCGCTGCAACAGTGGCACACTCCGCCTTGGCGAGATAATAAGATAACGACATTCGAAGTCAAGATCAGCACTGATAGCAAGTAGCTGTATAGAACGGGCGTAAGTTAACCTTGGCAGGGTCCCTTCGCCCAATAGAAGATCTGGAGATGTAAAGATCGATTAGATATCTTTTAAGTTTTCATAGGTTCTTACCAATACTAAGAGGTAATACTAAGGCCGATAACTAAAAAGCTTTTCTAGGTCTATAATACTCTTGGCCACAATAACCACTTCCATCACGAGAATTATAACAACTGGCTTGGAGATTAAACTGGTGTCGTATATCAAGAGGCCTAGTACCCATGTGAGTGCCTATTAATTCCTAGGTAACAATGATTCAAGCAAGTCACAATCTGGAGTCACGTTCACTAAAATTGGTAATGTACAAAAGAAACTATGTCAATTCAGAAGCTAACTCATCCTAAATATTTTACGTATCTACTTAAGTTCTTAGGTAGAATTGCCTCGCAACGAGAAAACAAGAATTAGATGTAGCTAGGCTTTGTCTTTCGGCGACGGGAGGGCCCATATGAGCCAAAACCCAAAGTGACCTTGATTGCCCTACCCATAAGAGCAAATGGCGACCAAAACGTCCCCGCCCAACCATACATGTATTCCGCGAAAAGGTCAAATAAATCCCCAAGGGTAACTTTATCTGTAATCACTGGCTTCACGTCCTCGTCTTCAGAGAAGTTGTTAGTTGCGCTTACTACATTCATGCCAATCCCACCAGCTGTGGCGGATTTAGCTGCGTTATTGCTCGTATCCTGGGTTAGTACCTTTACATCTAGGAACGATTTCGCAGTAGTAGTCTTGGCCTTATCCTTCTGAGTGGCGGCGGCTTCTTTCTGAGGAGCTGGGCCTTTGGTTTTGTCCTTATCCGCTTTGGGCTGGTTTTGTTTAGCCAGCTTTTGGACCTTGTCACTAGCTTCGCCATAATCCTTTTTCTGATCCTTGGGCGCTGGTTTCTCGGTTGGTGCCTTGGTTGGTGCTTTAGCTGCTGGCTGAGTTGGTACCTTAAGAGCTGGTGGTAGGAAACTGTCCGCAGCATCATCTGTATCGTCGTCATCGTCATCCCAGTTACCCATGGGGCGTTGGGGCCATTGTTTCCCTCCGCTTGCGATTTCCTTCGGGGGTCCTAATCGGTCCGGGTCGACTTGCTGCGGGGCGAAGGGGTTGAAGGGGATGCGAGGTTGACTATGCTCCATGAAGTTCGATTCGGTGAGGATCCAGTAAAGCCGCATGTATACGGCTAACACTAGAGCTACCTTGGAGATCTCCACGAAGCCATTTTCGAACATTCGGTAGTCGCAGAAGAGAATAATAAAGAGATCAATGGTAGTGTATACCATATGTTTCAGGAATTGGTATCTTCTTGTGGTCAGGTCATTCGATCGCTGTGGGTACAGTCGTCGACGGGCCGTGAACAGAGCCAGGAACCACAGAGCGATGATCAAGCCAATTTTAGTGGCGGGCTCGAGCACGAAAGATTCCTGCTCCGAGTTGCTAAGGTGTAGATTATTCCAGTTTTCAGCAATCCTACCAGTCAATGAAGGAGCCCCTGAAAAAGATTTTGGGGGAGAGAATGTAGTCCAAGACATTATGCTAGATTATTAATCGAAGAGATTTATGTATTGTGAGGTATGATAGCCGACTTTGGTAAACTGTTAGGAGCTTAATGTGATATTTAATCTCGTTGAGTGATGATATAGTTGATGTTGCTCTTACGAGCGTGAGGCCTAGTATTTATACTCATCCCGAGCCACACAAATTCTCGCACGCGTAAGGGGCTTGTTTCTGAATGATATTTTTGAGAATGATCAATAACGCGTTTACTACTATAGCTAACTGTTCGAGATTAAATATGTTTGTTTAGAAGCAATCGAAAAACCTACTGTTGAAACATTCCTGATAGAATTTGTGATGGATTATGTTTGGCTTCGTGTTCTAGAAGGCAATCGTTTTGATTCTATTGTTTTTTTCAAACCTTCTTAAATAACTGCCCAATCATGAAATTAGATTTATATCGCATAACAGATCTATTCTGAGGTAGCTCTTCGAACGGACATTTCTTCACATGGGATTGAAAGATTAACCTCTGATAAATTCCATATTCCTTCGGAACATAATAACGGCAGCTATGTAGACGGCCGGGTGTAATGCGGAGAGAAAGCATGCAATCGGTAAGATGATAAAGATCCCCAAGAATCCTCCGAAATATACCTTAAGGTCATCCCAGATAGCGAAAACTGCCAACATAGACAACGAAGTGGTCCATGCGTACATAAAGAATACAAGGGCAGATATGGTTAACAGCATCGCTATTGTCGTATATACCTAGGTAATGTTCGGAGGTAAGTCGCTTACTGCAGACCTCGGGGGCTATAAATCTTTCTCTGGGTGAGGGTAACGATATTTTAGCGCTAGATTTATATCATCGGGTGGTATAGGGGTTAATATGACTAGAAGAAAGTTGAATGGGCATTGTCTAACATGAATACAATAGGCCTTTGTTAACTTATCAGAGATAGTTAACAACTCTCAAGTCTTTGTATATAGGGCTAATAACAATAGTTCTACTTATTCAGGTCGGGAAGCTACCTAGGTACTTAGATAATGCGGCCGAAAAAGAAAGACAAAATTGAGACGTCGCTTTCAACAACCCCCGGGAACGACCATACGGATATAATAATGACTCCTACCTAGCCCCTAGGTAGGCAGCTAGGCACTTTAACATCAGTATATATTGGACCCGGGACTAGTCTGTATATAGGGAAGCACCTATCTTAGAACAGATAAGCTTCTTATGACTACGGGGGTTTCGACGATAGGCATCGCAGCGCTGTTCTGTCGTCGGCAAATACCGTGCGCTGGCTTTCTAGCTCCCTGTGTGTCCTGTGCAGAGAGATGTGCCTGGACACCTAGAGAATATAATAGCTTCCATGTTGCGTAGGGGTAGTACACGTTCCTTCTCAGCGGTCACAACGCGAGTGAGTCATAGTAAATTGTAGTCGTGGGTGAATTAAGTCTGGTTGGGAGGAAGAATATTAGGCAAGGGGGTGCCTAAAGGTTTAAATACCTCGGCGTGGATTCTTAGGACCCATATTTTATGCGCTAGGTACCTTTCTTAGGTACATTCAGGTACCCACAACCGAGGAATTAGGCCCCAGGTTTCCACTAAATGTACCCCTAGGTAGGGCTGAGGTGGGCCACTGACTGTTACAATAACCTCTGACCGTAACGCTTCTTCGGTGTACCGTATTTAGATAAGCCTATATGTATACATCGTCGTAGAAGAATAGAATGCTATTGTAGAGGGTCAAATTACCCACTAAAAGGGCATTGAAACTCAACTAGACGAAAAAATTCACCAAAATAATTATGCCTGTACTCCTCTTCCTGCCCCTTTGCGTAGGTAGGTGAGCTCCCTGGAGAGCATATATTAGGTATATTAGGCGGGATTGTGACATCTAGTTAAGACGTGTCTTCCCATGCAATATGGCAATCGTACCATTATGGGTCTTAACCTAAGTTTAAAAAGAAATGTTGGATACGTATTCAAACCCAAGTAACTCTTTACTCCTATTACTGTATCTTGTTAGCATCAAGTTACCTAGCTAACTAGTGATGCCTCTTCATGTAGAACCTCAACTCTCGATAATGGGGCATTGTGTGGCTTGTTTTGTTAATTATATACCAAAAGGAATGAGAACAAAAAGTTGCCATACAGTACCTCGAGGACTATTCTGGAATATTGATGTCTTGACTTCGATTCGAGTATTATGAGACATCAACGAGTAGGCCTAAGAAACGACTCGAGGTCTTTAGGGCATTCTCGACCAAGGCATTAACATCTTGCAGCACCGTGACTCGTCAGGCTATAATACTGACCACCCTTATTCAAAGGACTCGGAACCTAGACATACATATAATTGTTACCAAGGTTTCTATTGGTACTTGACAACCAACACACGATTACTCTATCATTAGCAACATTAACCTAAAAGACAGGAATTCACTTAGCACACCATTTCGTGTAGGACTAAGGCCAATCAGGAACTTCCATACTTCGCCTTGTACGTGGGCACCTACCTTGAGTTGTGCGGGAACGGTACCCAGCTTCGTTTGGGTATCGCTAATCAGCGCATACGGCTACCGATCCCGTAGTCCAAGACAACCACTAACCGCCTCCCCTTTCCTAAACGATACATACATAGAAGCGGATCTCCTATTCGTTTGTCGTCCGGGTTTCTCCTAGGATACCTAAGGTTGCACATAGTCAGTGGTTATTGAGGCTGATATACCATATCAGCTAAACAAACCACTTGAACCCTACCCGCGGATACCACTCCAGATCCTCTGGACTATTTCATGTTGGAACCGCAATTAGTAAGTCCACATATGGTTTCATACATAATACAATAAACCATGGATGCTAATCAGTAGCTTACCATAGTCCAACATGAATTACTCACCCGAAGCCTATGAACAATCTCACCTCGGAATGGATTGGATGTCACATAATGACTATCCCACAAATTTCGATGATCTCTTTGATCGCGGAAACCAGATCTGGGATGAAGATCTAGTTAATACTAATGATGGTCTGCCTGATGACGACCGATCAGGGACTGTGGAACAACCATCACCGGGGCCTGGCTCTAGCTTCGGGGCAAATGACTTTGAAATATCTAGTGGTGAGTCACGCTTCAGCCTAGCTATTGGTAACTCCGCCTCGTGCCGGGGAATAGTCATGTCGGCCTGAAATAGCATAGTAAATTAACAGATATAAAAGTCGCAGGTCCTCGTGCCTCCCAACAACGAGAATATTTTCGTAATCCAGATTGGGCTTACGCATTTGAAGTTTGGCCGCCTGTGGATGTAGATGGTAAGTTAGATTTCTAATTTCTCACTTGCAAAGCATTCCCACTACTCCGCATCATTACCCCATCCCCTGATCCCCCCATCCGGATCAACAAATAGCCGAACTTTAGACCCCAAATATCAACGAGCCCGTGCGCAATTTAACCCCAATTATTCATCATCTACTTAGATATATCATTCATCTATTCATCCTTCTCATGCACAAAGACAGCCTTACTACTACACTACTTTGTTACCTCGCTATTTCGGAATTTGTGGCGCGTCTCTCTTATTATCTTGTGGTTCAGCTCTCTCAAAAGCCGACCAATCGTACATCACTTACTTTCTCATATATACCATATTAGGCTGCTAATGCCTTCCCTTTTTTTCCTTACACCTTAGGTCAGAACCATGTATTAGAACATCATCAATCGATCCTCAGCGAATTAAGCAACCGGGGTATCCACGCCAGCTTTACTATCATCGTCGCCACCGAGGAGTATAGTCTCTGTCGAAGATATACCCTTCCACAACAATACCGTTTCGACGACCGCATCCGACTCATATTCCTACAAACCTTTAGTACAACCCGAGCGTATAATAAGCTACTCCCTGGGTATACTTTCAAGATGAGCGTGGTATATAAAGAGCCGGAAATGGTTCCTTCAGACGGATATTCCGCTGGCGTCGACGCCGGGCATCAAGATGGCGATAGTGACGCTCCTTCCACTCGGTATTCCCCCGTGCCCCAAGTCCATGATATACTAGGATACGGCGGTGCAGACGATGCGGTTCTGATGCCGACCTCACCCAACTCTCCCGATCTAGGCTCGCCTAACCTTCTCGGCCCTCTGACCCCTCCCGAAAGCCTACCTTCAGCATCGAAAACCGCGGGTCATCGTTCGGTTCGCAGACGACCTATCCCCAAACCACACCGCGAAGTTACCAAGAATCGCGAAGGAAAGTTTTGTTGTACATTCCCGGGATGCAGCGAGAAGGTTAAAACCTTCACCCGGAAGTGCGAGTGGAGGTAAGATCCCAACCTTCCTATCTCATATATAGAACAGTGCGCTAACTATCTCTAGCAAACATATGGACAAACACGACCGCCCCTATAAGTGCGCACACCCTGAGTGCCAGAAGCTTGCCGGATTTACTTACTCCGGCGGGCTCTCACGGCACGAACGCGAAGTCCACGGTCAACATGGCGGTCCTGTTAATTCCATAGTGTGTCCCCATTTGAGCTGCAAGCGCCATACGCACGGCTTCACACGCATGGAGAACTTAAACGAGCATCTACGGAGATGTCACCGACCCAACGAGGAAAGGGACGGCGAGGACGGGAGCGACCCTGCTGGACCTTTACCCGAGGACGAACCCCTTCCCGAAGACGGCACGACTCTCCCACTGCCGAATCCGCTTGTGGAAAGTCGGATCGGGGAGAAGCGCAAGCCAGATACGGATTTAGGGGGGCAAGTAAAGCGCTTACAGGTCGAGAATTCAGAGCTACGCGCTGAGATCGAGGCGCAGAAACGGCAAAGCATAGCTATGATGCAGCAGATGTCCGAAATGACCGGCCAACTCAACCAACTCCGACAGATCGCGCAAATCCCATCGTCGCTCATGCCCAATGACCCGTCAGTCCCTGGATCCTAGGAAGGCCTGGGGACATTTTGTTATTAGTCTTGCGCCTTCTCCACTCTCATCTTTTTTCACACGCATTTTCATTTCCTATGTTTTGAGGATACCCCACTTTGTTGTTTCTGCATGGCATGGCGTGGTGTGTTGGTGATGAGGAAGATCGACTAGATTCGTCTTGATCGTTTCCCGCCGGACGGTCTTAGGCGTTTTTGATTTTTTCGGTATAGCATTTTCCCGGTGTGAGCGTTTTGCCTTCAGTCAGGCACAGGCTAGAGTGTTCTCGCCTCTCATTTGTTTGCTAGCGGCATGTTTGGAGCATCCGGGTTATTTGGATGATGATACGAGGACCTAGATATCCACGGAGAGAGAATGGGAACGATGATATTACGTCATGAGCTGTAGTTATAGATACCCGGGATCGGCCTGGTTGTTATTATTGTCCGATATGTTACTGCGTTGTTGCCTTTGTCTTTGTGATTTGGGTGTAAGCTGCTATTTTGGTGTCACTTACAATCCTTACTTGTGTTTGCTGAGGCTATCTTTGCAATCAGACGTACATATCTTCATTTCCACTTTGAGAACAACATAACTCAGCTGGGCCGTCCAATTTAGTCCCAAGGTCCAGGACACAAGCACAAGTCTTCAAACACGTACAAGCCCAATTCACACATGTTGGTGTTAAGAAATTACAGGTGGATATTTCTTGCATATCTTTGCAAAAACGTCAGGAATATTGTTTAAGTGTACACTTTTCTCACGATGAACAACTCACCATCCCTATTTTCTACTACCATATTTTATTTCTACTCCATCAATCGCACTATCGAGTGCATGTCGCTTAATTAATGTGAGTGGGTTTTTATGACCATAGTATTCGCACGGGGCCGAAATCACCACACACAGATATTTTATCATCGACTGAAGTTATATGACAACGTTCACTTCTAAACGATGTGGTATAGAGATGTATTTCTGGTTGAAATGTCCCAGTGACCTCGTCGCTTACGACTCTCGCTCGAGTTCGATGACGTATCAAGTAAACTCGTCCAATACGACCATGTGGTCTAAAGTTCACTTCAGTTTTCATGTATGACACACCTATCCTTGTGTTTACCTAGGTACTCACTATGAGTGATTGGACCTCTCCTACTACCCCTAAGCGACTTCATAAGATTCGAGTCGTTCGTGTCACCCTGACCTGTACCTTGCATGACTCCCAAAACACAGAATCGGGAAGTAGCCGTTGCTACCTAGGTATACATGCCATCAAACACCATTCAAGGACTTCGACATGGGGTTTCGATATATACAGTTACCTACCTGTAAACAAATAATAACCTAGTTCGGTCTTCGATCTTATGTGAAAACAAACACTACATATAACATATGGGGGAATTGATGATCGTAACAGGGATTCATTAACTTCGTTTTTGGCTTCAATTTGTCGCAAACACAGATTGATTGTCAAAGGTCACCACGTTCCCCTAGTTTAATTTCCTTGTTCACGTATACGAATTGACTTGGAGAAGATATTGACAGTCGTATCAGAAACTGCTTCAAACATTATTTGTGACTTACGTCAGGTATCAACATCTATTTTGAGCTTCATACTTCTGTCTTTTGCATATATAGGACCACATCTTCTCCCCTGCCGGTAGTAAAGGAAGAATTCAATCTCCAGCACGATATCCCAAGAAGCTTTACGAGATACCTGAACCTCCATATCTTTCTTAGCCATACAACATAACCTACACGCACTTTATCAATCGCCTACTTACCCCCCACAATGAAGTTCGCCGCCCTTCTCATCGCTGCGGTAGCGACCCCAGGAGCCCTGGCAGACTTTTGGATTAGCTACGTCAATCAAGAGATCGAAAGAAATCAGGGAAAGAGGATCGTAGAGGGCGGCTACATCACCAACGGGCCCCCATCCACCTGCGACGATTTAACTTCGTACCACGTCTGGCCCAACTCGGGCGACGTGAGCGCTGACAAGACCGGAATGCGCACCGTCCCCGTAAATCCAGTTGACCCACCGTTGTACCGCGACCCTCTTGACATCACCGAAATCAACACAGGCGACGCGGGACCTGGCCATTTCAGTAAGTCCTCTCATTCCCGGCGGGTGTAGGGAAAGTGTAAGTACTAACACGGTATTTATAGCGGTCTACAAAGACCGTGGCGGTGCTATGGTCGATTTGAATGGGAAACTTCTCGGCACGTGTGGCGAGGACCGCTCGAAAACTTTCGATACAACCTGCGATATTGATCGCTACCCTGCCCGCATCCAAGGATCTTCTATGTACTTTTGCACAACTGGTCTCCAGGCCGGGTCCAAGGACTAAACTTGTATCCTTGCTATATCCCGTCACCTAGCATGCTAGATGCCAGAGACGATTAGGTGTGGTGTTTTGAGAGGGAGGCCTGAAAAGGAGGAGATATAAAATTCTGGAGTGACGTTGAAGTTTTCTTGTACCCATGGCTAGATAGAGACCGGACACGGCGGTATAAAAAGTATTCCTAGCAAAAGGGTCAGCTACTTAGATATTTATCCTGCAATGACTTATTGAAAAACACATTTGCAAACGATACTATCTTCATTGAGGTCAGCGTGAAGGACTAAGTAAATCTATTCAAGCATACATGCGACCATTTTTGCCGGATCGTAGTAATACTTCCATATCATAGAAAGGAGCTTCAAGGATCCAATGGCGCCACCGCCTAGATTACCTACGGCGTCACAACACAGCAAGGCGCCCATAGACATGCCCAAACCTAAGACCCAAGGGCCTTGGTATCATGGCTTAACTAACTTTATTATCTATAGATAAAAATAGACGACATAGAATAGACCTTATTAGCTTACTCTAAAGAAAGCCCTAGAGCTTTGTATATTGGACATAAGTTCAAATGGAGGAGCCAATAGTTACAATTAGAGGTATCATTATATATTTATAGAATATTAGATATTCTCTTTTCCTTATGGACCTTAAATAAATAGAATAACTGAATTAATAACTCTATATACCGGAGCAGCTTTCAATCCCCCTATTCTAAGGCTGGAAATGGGTACCTACCCCTGAACCATTTTAGATGTAACAAATAGATTTATCTTCGCAGGCAATAGCCTTGTCCGAATCCATTGGGTCATACGCATGTAAGAACAAACATTGGAATATACAGGATTAGTTATCGGATCCTACACCATAGTGCCTGCCTACATTGCTATTGTATCTACACTTGCCGATCAAAGGATCAAAGATGCGATAGAAAAGTTTGTGGGTATCAAACAACGAATATCCAGGGAAGGAGAGGCTACATTCTATGTCCTATGACCATTGAGATAAGGCTCTATATGTCAGGTGTGACTTGCAAAAGTTGTCTATTGCATTGCTCTTCCTGTTCCATCCTTAGCAGTCCCCAAGATATTATAAAACCGCAATACTTCTCGCTCCCTGCTACTTTAAGAACCTAAACTCATACTCGGCATTTCGACAGATTGAGCTCAGTGATATACCTCGACTTCGATTCTTCTCACACACATCTACCTACCTTCGAGTCACCTAACCTAACCTTCTGCACCGGTCTACCGAGTTCTCTATTCACAATGAAGGTCTCCGTTTTATTCATTGCCGCCGCAGCGGCCCCTGGAGCTCTTGCAGACTTCTGGTTGAACTACTTCAACAAACCCGCCGTCAACGACTTTGAACAGGGCACTGCTGGCGGGATTTTTGTCGCTAACCCGCAGATTACCTGCGACAACATTTTCGGTATTACTGTCTTTTTTAACTCTGGCGACGTTAGCAAAACTATTGGAATGCGCACCGTCCCTGGCAACGACGTCGGTGCGCCCTTGTTCCGTGACCCCCTCGACATCGTTGAGTTCAACACGGGCGACCAAGGCCCCGGCCATCACAGTAAGTCCTCCCCCACCTAATCCCATTGCCCAAGCATATAACCAGTATTCGAAGTTTAATCGCTGACTTATTCCCGTGTAGCTATCTATGCAGACCGCGGCTACGCCATGGTAGACCCTTCTGGAACGGTTACTGGCCATTGCCGACTAGACCGTAGTACCACCTACCACTTTCAGTGCCCGGATGGCCACAGCGATTCCGTCCATGTCCAGGGATCTTCGATGTTCTTCTGCACTTCCGACCTTGGGCCCGGTCCTAGAGAGTGATCTAAGAGATATGCTGGCGGAAAAAGAATAGGGAGGAAGAAAATCGGAAAATCTGGAGTGGCGCTTCGGCCATATACCTAAAGACCGGACATGATGGCATTGGAAATGTGTTTAGCAAGAGGTCGCCTAGAAAATGCGCAATTGATGATTGTTTGACACGATACCTAGAAGTGATCCCTTCTTCCTAACGTTGATTTGCCAGACCAGATGGATACTTAAGCCCTCGCGGGCTAAATTTTACTAGATTGCAGGCCATATTTCGTTCTTAACTCTCCCTGGGACGAGTTGTGAAAACTTCCAGGTTCTCGTTTCCACCAATACCCCAGGCTCCGCACAATATTGGTACTGCGTAGGGCTCTAGGAGGCTTCTCGCACGGTATACTTTTAGGGAAATACCCGACGCCTTTACGTATACCGCTACGAACAGGTGGTACTCAGACACCCTTCACAGGAGGGATTTTAGTGGTTATAGGGCCTAGAAAATCTACTAACGAATACGCAAGTCTCTGCTCGAACGCGGAGTTATTAGTAGAGATACTTGCGAACGCCACTTGATCGTGGGGGCACTCGTATTCACCAGAGCGAGGCCGGTGAGCTAGTCGCCAGCCACGAAATGCAAATCATTCCGCGTATATACCCGACGCTGGAGACTAATTGCAATGGTGGATAGCCGACGATCCTGTTATGAGCATCAAGACATCGTCCTTACCAAAATTTGATACCACAGACAGGAAGCTTGTTCGAAATTAGCTTGCTCGTAATCAATCGCATAAATAGGCCCTAACGGAATAAGTACTGTGAGTAGGTAGTTTGAAGAGGTGAGCAGGGCGATCCAAATCCTTCTACCCCACGGCTTCATCTACGCCCGTCGTCCTCGGCGGATCGGCTAGAATAAAGTGCGATGTGTGGTACCTCAAGTACTCCGAGTATATTGCACAAGTGAGACATACTCTAGCCGCCAGTACAGGCTTGAGCCGTGGTTACACAGTGAAGGATTCGATGCAAACCTGCCTGCTTGCGTAAAAATTCTGTATTATCAAGATACGTTGCCGAATCATGTACTGAAGTAGGTACATGTAGGGATCGGATGCAGTCCATTTTACTTTTTATTTGGGGTTACACATACTGGGAAGAAGCGGGAACCCCCAAATATTTTCCGTGTCAGCTTAAAGACTACCATTGCCTTTGACTTCCTTCAGCTTCGTTGCGATTCGGAAGTATTGAGGGCGAGAATCGGCATCATCTAAATGCGCTAGGAGAACGGAGAAGTTTCCAAAGTCCACTGAGTTGTAAGCAACGGTGGAACCGAGAACAAGTCGCGCCGCGACGCTACTATATGTTGAACGAGGGTCTTGCTGTTGCGACGTCCAATTCATTCAGTAGGATTACGGCGCTTCGTAGCTTCGCCGCGCATTAGCATACAACTTGCAAGGGAGTTATATACGAGTCTTCTATCTAATCGGCATTTTCATAGATTACACCCCGGTAGGTAGCTAGATATTAGAGCCAACGTTTTTCTACCCTTCCCATTCCTCACTTGCTCCAATCTGTTTTTGCCATCCCCTCTATGACGCCATGGCTGAAATTAAAATCAAGGAAGGCAAGGCGCCTTTCAAAATCGCATCAATTGATGAGTCATGTTTCACTTATTATAAGATCATTGGTGATCTTTCCAGCGGACTTCCTCCAGTTGTTGTAGCTCATGGCGGACCTGGCGCTGGGCACGAGTATCTCCTCACATTCGCTGATTTATGGCGGAATTACGGCCTCCCGGTCGTCTTCTACGATCAAATAGGCTGTGCTTCATCCACACATCTCCAGCACAAAGCTGGCGACCGGTCTTTCTGGCAGGAGCAATTATTCCAAGATGAGTTGGATAATTTGATAGATCATCTCGAGCTGCGCCGCGACCCCGGCTTTCACTTCCTCGGCCAGAGTTGGGGAGGTATGCTTGGTGCAGCCTTTGCTGCCCGCCAGCCCCAGGGGCTCCGGAGACTGGTACTCGCTAGTGCGCTTGCGAATAAGGAGCTTGCTACTCGCGGGACGAAGCTGTTGAGAGAACAGATGCCACCAGATATGCGACAAGCACTTGAGGAGGCCGAGAAAAAGGCCGAATATGAGGGTCCTGCGTATAAAGAGGCACTGGACTTTTACTTCAGGAAGCACGTGTGTCGCGCCGAGTCCTATCCGCCGGTAGATCTTCTGCCGGCTTTGAAGAACTTGAGTGAGGATACAACGGTATATCGCACAATGTATGTCGCATTTCTCTTCTCTGAAATCTTCTTCAACTTTTCCCGACTCCCCTTGCATTTCTTGAATAAAAACTCCTACTTCTACTTCTAACTCGCTAGGTAGGAACGGCCCCTCGCCCCTCACAGCAGACGGAACGTTAGACAAATGGACTGTCATTTCGCGCCTCCCAAAGATTAACGTTCCGACGCTCGTCTACAACGGCGAGTTCGACACCTCACACGACATCGCCCAAGTACCGTTTTTCGAGCTCATTCCACGGGTTCGCTGGATTACGTTTCCGAATGGCGGCCATATGTGTCATCTAGAAGAAGGGCTGCGAGAAAGGATCTTGAAGGTCGTTGGCGAGTTTCTAACACAGAAGGAAGTTGTCGATGTATAGCAAGTTTCTTCAAGAATTCGTCCGGTAGAACGGGGACAATGACAATAAAAGCACACTCTTCATTAACATGACCCGACCATTACGGTCGCCATTCCATTCCGGGAAAGCCAATGACCCAGATGCTTGTAAGATTATCTAAAGCTAAAAATTTAAGATGTCATCATGACGATGTGTACCTGAGTTAGTCATAGAGCGAGTCATGTCTAAAATTCACCATACCCATAGCAACGCATACTCAAATACGGTTCCAGATTGCCAAGATTAACATCATTCCGTATTCTGGCTGTAGCTGAAAATGCCGGTGATTCCATGGGTTATCAGGGTGGGAGACCATCCTGGTTCGTCTGCTGAGGAGATCGCCAATGAACCCGACTGGGATTCGCGCCATCCTCATCATATCGGCTTTAAAGACGAAAACCGCGTTGCCGGTATTACTCATAGGAACGATGATTACGACGAAGAAATTAGCGAAGCCAAAGAGCAATGGAAAGAGTTGAAGAAAGAAAAGAAGGAAGGTGAACTCTTGAACTTCAGGGATATCATCACTCATCAGAAGGTTGGCAATCATTCTAATCGTCGTAATCCTTGTTCTTCAATTGAATACCATTATCACTAAAACGCTCATTTCATAGGATATTCATTTAGAGCATCCCGAGAACCACCCTGTCGGATGGCGTTATGTACTAGATGCCAGCGAAGACTGGGTAAAGAACACTGAGGAGTGGCCCGCCAATATCAAAAGGCGTCAAAAAGAGGAAGAGGAGAAGGCGAAGAAAGATAAGGATAGCGATTCAAAAGATGATCCACGCCAGGAGCATGAATGGAAAAGATCTCAAGGGCAGAGTAATCAACACCATGCTGCGTATTCGGCGGATTCCGATAGTGGGTATGACTCGGGAAGTGGGAAGGGAGACGAAGAACGCAGCGACAGCGAATCTCAAAGCGACAAGAATTCGACTGAACCTAAATATTCTCCACAAGAACAAGCGCTCCTGAAGGCGTTGAATCATGAGAAAGAATATATCTCAAAACTTAAAGCTAATGATGGAAAAGGCGAGTCACCTCAGAATCGCAATCGGACTCAGACCTCAATTGATGAGCAAGACCAGTTCAGCCCCGATAATTGGCTTCCTAGGTCTTCGGACCTCACGAGGTTAACTGGAAAACATCCATTAAACGCGGAAGCTGACCTGAGTCACCTCTTCGATGCCGGACTGATCACACCAAACGAGCTTCACTACGTCCGAAACCATGGCGCAGTACCTCGACTATTATGGGAGTTCCATAAGATCGATATCGATGGCGGCAAGCTTGTGTTATCCATGGACGATCTAAAAAATAATTACTCCCCTATCAATATTCCTGTTGCATTAGCGTGCGATGGAAACAGGCGTAAAGAGCTCAACATGTTACGCAAAAGCAAAGGTTTCAACTGGGGACCCGGTGCCGTCAGTTGCGCGTACTGGAAAGGCCCTCTCCTGTTAGATGTTTTGATGTCGGCGGGGATCAAGCCTGATCTCTCAGGTGATTCCGGAAAACGACTATGGATTCATTTCGAGGGCTCTGACAAGCCAAGCGAAGGAGCATACGCAACTTCTATACCATTTGAATACGCCATGGATCCTACTAACGACGTAATTCTCGCATACGAGATGAATGACTTACCGCTTCCCCCCGACCATGGGTATCCGGTTAGGCTCATGATCCCCGGGTACATTGGTGGTCGGTGTGTTAAATGGCTCGGCAAGATCTGGATCAGCGACAAGGAGAACGATTCGTATTACCATATCTGGGATAATAGGGTTCTGCCAGGCTTCATAACTGAGAAAGACGGCGAATTTGCGGAAACTCTTTTTCAACATCCTGACACGGCCTGCAATGAGCAGAATTTGAATTCGGTAGTTGTGAAACCTGCCCACGGAGAGAAAATCTCCTTAACCGAAGCTCGGAAAGGTCACGGTTATCGTATAGCAGGTTACGCTTACGATGGAGGAGGACATGAAGTTCAACGTGTCGAGGTTTCGCTTGATGAGGGAGACACTTGGCTGTACTGCATCAGGAAATTTCCGGACTTTCCTATTCGCCATGGGAAGAAGTTCTGGACGGTACGTAACCTCCTATTGTTGACACAAAATTCGAAGCTCTCATACTGTGAAATTTCTAATACCGTTTCATGCAGTGGCTCCATTGGCACGTCGATGTCGAGCTATCACACCTACTCCGAGCGAAAAGTATTACAGTACGTTGCTTTAACGTCTTCAAAAACACCCAACCGAAACAGCCTAACTGGAACATAATGGGCATGATGAATAATTGTTGGTATATCGTACGGCCCGAAGTTGTTGAGAATGATGACTCCGATGTCCCTTCTATCCTTTTCCGTCACCCGACCGAGCCAGGCACTGGAGACGGAGGTTGGATGAAGCCTAGTGTGGAGAACCAATTGAGTGCTGCTAAGCAAGAAGCTGGTACACCCCAGAAACAATTCACTAGGCAGGAGGTAGAAAAGCATGATAATGAGCGTGACTGCTGGATTGTAGTGGACGGAAAAGTATACGATGCAACGAGTGTCCTGGAATGGCATCCAGGTGGGAAAGCCGCTGTGCTTGGACACGCCGGTAAAGTCCACCAACAGACCTCTGACGAATTCGCGAGTATTCATGATGATTATGCGTTTCAAAAGCTTAAAGGTATGAACACCTTACTGTTGGGTATTGTTTAGGAATTTTTTCACCATCTGACAATTCGTAGAATGTGCCATCGGCGTGCTTACCGACAAGGCAATGAAATTCGTCGAGAAGACGGCCGAAGACTCGGCCAAGGAGCAAGTCAACGACAAGGGCGAAGACCAACTCGTTTTGCAAAGACATCGCTGGGTCCCGGTGAAACTTGTCGACCGCCAGGAAGTCTCCAAAGACACACGAATATACACATTCGGTCTTCCAGACAAGAAAACCGTTCTCGGACTAGGCACCTGCCAGCATCTCCAAATCGGGTTCCATATGAAAGACCGCCTGCTTATTCGAAGTTACACGCCCACAAGGCCGATCCTCCCGGCGCGAAGGGACACTTCAAAATCTACCTGCGACGACAGGAATGGTACTAATAAAACTGATAAGGGCGAACGCGATATGCGTGACGGTGATGGTACCTTTGATTTAACGGTCAAAACATACTTCCCAGACGAGAACCAGCCAGGCGGCGCTCTATCTAACATCCTCGACTGTCTGCGCATAGGGGAACCCGTCGAGCTGCGCGGGCCCACGGGCGAAATCCTGTATAACGGAAGCGGGCGGTTTTCGATCGAGGGACAAGAACGACGTTTTGAGCGTGTGTCGCTTGTCCTCGGTGGTTCGGGTATTACACCAGGATATTCGCTAATCGCAAGAGTCCTGTTATCGCAAGACGATAAAACGAAAATACGTGTTGTCGATGCTAATAAGACTGAGGACGATATACTGCTTAGGGACGAACTAGATAAATTTGAGAAAAAGTCGAAGGGTCAGCTAAAGGTAGCGCATGTGTTGAGCCATGCCGGGGACGACTGGACGGGTTTGAAGGGACATGTTGATGAGAATATTATTAAAGAGAATCTCTTTGGGCCTGGCGAGAAATCCGTGGTTTTCTTGTGTGGACCCCCGGCTATGATACAGAAAGCGGCGCTGCCGGCGTTGAAAGGTAAGCTATTTGGTGTTTCGCTATCCCAAGCTTTACTCTGGCGTGCTAACATGAGACTAGATTGGGGTTACACTGAGGATGAGAATATGTTTGGATTTTGAGATTTGTTGTCTTTTGTTAGGGTATTGCGACCACTCGAAATGTATGGGCATATTCGTCTAGCACTTGGCATTGATGCTGTCTACCTAGATATTTATAATTGGCACACTATCTAGGCAAGTAATGTACTGTTCTATGTAATTGGATATCTTTTTATGAATCATTCTTTTGGCTACTTAAGAGATAGTCAAATTCTCAAACTCGAACGTGCAATTGAATGAACTATTCCTTCTCTAATGCGATGCCGTAATGCCACCAACTCCATTCAATGCAAATGCGAAATAATCGGCCCAACTCCGTAAATGCTGCAATTTTCGTCGATATTTATGCACAGCCGCCTCGTATCATCTTCATCAATCACAATACCATCTTTTATCTAACGTTCATACCACATAATATCGCCTGTCTGTTGCTCATGCCATAATAGCGGCAAATAATCCAGCTCCAAGCATCACGACTGCACCATGAGCCAACATACCACCCCTCGCTCTGGGTCCACCATTTGGCAACTCTTTCTGTACGGTCGCAGTCGCCGTTGCAGCCGACAGAGTGCAACTCGCTGTACCGCATGCATATCCATTAGGACAACACCCAGCCACAGGCCCTGCATCTCCACCACATAGAAACCATCCCGCGGCACACGTCGCAGTTCCAGTTGCCGACCCCGCTGCATCCGCATCCGACACCGGGACCACGATTGTAGCTCCAATAGACACAATAGTCGTAGAAGCGGCCGGAGGACAAGAAGTCGTGCTGCAATCCCGACCGGTTCTACAACACCCTCCTCCTGCACTAGCAACACAAGCATAGAATCCCGTGGGGCAGTATGATGCGGAGCTACCACTTGTAGGACGATAAGGCGGGACACCACCGGAGTTTGTGTCGGGGGCGGTTGTAGATGTCGGTGTTGAGGAAGACGTCGATGTGGGCGCGTTGGCAGTGGTGGTTTGCGTCGTGGTACTAGTTACCGGCGCACCACCACCGGATGGCGTTACGGTCACGATGACGGTTACGACTTGTGTGCTGGGCGTGGGGATCGAGATTGCGGTTGAGGTTAGGGTTGTTTGGGTTATTATTGAGATGCTGCTGGCGACGCCTGGACATGGCATGTTAGCACTCTTCGTCAATTCCAAAGTTTCTTCAATCCCTTCAATAAAATAGGAGAAAATGGTACTTACAACCAACACTAGCACACACAAACCCCGGGATACAGCATCCACCACCTACGTTCGCAGGACAAGCCGTAGAGCCATCGGCACATGTGCCGACCGTAACGCCACAGTTCTGGCCATTAGGACAACATCCTACATTACCGGCATCAGGCGCATTGGTAACGACGAAGCAGCTTGTGCCGTCGGTGCAGCAGTAGTTGGGCTGGTCAATGTTGGTACAGCTGTGCGTCCCAGCAGGACATGCGAATTGGCGGCCTTGTAGCTTCGACAAAACTTCGCGCGCGCGTCGGTATAACAGCAATCCCGTATCTTCTTGTTTCTTATCCGTTTCTCCTTTATTCGTTCCCGCTCTTATATTTGCGCTCCTGAGTTCAGTATCTCGATAGTCGTAGTGTAAAGGATAAGGCGGTTGGAACGGAATCGCAGCGGAGCTGTTGCTAGAAAGGAGCATGTCGTCATCAGATGCGCGATGATGTAGCGGTTGTGGACCGAATGCGTAGAACTCGGGAAATATCTTCTCGCCCTCGTCAAGCGACATCTTTCGAATTGCCGTTGGGTGTTGCGCGCGTACTTTCGTCGCGGCGGCGAGAAGTAGGAGGAGCGAGGATGGTAGGCTAAACATTGCTTTTGGGAGGTACATGATCGCCGATTATCGACACCCAAGAAGGGTGTCTGCAGATTGTCGCGACGGAAGGGTAATTGCTTTTTACCAGTGTCTCGGTAACCAGGTGAAATTGTCAATTATATAGTGCCCAGGGAAAATGACGGCAGGCATCTATGTTGACGATGATGCTTGTTTACGGGAGCGTGCCGATGAAGTTACACTGGTAGTGGGCACCGTTTCCCGTTTCCCAGCTGTGCAACTTGCTAAACAATCCGTTTGTTCGCCTAGCTATCAGCTCGGCTTTAATTAACGAGGGAAGCCATCGGATTGGATACAAAATGTCCTCGACACGATCTTGTAATGCGTGACTTGTCAATTTATTGACAACAATAGCCCCCGAGTCAAAGAAAAAAAGGGTTGTTTAATTGAATGGAGACTCGAGAGACGAATGGTCATTTCTAGGTCCCAGCGTCAAACAACAAAGGGTAATCTGGCGGTGGCTGAGTCTGGGTCTCTGGGATCGACATGGGTCCCCTTCTGTTGACAACGCATCAAAGTGCCAGTCGGAATCGTTCACGATCTCCCTAACATGGCAGCTCGGAAAATCAGCTGTAGCATTGGACGTCGAAATATCAATATTTCCAGAATAGGTAAATAAAACAAGTGAAGTGGTCGATACTACCTAACTGTAGGTGTGTTTCGTACGCCTACATCCAATCAATGACAAATTATGACATGAACGACACATTTTCACAGTCACATATATTCCAAATCATTGATGACTCCGCACATTATTCATTGCGAATAATGGTCATGGCACATTCAGAATTAGCAAAATAATCATAATACTTTTATACTCCTGACTTTTTATTCCTTGAATACCATGCATTTGGGTGTTCCTATTCCGGTCCCAATCAGGTAAGCTTCTAGAAGTCTAGTCCCTGCATACGATCGACAGATCATTTACGTCAGGGAACGCAGTAGAGATAGCGGGGAATAACAGGATTAAACTTCTTTATTTCGAAAGGAGTCGTTGCAGACCTATGTATGTAGCAGACAAGTTTTGTGTGTCGCGCATGTCCAAGCACTGAATAATTAGGCCTTACTTTCCTCGCTCGATATTCACGATAGAATATCTCACATTATACCTATCCCATTGAGATATTCCCAGTATATATACATGATGGTCGTACAAATGTCTCATTGATATCAGGTATCATATGTCCATAACTGCGTCGTTACAAATACAAGTCCACGCAACATTACCATAGTTGCTGCTGCGATTCGTCGTCGTTATCGGGAACCTCAATGATCTTATCAAACTTGCTATCCGAATACTGCTTCTTCAAGAAGGCAGAGCAAAGGACACCCGTTGCCACGCTAACATTAAGACTTTCCACGGCGGAAGATCCAGAATGATTCGGTATCGAAACTTCATAATCCGCCATCCGTCTCGTTTTACTCGAAAGACCCTCTCCTTCACTTCCAACCATTAGAATTGTTGGTTGGCTCGATAATGGATCGTATGATTCTACTCTGTCTGGTGTGAGATGTTTTCCCTCTCTAGGTCGAGAACCTGGCGCCACTGCAGCATAGACCACCCAGCCCGCCTCCTTGGATCGAGTGAGGAAATTGAGCGTGGTATCGACTGAGAACAGCTTAACAACTTCGGAGGCACCAGCAGATGCTTTCAAAGCCACCGAAGTCAATGTAGCGGAATGGCCTTTTGTGATCCCGATGGCGTTAACACCTAGAAAAGCTGCCGATCGTAGGATAGCACCTAAATTGCCCGGATCTAGAATACCATCCAATAATAGAACAAACGGTTTCCTGCCAGGTGGTAGGGTGCATTCGACAAAGTCAGAAGTGCCATTCACCTGGGCCTCTTCGACAGATTGGTGAGCCAGCGCGATACTGAATCCGGGGGTTGGTTCTTCGGTCCATTCACCTAGAGATCTAAGTGGCAATTGAGGTAATGGAGATGCCTCAAGAACACAGCCATTATGCGGTCGACCATCGCTCATTTTATCCATCATCCGCAATCCCACATTGTCCGTCACCTTTTTGACGGTGACACCAACTTGGTTCGCCTGTCTTTCAAGGCCGGTGATACCCGAAGCATCTCGTCGATTTTCTCCGCAGTAAAGATATAGATTATAAAGTTGTCGCGTGGTGTTTTTAAGGGCAGCCTCAACTACAGAGCGGCCATAGAGAAATTGCGATGCTGCGGTAGTGCGATGAAGGCGGATAGAACCACTATCTTTTGGTCCACTGTCTCTTGATGAGGTTTGTCGGAATGTGGGTTCTTCATCTTTTTGATATCGCTCTCGCTCCCTATTTTCCCTAGGTTCCCTAAGCTCCCCAAACGCTCTCGACTCCGCCGGCTTCTCTAAAGGCTGACGAAAATCGCGCTCTTTTCTTTGAAATCCGGAACTGGAGAACCTATCTCGCGGAGGCCTAGCGAAATCTCTTGAATTATTCGACGTCCTATCGCCGAATGCTCTCGATTCATTTGAAGATGGGCTGAAACGTGATGACGGACGAGACCTTCCTTTCCCTTCCACTGAACGGCTTCTCCTAGAAAAATCGCGACCTCCTCGATCATTTCTATCCGAGGATGACTTTTGTCCTGAACTGGACTCAAAATCCTTGAAAAATTGACTCCGTGTTACCCTATCTTCCCTTCCGCGTTGCTCTGGTTGCTCTCTTTCGCTCAAGTCGCCCAATTTGCGTCGTAAGGGACCATTCCCCAGTTGGTAAACTAGACTCTTCTTCCCAAACTCTTCATCCGGATCATAGAAGCGTGCCCGTCTAGACTTTGGCTTAGGAGTTGTGAATGTGATGTCTTTCTTGCCTTTTTTAATCTTAAACGTCGGCAGTTCCTCAGGTAAACCTCTTTTTGATCTAGCTGTGTTCAAAGCTGTCTTTTTGAAGCCTTGAGCTCTAGCCTTCTCCGAGTTCCGAAGTCCACGATGGATGGCCGAGAGAGAAGAGGCACGTGAGGGAACATAAGTAGGCCTTAGAATGGCCCAGGATCTAAATAATACGTCATGTCCACTCCGTAAACATGAAGAGTTGAAGAAAATCATTGCATGTTTCAGAATAAACAGACCATATGAAGCTTAAAGACAGCTCTAGAGAAATAGAAAATCTATTTATGTCCTATAGAAATGTGATCGTATTCATCGATGGCAAACTAAATAAATTTGCTTTTTGGAAATTTTCGAGGTACTAAATTTCTTATCTCTTATCAGCTATAATAGACCCATATTAAAAAGCTTAGCTACATAAAGTACCGAAGTACTTCGGTACATACACGTAGGTACTTGAACGCCGGATGGACCTGCCACACTTACAAATGCAAGTACACGTACGCTACAGGTACGCGCCGTACCTACCCGTAGGTACATGCAAGTGCCTAAAAATTGCCCTCGTCGTTGCTTAGGTGGGTGTCTCGTCAACGTTCTAGGTAGGTACGCCCCCACACCTGTACCTATGCAGGTAACTTTAAGTAGCGGGCTTCAGGACTGTTAGAGGGAATACATAACCCCACCAACTCGGCCGATTTTCCTAATTAATTACTTAACTCGACTAACCCTAACGCCGACGCGTGAACCCAATCTCTTACCGCGTCCCTCTCCAGAATCAAGCAAATCTTCAACTCGATATTTTCATCGACGGTGCACTAGACGCATTCCTTTCTCGTCGCTCTCTAATTTTCTTTGGGACGTCTTTATTTGATACCGGCGTTTTCTTTACGGTAAGTTTTTCTATTTTTAGAACCACCAATTATCTATTTATTTCGAATGCGCCGGATTTTAATCGCTAACCTTTCACCAGATCGGCTTTGATACCCCAACGGCGGCGCCTTGTGCAATTTACCTGCTTTTTATGTACCCCCATATTGACGTCTTTCGATTTTTCTTTTTTTTATTCTGGTAATCTCGGACCATGGATAGTCCGGCGAGTGACGCCGAGATGGAGGATGTCGATGACAATTATCCTCAAGTCCTCGGCGATCCCCCGGTTGATGGTAAGTTAGCTCACCATTTATTTATTGAGCAATATACTAATCATTATATACAAGGCGACTCGGATTCAGATAAGGAAGATTCAGTTCCGAATCTGGATGAAGGTTATGACCCTACACCGGATGCAAACCTGATCTCTAACTCAGATTTGGATTTGGATTCCGGCGTTAAGGACGCAGATGATGATGATTATCAAGAGTACGATGATCAAGATGATTACGACGAAGCCGCGCCGGTCAAGGGACGGCCGATAGAAATAGTAATCCCACGGCCCTCCCGTCCATCCGACTATCAACGTATACCTCCTAGCGAGGTAGTAGAAAGACTCCTAGGTCTATTTCAGGTTGCCAAGGATCTCTACTACAACATAGAATACCAAGATGGTCACATTGGTCTAGTGAGTTGTTTTTCTTTATATTGCTTTTTACATCTATATCGCTTCATCTTTTATAGGCCATCCATGGCGACTATGCCTTTCGTCGACGCGGTATATGTCTTATTCACAACATCCCCTAATCCCCGAATAACTTTGTGACTTATTTCACTTATCTCTTGCCTTCCCTAGCCGCTTAGTCGCGGTTTCTCCTGCCTTCTAAGCCGAGTGCCGACGAGGTGGATATCTTCGTCGACCATACCTTCACATATAGGTGAGATCGAGGATTAGGCAGTTACTTACCTTCTACTCGCCCCGTTCACCGGTATAGAGCAAGGCGGGTTCTACCTGTGAATATCGCTAGGCTGCTCTTAACATGGCGCAGTATAACCCGCCATGTTCACTTTCCTTTCACTCAACCTTCTAGACATCCTACTTTTACACACTGATCCGCGAAACGATCTATTTTTACTTGAGATAACCCTAATCGAACACATTGCATACATCTCACACCTACGCCCCTCCCCTGAACTCAATTGCCTACATTCATATTCATTGAGAGGTGCTCCCTTTTGATTGCTTCGAAAGTATTCGAAGGGCATCTTGCCCCTCCTTAGGGCAGCTTGGACAAGATGGTAGGTTCCCTACAACCAAGCGTGAAAAACTCGCACTTCACGCCTCCGTCGCCATTACGAAGTCGTACTTTCAATTCCCTACTTGTCCATTTAATGTTGGGAATCTCCAATCTTATATACGCTTTCATTTTGAAGATATAGATTTATATTTGCTTCTACTGTTTTGTTTTTGCAATGCCCTATTGTTTTCAACGCCCCAATTGAAGAAGCATTTAATTTACCTACCATGCTAACCATTTTAATAGTTAGCATATGATGATTTGATCCAATTGGAAAATGGATCATATGCTCTACGCCAATATCAACGCGAGCACCAAGATCCAAGAATTAGCCTAAACCAGCTCTCTTTTAGCAAGCACCCTGCAAAGCGTGCTCTCCCGGAAGACGATTACGATGAATCAGACTCGGATCACCCTAAACGTCAGCAGAAGCGACCCAGGTCGTCAACTCCTGTTCAACCCGCTCGCAGAAGTGCTCGACAAGCTTCTTTACAAGCATACTGGGGAGAATCATCCGATAATAGTCGAAGAAAGAAACTCTTCAGTGGCTACTATGGACTTTCCGATGATGAAGATGAAGATGAAGATGAAGAACCTACGCCTCTCAAAAAGGCCTTCACGCGCCAATCCAAATTGCGTTTTTCTAGTGCGAGAGTCACCCGATCCATGAATCCAACTCGTCAACAGGTTCATAACAACTCCGAAGATGAATTGGCACAATCCTCGGATTCCGACCAAGATGGGGACTATACTGAAGCTATTCCCTTCATTCGTTCCGATATTGGCGGCGCGCAGTCACGCAATAAAAAGCATCGAGGACGCCCCTCGCTTGCTAGATATGTAGGCGACGACTCTGAGATCGAGTTTGAGCCGGTTCGCAAATCACAGAGAGCGAACAGGGTTACGAAGAGCATGCGAGTTCCTAACGTTAATGACGAGTACGAACAAATACATGCTGCGCCGGCTGCACAAAAGATTGCTGCAGTGAAAGAGAAGTTTGAGGCTTATTCCGAGGAATCCGAATTTCCAACCGTTCATTCAGAGACGTGCGAATCCTGTAACGATAGAGGAGATCACACCCAGGGCACTTTTATACCATGCCAAGGCTGCTCTCTCTCCTTCCACAAGCATTGTATTGGCGCACGCTCTATGCGTGACCACCGAGCCACAAAGGTTGCCCAAGATAAGTTCGTACTCCAGTGTAAGTTCTGTATCGGATTGTATCAGTCAAAAGACTATCGCGCTCCCGATTATTCATTGTGCCAAGTTTGCAAGCACCCGGGTGTCTCGTGTGAGGCATTCTCACTGAAGAAAACCACAAAGGAAGAAGAAGCCGTTAGGGTCCAGAATGGAGGGGAAGATCCAATCGCACAGATTGAACCCAGTCTCATTGACAATGAGAACAATGTGCTCTTCCGCTGCACAGGGTGTAAGCGTACCTACCACTGGGAGCATCTGCCTCCGCTTAATTCAGACACCTTGGCTGGAGCAAGCATTCGCGACGAGCGTCTTGAAGAGTATTCTAGGGCTGGATGGCGATGCAAAGATTGCCAGGAGACACAGTTAAAGATACATGCATTAGTTGCATGGCGCCCTGCTGATCAGAGCACCTATACTAAGAGTCAACTAATCAATGATCTCAATGCTGATCAAATTGAATACTTGGTCAAATGGGATGGCCAGTCACATTATCACGACACTTGGATGCCCGGAGCTTGGGTATTCGGTGTAGCTACGGCACCTATGCGCAATGCATTCTTGAAACGCGAGAACACCGAATTTCCAAAGATGACGACCGAGTCTGCTATCGAGGAGGAATGGCTATTGGCTGACGTTATCCTTGCTGTGAAATACCAACGTGGTTCAAGTGCTTCCTCCAAAGCGCAAGACCTAGCCCGCATCTCGGATGTGGTGGCAGTATATGTCAAATTTCAAGGTCTGGGTTACGACGAAGTAGTTTGGGACGAGCCGCCGCCTCAAGATTCCGGCGCACGTTGGGATGCTTTTGTAGCCGCGTACGAGGAACATCTTAATGGAAGGTATTTCCGATCTGTTTCGGACCAACAAATACGGGAACGGATCAACAAGTACCGTTTGCTTGACTTCCAGAAAGATTGCGAACTAAAATCACAACCGCCCAGTTTGAGGGAAGGACGTTCCCTTATGGAATATCAAATGGAGGGCGTAAACTGGCTGCTTTACAATTTTCACCAGCAGCAGAACGTGATTCTTGCTGACGAGATGGGCCTCGGCAAAACGATCCAGATTGTTTCATTCATCAGCGCTCTTGTACAAGACCGACCCAAGGTTTGGCCATTCCTTATTGTCGTTCCGAATTCGACGTGTCCCAACTGGCGTCGCGAACTGAAAAGCTGGGTTCCTGGTATTCGAGTAGTAGCATACCATGGTGGTAAGGTCTCTCAGGATCTTGCATTCACACATGAACTCTTCCCCAATGGCGTTAGGGACGGGATGAAAGCACACGTCGTAATCATGTCTTACGAAGCAGCCGTTACATTGAAAAGCACTTTCAACAGTGTCAAGTGGGCTGGTTTGGTAGTCGATGAGGGCCAACGGCTCAAAAATGAGGACACTATCCTATACAAAACCTTGACTGGAATGAATATTCCTTGCAGAGTTCTTCTAACAGGTGAGTAGTGATAAAGGATTCTTATGCTGGCTTAACCTGCTAACATTCATTAGGCACACCGTTGCAGAACAACAAGAGAGAGCTTTTTAATCTTCTCCAGTTTATTGACCCTCGAAACGACGCTGAAGAGCTTGATGCGAAGTATGCTATTTTAACCAAGGAGAATATTCCAGAGATACATAGTCTCATTCGCCCCTACTTCTTGCGACGCACTAAACTTCAGGTCTTGAAGTTCTTGCCACCAATGGCTCAAGTCATTGTACCCGTTACTATGACATTATTGCAGGAGAAACTATGCAGGTCTATCATGGCCAAAAACCCCGAGCTTGTAAAAGCTATCGTCTCAAAAAGAAAGCTAACCAAGGGCGACCGAAAGACACTTGGTAATATTATGATGGACCTCCGGCAATGTCTTTGCCATCCGTTCTGCTTCAACAGCGAGGTTGAAGACAAATTCGTGAGCGATCAAGAGTTGCAGCGGAACCTTATTGAGGCATCACCAAAACTCAAGCTCCTTGAAATCATGCTCCCGAAGCTGAAAGAGAACGGCCATCGAGTGCTTATCTTCAGCCAATTCCTAGGTTGTTTGGATATTCTCGAGGACTTCCTAACATCGCTGGGTCTCAAGTACGGGCGTATCGACGGAAAAATTTCCGCCCTTAAGAAACAAAAGCAAATTGACGCTTTCAACGCGCCAGACTCTTCACTATTTGCTATGCTTCTATCGACACGTTCTGGCGGTGTCGGAATCAATCTTGCAACAGCAGATACCGTCATAATTTATGATCCAGATTGGAATCCTCATCAGGATATTCAGGCTATTTCGCGAGCACATCGCATCGGTCAAAAGGAAAAAGTTTTATGTTTCCAGCTCACCACCAAAAACACAGTTGAAGAGGAAATCATGCAAACAGGCAGGCGCAAGATGGCCTTGGACCACGCATTGATTGAGAGTCTAGATAGCGAAAACCAGGACGATCGTGATATCGAGTCGATCTTGACAAGAGGTGCAGAATCGCTCTTTAGCGATAAAGATAAAGTCAAGATCACATACACCCCAGCCTCAGTTGACAAATTACTTGACAGAAGCCAAGCTGAAAGCACAAATGCTAACGACCAGACAGCCGAAACGCAATTCTCAGTTGCACGCGTTTGGGCTAACGACACAGGCACATTGAACGATAACACCATCAGTGCCGACGATAACAACGCCCCGGCAGCTGACTCCAGTGTCTGGGAAAATATCCTCAGGCTTCGTGAGGAGGAGCATCAGAAAGAGGTTGCTACTCAAAAAGCGGAGTATGGTCGTGGTGCCAGGCGACGGGCTACTCAAGTAAGTTGTTACACCCCAGACTTTTATCTACACAACCACTAACAGAGAGCAGCCAATCAATTATAACAGTGCCCTAGTAGGTGTCTTTGCCGGCATTGACTCTGATTCTGACGAAGATGAAGATGAAGACACAGATGAGTTAACAGACGAGCAGCGCCCCAAAGCGGACAGCGACGGCGATTCCGATGTTGATACGGAAGACGAACTATACATCGATAATGGTGTCGACGACGATCTCGACGATAACGATGTTGACGCCGACGATTACAATGTCGATGGACGTAGCGTTCAGGCTCTTGGTGGGATTAAGCAGGAAATCCCGGCGGCAAAGATTAAGGCTCCCAAAGGTAGATCTGCAAGCGCACCACCAGAGTTGACAGCCCCAATGATTAACAAAACCAGCTTCTCCAGGGCTGACGACGGACGCCCCCGAACCCCCCCGCGCAGCTCTTCCGCAAACAACTCTTCAGAGCATGACTCCAACGTCATGGAAATTGACGAACAGGAGTTTACAAGTCGGCGAGAGAGCGATACAGACTCGAGAGTTACTGCCCCCGATTCCGCGCCCAAGCCTCCCACAGATGAATCCAAACCCTCATCCCTCCATCGTGAAGTCTAACCACATAGTTCCGATATCTCATCATGGACAGCCTCCAATTGCGGGCGTTCTTCCTTCGACTACGAATATTGCTCCCCCGAATTTGCCACCTTCAAACATACTGAAATCAAGTCATACTACTGTTCCGCGACCGCGTGGTCGGCCGCGCAAATACCCCTCTAACAATCCCCCCAAACCCCCTTCTACTGAACAACCTACTAAACCTTCTCCTAATGTTTCCCACGATACGTCTCGCAACCCTTCTGACAATATACTCGCTTCTTTTACTGGCGAAGGAGGCAGCTGTTTAATATGCAAGACCAGACACCCCCCGAATACTACATGCGTTGATTTTAGTTCCGAGGTCTCGATTCGACTCGCTATCGATTCCCTCAGGACTGGTGGAGATCATCCTAAAGTCCTGGCCTTCAAGAATCTTCTAATCAACTATCTACGAGCCATGGCAGGATGACGAGAAAATGGTGACGAAAACCCACGTTCATGAATCAATCAATCAATCCCACGACAAAGTTATGGACGAAGAAAGATGCATGCTTCGCCCATCTTGAGTCCAATTTCCAATCACTTGTCTCTCTGTAAGAAGACATTTTCCTGTAGGACATAGTTTGTTGCTTGCTCATAGACTTAAGTGCTTAAGTAGTCTCTACATTTATGTAGCTACTTTGGTTCTTACCCACGCCATAGGCATCAAGCATCTAGACGGGTACACGAATGAACAATAAAAGCACATTTTGGCAAATTTGGAATTCTTAACTAAGTTTAATTGCGACCAAGACATCTTTTGTGTTATTATTTAAGTGTTTTCTAACTGTTAACTAGGTACAAGGCCGTTTGTCACGTGGGAAACACAAGACAGAGCTGCAGGTAACCGTAGGATGCATCTAACCCTATTTGACGCCTCTCAGCAAACGGCGCCGATAGCACACTTATGGACGTGGATATGTGCGTATGCTCTGTGTCTAGGTATACCAGCTTGCTAGATGGAAATGGTTTCAGCCCTCTTTTAAAGAGTCCCTCTGTCATCTCATTGGAACTACTTTCCTACCTCTTTTTCCCGCCTATTCAGCATCATCTCGACTTTAAAGCTGCCAAGGGTCTTGTTCTACGTGAAATTTCCCAACGTCGACGGTTCGAGCTTCCACACGTTGGTATAAATTAGAGCTCGTGCCCATAGGTTGCCCGTTTGCTTCGTCTCTGCTTTCTTTGGTTTCTTTGATTACTTTCCATTACTCAGGTTCAGACTGTGGTTGCCACATTCATTAAATTCCCAGTTCCTCCTTTTCGTCGATATGGATCCCTCTTTCCTCCCCACACCTCCCGCCTCCGGTCCAAACGTCAACTCCCCCTCCGACCTGTCTTACTCTTCCGGGGGTTCTCGCTCTTCTACTCGAAACAGTTCCCCAGGTTCTATTATTGCAACTTCCTCCTCACCACTACCTCACCCTGCCCCTCTACTTCCTTCTACCTCTCAACAACAAGCAACCGCCCTTCTAGATTTCGACTTAAAAGCGGATATAGAACACAGCCTTCACTCCCTTGCCGAATCCCAATCAGAAATGGACCGAAACCCATTCCAGTCCATTAGCGAACGCCGAACCAAGCTCGCTACAGATCGAAACAGCGTAAACCAGAGCCAGCAATCACAACAACCCCAAGCTATTCAGCCCCAAAGTTTGCGACACAACATGCCTCCCCAACTAGGCCTTTCTACTCGAAACCTCGCTTCCTCTAACTGGCGATCGTCGCAAGCTGAAGACGAGGCAACCGCGCTCATGGCTCGCACCACCGGAAACGGCAGCGGCAACAGCGGCGGTGGTGGTGGTTGTGTGAGCAACGACTACCCACCGTTCGACCCGTCAATCGGTATTCAACACCTGCGACCGCTATCGTTTGGAAGTCCCCATATAGAGCAGTTCTCGCTACCTTCATTTTCTACATCGCAACAGACACAACAGCTACATTCTAACATGCCTTCTACATCCTCCCCCGAGATGCAGATCAACTCTAGCTACGCGTACTGTTTCGATCGCGGTAACGGTCAGTACACGCGATTGATCCCGGCGGATATGTTGCCGCCTCTGGAGGACATCCCTGCACTCCAGCAGGGCTGCACCGGCATGATTGTCCTACCGATGCCACGCGGACTGTCTCCTAGTGGAAGGTCAAGTAACACTGAGACGGTTGTGCTTAGAGTAAGTTACATTTCATTATTTTTTATTATGATTTACTACATTGATTGATATGGATATGCGCATAAAAATATACAAGAGAAGGAGGAATGAATGAGAAGCTGACCCAAAAATCAGAGCTCACCAACCACCCCGTCGTCGCCTTCGGACAACATTCAGGTGAGTAACAACCGTTTGCCCGAAGCACGATATCGTATACAAGAACTGGTATGGCGTCTATTATTTCCCTCGACTTATTGAAACCCCCCATGCAATTTTTCCTTTGTCTTACTATGAATCGCACGTCTTCATTAAACGTAATATCGGATCCTTGCAAATACAAACGCGATTCAATGCCCAAAACATGCTAATCTACCACGAATTGCTTTTTCTTATTTAGCTTGTTCCACACACCAAAAGTCAGCTATGTTGTGAACACAGTGCTAACATAGTCTTTATTATAGTCGCGAATCGATAACATCGTCGCTTCGACGCCTTCGACTCCTACACATCACCATCACACATCGTCCTCTCTTTCAGGCTCCTTCAGCGGTCTGAACCTCGGAGCGCCGACTTCTCTCGCTGCTACCACCGCGCTTGTCCCGGTTTCTATGGCTGCTACCACCGCGACAGTCGCAGTTCCCTCCATCGGCGGACCTTCCCACCAACATTATCACTCACACTCGCATCCTCATGGAAACACCCACAATCACCAGGGACAGAATCAGCCCCAGCGACGCCCTAAGATCTACTGCGACAAGTGGGTTCACGAGGGCGTTTGCGCTTTTACTCAGCAGGGATGCAAGTACAAGCACGAGATGCCGTTTGACAAGGTCACTCAGCACCAGTTGGGTCTGTTCCACGGCTTCCCCGCTTGGTGGAAGAAGCATCAGGCCGACCTGTCGCGACAGCGAGATGCTGCTTTACCTATGGCTGGTGAGGAGCCGGCTCGTTTGAGCAGTGATAACGGACCTTTCATGGGACGAGGTGGTAACGGAGGTGATAGTGGCAGTGGAATTGGAGGTGGAGGACTCCCGAGTTGGCGACGAAGTGGAGGTGCTAGTGCTGCTAGTACTAGTGATCCCGCTGAACAGAAGTCGCTTGGAACTGGACGAGGCCTGGGGCGCGGCGTTGGAGGTGGAGTGCGAAACCCGATAGGTAAGTTTCAATTTGTTCCATTCCCCAGCGATTATTCGGCGATCTAACATTATTCTTCTTAGTATCTTACGGCTCTCCCTTCGGACCTATTGCGCCGCCTACTCGTACTTCTACGACTACACCAGCTACAACCTATAACCCGGAAGCTCCTATGGGTTACCAGGCTCAGGCGCAGCAGATGCCCAAGGCAGGTAGTAATGCTATTCCGACTACAAACCCGTTCTCTTCCCTAGAGGCTCTCGGCGAGAACAGCAGTGGCAGTGGTAGCGGTAAGGACGAACCTTCATGCCCGGTACCGAGCTCTAGCGGAGCACGTCTTACTTAAGGCACGAAATGCGCAAACAATCCAAACGACTTGGAATTAAAATAGATAACGACTACTGATCTCTCATTGCTTGGAATTATTTCCTCATCTGAAGAGAGACGAAAAAAAGGATAGGATTTTCCCTACCCTTTGTGCCTACCTACTATTGGATGGCCCGGCGAAACCGCCCACGATACTTATGTTCTCTTTGGGTTCCCCATAGACTTTTCGTTCATTCCCCAATACGTCGCATGCATATGCATGTCTATACATACATACGGCATCTATTTCCCACTTCACGATATGACGGGGTACTTCCCACTGTTTGTACCGATCTGCTCATACACAGGCATTTGCGTTGCGTTGCATTCTTCTTTCGTTTTACGGTCTCTCGTTCTGGGAAAGAGAGGCTTTCCTATGACTTTTACGCGTACGATGACGGAAACGATGATATGACGGGAATGGATCTCACGGGTGGTAGCACTATCGCTTCGCCACCGTATTTCCCACGCAACTGAAGATGACCCACGATATTTCATTCTGACTTCATCATCGGCGTTCCGTTCTACTTTGCTCAAGGAGCACAAAAAAAGTTACGTCACGTTTTTCATTCGAGATTGAGGAACCAAAATTCCACAAAAGGCACAGATGAAAAAAAAAGGCGAGGAAAAATAATTGCCATTGTATAATAGATTAGCCTCCAAAGGGCACGAAGGCAAGATTGGACTGGACTGGCAAAAAGACTGATACATCGGACACCAGCAATGGATTCTAAATACTACCTACCTACGTGGCACATTTTTCCTCATGTATACTTGTAGCTCGCAGGTAGATAGATTGCACAAATATGCATATTTCGTTGTTTTTTAATTTGGACTTTTTTTATTAATGGATGCTCAGTGATATTTGTGTTTTTGTGATTTAGAACGGTAACGGAAGTTCCATGATATCGTCTCTCATTCTCGACTCGAGACGAATTTTGTAATCGACTAGAGAAGCGATATTTCGCATCATTCTTGTTAAGCATTACGATACAATTTTTGAGATTAACAAGCGGTAAATTTGTGGTAAGAAGCGAGGGTTTATAATGTGCTGTGGGCTATATTTCAATATAAAGTGGGTCTTGCACCGTTCAGGACCTACACGCTGGCCCGACTAGCTCATCGGTAGAGCGCCTCACTAGTATACCCACATCAGGTAATATTGAAATGAGGAGGCAACAGGTTCGATTCCTGTGTTGGGCATTTATTTCCTTTTGACTTTTTGTTCTGTTATTTTTTTGGTTAGAGGCGGGGGCGTCATTTATTTGCTTTATATTGTGAAAACCCTTCTTCATTCGCCAAGCTTACTAGCGACCATTTGTTCTGCAGTATTCAGTGCTTCTCCAGGTACCTAAAATACTCAGGTGGTTGGAATTATTCACTTTTTTCGAGGTCCAATGCCTTCTTCTTGAGTCCACAAATGGGCAATCGATAGGAAGAACTTGACTCTCTGCCTCTGTGAGCGAGCCCATATGAATTCATAGCAGTAGATACACATGAGTCTTGTACAAGTTGGTCCGGGCGCGGATAGAAATGGAGGGAGATGGAAACGTGACAAACTATCAGAATCGAATATACCCAACCACGTAATACTACAACGCACACCATATAATCGCCGCCGTGACTCAAATATCCATTACGAATCACAGATCATGGCATCTGCAATATAAGATTCTTCGACCAGACTAGACTAACGACTTAGACTAGCAACACTCACAACCTATCGCCAGAAATGCACAGCCCGCAAACTAGGAGGAAGGGAGCACATAGATGTAACAGACATACGTCTGACGGTCATTATCAAGACCTCATCACTTCCCGCGACACCGGGTCGCGACCCTCGATCTTAGCAGGCTGTACGCCCATTTCTAGGTTTGGGAGATAGACGATGCCAGAATTGTTATTGCTGAATGATTTAGGCATCCATCTTAGTATCGTAATGTCTCGGGTCTTGCAAGACATGTCGCTCATGTGTAACGACTCGGTTACAATTTCATGTGTAGCTTTAGGAGAGGTACGTACCTAAACTATACAGGGATTGGCCTAGCAGATACCCCTGCCTTTTACCTATTTGGGGTCGGGTCAGGACTGTGGTTGGTGGGATTTTCGGAGTTTCTTCATTTATAGTGAGCGCCACGTTTAAGAGCCACTTTTTTAGAAGTATATCAGATGTGTAGATAGCAACTTACACGTCTCCTTCAAAATAATTTAATATCGCGGAGAGGCAAGTAATAGCAATTGTCATCATCGAGTCCAGTGTGTAGTAGTATCCGGAGGTTTTGTCTCTAGGTAGTGGTGATTCCTATGCAGTGATAGTTACAATACATCTCATTACTTCCAGCAGTTGGTTTCTTTTCCGAGTACCAAACCCACACCAGTCTCTTCAAACATCATCCCGAGATCGAGCCAGCGGACTCGGGAAGCCATCATGGATCCCGTAACAGCAATCAATCTCGTGTGCAATGTGCTTGATCTTATTTGTCGAGCAGGGAAGATAGTTAAGGAAACGTACGACTCAACTACGGGACTACCGAAAGAACAGGAGAGGTTACTCAATTTTAATGAGGAAATTGCTTCAATTCTTAACGACATTCAGAATTCATGCATGCGTCTTGAGGAAGTGGGGGAGGCCTCAGACAGTATGGATATCAATATCCAGACAGTGGTCAATAGATGCCGTGCCCTCTCGTCCAAAATCACTTCCTTGCTAGGTCGAGGAAAATCGGAAAAGCCACATTCGATAAAGAGCGTTTTGAAGGCTACGGGTAGGCACTTCCTCGACAGAAAAAAGGTTCGGAGCCTTCAGACCGAATTGGAAAAGAGCGAGAAATCACTTCATCTAGCTATTTCCGCATCTGTAAAGTATGTTTAGAAGAATAGGATATCTAGTGAAGTGAACTAGACTAATGCATGACACAGGACGCAGGTTAACCACGTAATAAAGTCAATTGCATTCACCAAGACCGAGACGTTCGGCCTTCGTCAGGAACTCGAAGAACTCTCGTCCAATATTACAAGCTCATCAGACAATGTATCTGATCAATACCAAAAAATCCTCGACCTATTCAAGCGCGCAAAAGAGAAGCAGAGGCTCGACGATATCCTAATGATGCTCGGTACTTATTGCAATGGGAGACAGCTAAACCCAAGATATGACGAATTATCAGGGGCCTGTGAGAACACCTACGAGTGGATCTTTCGAGAACCAGAAAAGCTTTTCGCAGTTGAACCAAGCCTCGAAATATCATTTACCAATTGGCTACGCAGGGGTGATGGTATTTTCCACATTCTTGGGAAACCTGGTGCCGGCAAATCGACACTCATGAAATTCATCTGGAAACACGAACTCAGGAGTGAATTGCTGAGTGAGTGGGCTGGCAACTCACGTCTCCTTTCAATGAGATACTTCTTCTGGTCCCAGTCCAACCAAGATGGGATCCCAGAGCTCGAATGCACTCTACTGATGTCTGCTCTTGAGCAGGCCCCCGAGCTTATAGACTTATTGGTCCCAAAAATCGGCAATCATGGTGGGGGCCTTCGCGCAGATGCAGGCTATGACGAGATATCCCAAGCTACTGCTTTATTAATGAGCAACTCCCGTGAACTAGGGGAATATAAGATATTCCTTCTTATCGATGGTCTCGACGAGTTCGAGGAAGGAAAAGGAGCTAAGGATTACCATGACTTGGTGCGCCTTATTCGAACATGGGCTTCTCAATCGGAGGGGAAGGTCAAGATATGCGTATCCAGCAGAGAATACGCAGCCCTAACCAATATTACAAAACAGAAAATCAGACTTCAGAAGTTAACCAGGCGCGATATGCAGACTTTTGTCACAGAGCGCCTGGAGACACACCACAGGTTTCCAGAACTCAAAGCTCACATAAAAGACATCGAGGGTGAATGCCAGTTCGCTTATTGTCACCCCCATGAATGCCAAATTTACTGTCTAGTAGATCGTATCGTCGATCTAGCGGATGGTGTCTTCTTTTGGGTTCAGTTAGTGATGATCGAGGTACGAAAACGCCTACAAGCTACTTATAGTCCTTCTCAAATCTGGATACACGTCGAGGCCCAACCGAAACCACTGGTCGAATTTATAAAGCGCATGCTTAATACCATCCCCCCTTTATACCAACGAGAATCGTATACTCTATTGGCGATTATTCATAAATACAGTCAGATAATTTTTGTAACGAATCCTCCTCAACCAATATCACACCTTTTGGCCTTAAGCCTATTATATTTCTGGGATAAAGTAGATCAAGACAGTGTGAGACCACATTGTCAACTTACAAACGCTAGCAACGCCGAGGTACGAAAGAATCGACGTGTCCTCACAGAAGAAGAGATTAACGCTCGGTTCAATGGTCTACTTGAGACATCTACAAATAAGGAGACTCCAACGTTTCAGTACCTCATTTTCGCTCATCGTTCAATTATTGAAGTCCTAAATGAGGAGATCGACACCAAGTTGCTAGAACATGGTGTAACGCAAGCCGAACTGAGCGAATGGGTTTGCCAGCTGGCAATGAATGAGATTACTCTCTTCTCCGAATCCAAGGGGAAGTATGATAAGTATGCGTTATACGGAAAGCTATATGGGCTTCTCCATTTTATCAGATATGAACAACCATTTGGGGGGCCTTCGGTTATTCAACAATTCGATCAAGTCGAGGACAAGAGTTTGATGCTCCAATTCGGGACCCTCTATCCTTCCGAAGAAAGTTGGTCGTCGCGCGGTTATTATACTACTTCCATTTCGTTACCAATGCTAATTATTCTGTTCTTGTGGGTCCAGATGCTGCCCTGGATGCTAACAAGGATAAAGTATGTGCCAAGGTGTGGGCGTAGGGCATCAATTTTTCTATGGGCCTGTATGAACAATGGCAATATGTCGTTTGCGAAATCCGAGGTGGTTGTATTCGTATCAGCGCTTCTTAAGGATGGGTTCATCGGAAAGGATGTGTTTGGAAAAGAGCCTGGAATATCGACATATAAACCCGTGTGCCACACTACCGAACCATGGTTTGACTATGTAGCAACTATTCTTAGTGGAGAAGGGTCAGTTCTCGGGGATAAATGGACTGTGTTTGAGCTATGGCTGGATCATCGAGCTAACCCCCAAATTGGCATATTCGAGCAAGAGATATCGCCGCCCTCCGATACCCCTAGTTGGCCCCAATATGGATACAGCAATTACAAGGACGTCACTGTAGCTACGAAGGTTGGTGGCGAATGGACCTTGCCACCCTTCCGCGATTGGGGAAGGCCTAGTGACAGCTACATCTGGGTTAATAGGGTCAACCAAATTCACCAAATCAACAGACCCCTGCGGAAGCCCGACTTCACTCTAAGAGACTACGTCGTCGATTCCAAAGCCCCTAACAAAAAACGACTACTAGAACTCATTGATCGAAACATCGCCCTAATCGAAGCCGCCGAGGCAGAGCACATTGCAGAATTATTTGAAGAACTCCCATTATTAGACGTCCTTGAAGTACCCGACTCCACACCATGGAGCCACCCAGCAAATTTACGCAATGGATCCTCGGAGCAGGCACGCCAGATATTCAGAAAGAATATTCCCATGATATTGTTATATAAAATAACACAAACTTACGGGACACAACAATATTCATGGTGGCCGTGGTCCTCATAGTATCTTCTATCGCCATAACAAGGGGAATCAACCCCAAGTCAACCCATCGAGAAAGCGAGGTCATGGATTATGATGCGATGATCTCTAAGGACCAGAGAGAAGGATGACTTTCAGGGTCACTCGAGGACATGGCTTTAGACTTTGGGCCTTTTTTTTATGTTTTAAAAAGTTGGCGATGGCTGATGAAAGTGTCAGTAGTTGAACCATACGAAGGGATACATCCTGGGAAGTATTGGAGGAACTCCTTATCGCCGATGTGGAGGCAAAGGAGCCCTTAGAATAAAAAAGCCATTCTTGTATGTATACGATAGTTTCTATAACAGTTACTTGCGATCTCCTCACGCAACAACAGAGTTATTAACCCCCTTATATGGTTGGTCTCATGACAGAGAGTATTGTATTGGGAATGAATGAACGAATGAATGATGATAACCTCTGACCTCTGAATGAAAACGAAATAAAATTTAATACCTAAAGTCCCACACATATAAAACATCAATTTCAACATCACCTTTATAACATTAAAGGCTAAGAATCCGCATCCCAGCTGTGTAAATTCTACAAGTACCCTACACCAAGCCACTATCCCCAGGTCTTGGTGACCGCAAGATTAATTATATATGACCTATCCTTTTTCCACTCCAAAGAAACAACACCCTACCCTATAAAGCTAGAATATTATACAATTATTAATAAATTTAAAAATAAGATAAGACTAGAAAAAATCATTAATAAGTTGGTTGCCTAACGTTAACAATTACTATATCAGATCTCACATTAACACCTGTGTTACCCCAAAGTCCTACCTCAGACAATTGCACAATCACAACTACAACCACTTTAAACATGCACATTCCTAATCTTCAATCTTCAACAATGTAAATTGGTCAACTAGCAGAGAGCCTCAACGCTAGGTATACAACGAGTTGAGATATCCATCAATCATACCCATCATCTCACCTCATTTACCTACCCAATCTATCAACCCATAAGTCATACCAGCAAACCTTTTAACTTACTCCTCATTCCCGACCGGTGTTCCCCGATGTGCATTCACACCCTTTGTTCCCCAGATGCTCGTATGTGAGAGGGGATTGTATCCAACCCATGGACACTTTAAAAGACAAAGAAACGGACGGGAAGAAGAATTTTGCCATTTCCATTGGATACCCGATACCTCATACATACCTAACCCACCATCCCAACATCTCCATATCACATAGTTAAGAAATCGCTGAAGGCACGAAGGCCAGATAACAGACATCCACACCCCATATAAACACCACATCCATCGGATAACAATAATAAATGGCAGCCCACATCATATAGATAACACCCAAAACGCCAGTACCTCGCTCCATATCATCATCGCCCCGCCAGGCTCCGATCGCATCCCGCGCCGCGATTAACCCAGAATGCAAGACTCTAAACGCATCAATCTAAAAGGAAAATTATCCGAACTTTGGTTTCATTTCCCGGCGCCTGAACCGTTGCCCGTAGGACCCTCATCGCCGTCTTCATAAACCCGTATTGCTTCTTCGGCATCTATCCAAGCGCGCTGGGTGCTCGGATACTCGCTCGGGACGCTAGACCTTTGGCTCTCATTTCCGAGGTCATCTGCATCACTCATGGCGTCATCATCAACATGTATAGAAATGATATGATTTGGGTCGCGATTCTCCGCATCTTCGATCCCTAGCCATGGCTCATCTTCCGGGCGGCTGTGCAATTGCCCATCTTGCCACGACTCTTGAGAATCTTGATGAGTGAAGTCAATCATAGGACTATCGTTATCATTGTTCTCTGAATATTCATCTTGATCTTCATCCATGTATTCACCTTCCTCTTCATTAGGCTCGGTGCCGCTACCGCTCTCTCCAACGTCGTCGCCCTCATCGATATTAGGTATGCTACGGCTATTTCGAGCTTCTACATACGGAGCGTTGCTATAAGGTGTCGCATAGAATGGTGTTAAAGGACGGCCGACATAAATTTCGGGCACTGGAGTTGGGGATGCGGTACTCCAGCGCGGCGTGATTCGTTGTCGGACTGATGGGGAACGTGTGCTACGGCGCTTCGCTAAGCCTGCGATATGCCCTATTGTAGGGACTACACGAATAACTTGCGGCGAAGGACGGCGTTCATATTGATGAACATATGATGTTTGTCGCCGTTTCGCTTTGGCGGGCGATGGAACGGATACCGCAGTTGGAGGCATGGATGCAGTGCGGAGATGAGGTGGCCTCGATGGTTTGCGTTCCCTTAATATCGCTGGGGACTTAGCGCGAGAAACGGAACGATGAGTGCCGAGAGAAGGTGATATAGCGGTAGCGCTAATGAGAAGGTTCTGGGCCGGCGACATAGACGTCGCCCGCCAATTACGTTGCGCAGCCTGTCGAAGACTAAGAGATTGCGAGGTATTGGTGCTGGCGGCATGTTCATCAAGCTTGTCATTCCATCCCCAGCAATCTTCCATAGCATCTGCCTCAGGAACTTCTTGGCTGCTCTGGGAGTCTGCGTAAACTCGGCTCAATTCGCGCAAGCGCTGCCAATTCCACCCATTGTCATATGCATCTTGGTCTTGGAGGTATGCCTCAGGGTGGGTGATGAAGAGACGCTGAACGCCAGTTGCCTTCATGACTACACTTGAGCGTAGGAATGAGACATCCCACGTTACTGGTGTAACCATCTCGGACGGCGATAGGAAACGCAGTCTCGAATCTCTATGAACTTTGCGTAGTGGTACCCATGGCGACTGGAGACCGAGGAACTTGGCGACGCGATGGTGTTGAGTGGAGCCGTGATGAACATTTGCTTGCATCCGAGAGAAGGTACGGAACAGAGTCCCGAAAGCCTCGGATATGGCTTGATGGACGCTTCGAGCATCGGGGCTGCGAATGGTCACGTTCTTAACGAGGCCTCGACTCCTAAGTCGTTGTTCGATAACGCGATCGGGTGCGAATGCTCGTGGGAGGAGCCAGTCTGACTCAAGCTCAGGCCCGGCCCAGTCGCTAAAAGCGGGCGATTGGGGCTCGAAGGTGGAATAGCTGCTAGGCATTTGTGTCCACTGATCGGGCTCTACACTGCTGGCGCCCGACATACGTTGACTTGCGAAACTGTGCGACTCCACCCACACGCTCTTTAAGGGAAAGGGTAAAAATATAACCTCGACTTCCCACGGGCGAGAATAAGATGTGAATGACGAGAGGCCTTGTAGTTGACTGAGCTGGGACCGTAGAGCTTGAAGTTGGCTGTAGAGCTCTGCGCAACTCGCTACACCCTCGCTCCCTTCGGTTGATACGGACATCACGCTACTCGTGGATACATCAACACCCATGTGTCGGCCGTGACGATGATTCGAAGTTTGACTGCTATTATCGTTAATCATCTTCTCGACTTCTTCCACACGCGACTCGAGTTCGGTGATTCTGAGGTCGCTTTGGTCATGTTTCTCATCACATCCATCGTGGCTGGCGGCCGAGATTGATGGGTTTTCAAGTTTATCTAATCGCTGCTCATGACTTTGAATAGTATCGGACAACTGTCTAAACCTGTCTTGAGAAGGACCCGGGGGAGATAAGCTGTGCCTCGCGGTCATATCTTCATGCCTACAAGACCTTGGTGTATTGGCGATTGTCTGCTCCTCATCTACGATATAATCCATGCTCGCTGCAGCGGTATCCTCTGGCTGGATGTCATCCTGTTCCAAGGGAGGTTGGCATAATTTGGACTTGGCACCACTTAGTGTCTCGAGTCCTTTACCAGCGAAAGGTCGAAGGTATCCTATTTTAGTAGACGACGTTGTGGAACTCGGTTGGGAAGACATCAGGCACTGGCTTGGGATTGGTGGGAGCAAATTGGCTCCCTCCGGACCGGACTGGATGAAGTCGTTCCAACTCAGGGTATCAGGAATAGAAGGTTCTGGTGCGGGCGCCGCAACCTCATTCTGTGGCGCATTGTCCCGGTCCTCTAAGTGAGTTGAGAAAGAATCGGCCTCATTAAACGTATAAAAATCCATATTTGGTTCCGTTGGCGCTGGTAACTTGAAGGGCAGATCCGGCATCACTGGTGTGAGAGGTTCCCTATTGGCCCTTGGCCGCTCGTTTTCCTGACCATTATTGACAGCATCGATATTAGCCGTGACGGCAATAGGAAGCTGCTGGTCATTGCGAATATCATCATGAAAACAAGCATGATGGGAACACATGCACCAGGTGGCGTCGTCTGTTAGGCCGCCAGTATTTCCATTAGAGAATCCATTTGCAAATCCTGGTGATGTTCCTGCTGGGCTCCCGCCGCCTGTTCTGGCTGCGAATGCGCTGCGACTCCAGAAACGACGGCATCCGCATTTGGGTCCTTGGCCATCACGACTCATATCCACGAAATTGCATGGCCCTCCAGGAAGATTAGGCGATGCGGCGATCGCAGGCGGCGCATCGTTAAAAATATTAAAGAAAGATGGTGTCGGCAATGAAAAGTCGGGGACGGTTCCTGCCATTGGGTTGAGTTGGTGTGGTCGAGCGCTCCTCGGTCCAGGGCATCGGAGAGAAGAGAGAAAGAAGATAAAAACGACGGACGGGACTGATGTTGGGGGATGGTTCCGGTATTTATTCTCGATAACGATGGAGATCTTGGGATCCTAGGCGGCCCCTACCAGACACAGCTGGGCCGCGATCCGAAATGTCTAGTACATGGCACTGCTTTTGGTATTAGTAAAAACAAACTCTGGGATGCATATGTTGCGGTTCGGCCAAATCCAAAGGTCCTCGGGCATATACTAACCGTATTGATTTCTAGTAGGAAAAAGACGGCGGGCAGCGCAGGGAGGAGTCGAAATTTATATACAAGAGGCAACGGGTAGAGGCAGGCGGACGGTCGAAGAAGTAATGCGAACGACGAATTCGAGGATGGGAGGTCGAAGTAACCAAAGTGAGGCTTCCAGATGGGATTGGTCCAAAGCGGATGGTGGGGGGTGTGGGAGACGAGAAATGGAGGACGAGCGCAATCCGGGTTGTGATAGCTGTGGAGAAAGGGATCCAACAAGGCAATGGATTTCTATATAGAGGAGGGTATGGATAGGATGTATGTAAGACGCAGTGAGACAAGCACGACAGATTATGACTCGACAAGCTAGCTACAAGGGTGGGTTGGGTGTGGTGGTATACTTTGTTGCGCAAGCTTCGAAGGGAAATAGGAATAAAAAAAATAATGATATGGGATGAATAGGTATGGGAGTTGGAGTTTGGAGGGACAAGCCAGCAAGCTCAGCAATTGTCAGGCAACCTTCAGGTCGTGGGGAAGTTCAGTTCAGTTCTGTCTAGGGGGGAGGGACAGGGGAACAGGGGGGGTGGGAGCAGTACAGCTAGTACGACCGGTACGTAGCAGATACTGGCCATGGGTCATTCTGTGGGTTCTTTCCCACTTAGCGCGTCGACCACAAAAAGAAAAGAGCGAATGAGAAACCACCGGGCAAGGCGCGATGGTCGCGCGTCAGGTGAAGCAAAAGACTCGCTAATTGGATGGGAACTTTCTGAGATCCTTGTTAAGACAAATGCATGCGCAAGGGTAAGGGGAAGTACCTTTCTGAGTTCCTCACTCTAAACTCACCACCAAAATTGTATAGAAATCTACGAGTTTCTTCTCAGCTGGGAACTTCTCGGCAATTCATTCAAAACCGACCGCCTCACAACGATGTCAGCAAAAAAGCGAGTTCGATGCAAGCACGAAAATTAGGCACCTTTGAAATGACGCCCGCCCTGCACGCAAAATGCGTTCATCCCTGTAGGCAGACAACTCGACAACCAGGACAAGCAGATGTATCTCGGAGTCACTTTGTCTGTTAAGCCTATCTAGATCAACTAGGATGACTCAATTTGAATGCTTGATTGGCCAATTGACCTTTGCAGCATTGACTTGTTCGTAAAGAATCGGCCGATTTTTATTTTTATTTCTCTGGATATTGGTATAAATATGATGTTTGAGATGTGTAATGTAATATGCAAGTGAGCTGGCCCGATTCAACCGCCTTGTAATATGCCATGGAAATGCAACAAACCCCAGATCTAATAATATACAAACATCGCATCATTGCTCATTCGGACTAGATAGACCGACAACTATCTAATCACATTAAACCTCGCCCCAGCTTCCCATAGGTCCTGTTGTGGCGATCAATGATCCGGTACCGACTGAACCGCCGATGTCCCAATAATGTCGAGATGATGAGCAACTGCTCCTTCTGACCGATCTTCGCGTGCTTTGACTAGCGCAACTCGACGCATGCTTAAATAACACGGGACTTGATGGAACGGTTGCCTTGGATTTTCGTCTCTCTGCGGTGCGCGGCCTCGATATTAGAGGATGGTGCTGACGCACTCGTGCAGCCTTAGCAGCTATATCTTGTGTGCTTGACGAGCCAAGACCAGAATTCCCAATGACCCCGCCACTACTACTCGGCCGTGACATAAAACGCGACCGAAGATACCGGAACACGAGCCTAACATCAAGTTCTTGCTCCCACTCATCTTGAGTGAAAGCATTGCCAGAAGCCTCCAATGGCGCTTGGGAATTGCCTTGACCAGAATTTAGCGGATGTGTAACGTGGGGCACATCAATTGGTTGCGACCGCGGTTTTATCGTCGGCTGAAACTCAGGTATCGTGACGGAAGGTCCATCCGTTTTAGCACTAACTGTGGTGTCGTTCGTGCCCTCTGGTATAGGAGGCAAGCCAGCATATGGAATAGGCATTTGCTGTACTCGACTGAAAGTTGAGAAGGCTCCGGGATGCTCAGAAAGCCGGTGGATAAGTGAGCCCAGCTCTTTAGCTACCCTCTCCAGCATCTTTAATTGCCATCCTGAATCGGTAGTATTTTCCATGGTGACATCCATAGATTGCTGCGATATGGACATGGCTGATGCCTTCGGAGTTGTAGAAAGGTCTTCCTCATCCGGTAATGCCTCGCCAAATAATATCGCTAGTAATTTGTCGTCAATTCCCATTAGATCGCGAATAACTTTTCGGGTGATACGTCCCCAAACACTCTCGCGACCAGTCTCGGATTCGTTATCGTCGTGATCATGCCAAGATTGGTCTACACTATCTTTTGACATATCGTCTACTCCACTCATTGATGCTACTTCTGAGGCCTTCTCTTCTTCTTTGCTAGGAGTTGCCATGCTGGCGACAGATCGTCGTCTCCTGCGAGTTTCTTTCTGTATCTCTTCTAAAAGGTACCGGCTTTGTTCTAATCTCCAAGCTTCTATCCGACGCATTTTATCCATTTCCTGGTCATTCTCGTCTTCTAATTCGATCTGGGCTAGGTCTAAACTCTCCCGTCTTCGTACACGACGAGGATTATATTGTTCGAAGGCATAGAGTCGCTCCTGTAGATCTGCTCTGATGCCTTCCTGCTCGAACCGGAACGAGCCAAGGCCATCATGAGCGGGGACGACTGGTGTTGTATGGGGTAGAATATGTGAGGGGTCGTAGAAATTAGGATTAGAACGGAATTCGGGTAGGTGACTGTCTAAACTATCTAATTCGGCATCGTCTTCGTCTTCATCCGCCGCATCAACAAGGCTGGCAGAATGTTGTTGTTGTTGTTGTCCAGTACTAGCATCTGATGGCGCAATGGTATTAAGACTTCCAATCTCGCTTTGCCGTGATCGCCCTAGGGTGGTATTGGTTTTATTAGTCGATGTTAAATAGGAGGTCGAGGTACCGGCGTCGGTAGCGGGGGAGAAGAGAACCCAAGTCTGAGAATCTTCTACAGGTTGGGATGATGGTTGCGGAATATGTTGTGATTCTTCATCTTCCGATGCAGGTCGAAAGACCCTTTGAGTGGCCTGTCGGGTGGGCTGGTGGAAAGCCATTGTTCTTTTTCAAGAGAATTCGTAATCGATATCGACAATACGCATTCACGATATATGACGAAAAGGTACCCTACTGGGGAGATCCCAGCGGGACTTATTAAATAACACAGGACCAAGTCGCACGAGGCTGAAAGATAAGGCCGACTCGGACGATAAGGTAGACAGGGACACAAGAAAGGCACCCGCTCTTGTCCCGGGACAGGAGAAGGGATAAATATAGGTGGCGGGTGACTGCGCCGTCGATAGGTTGACTACGTGGAGATGGTTTCAGAAAAGAATAGAACGAAGAACAGGACAGAACGGGCTGACCAGGAACAGGTGAGAGGGGCCAAATTCATTGATGAGGAGAGGTTACACGTAGATAGCGACTAGGTCCTTCTCGGTCCTTGTAATCTTAGGTATGTACATCTGGTACGGGATTACATGTAAGTCAGTTAGGTTCAGGCAAGGTCGACTGGGTAGAAATTCAGTTTAGAATAGTTAGAAAAAGGGAAATCATGGGAAATCAAGGGCGGGAACGCAGGTGTGACCCGTCCGATTGGCGGTGGTAGCAACCCGTTTGTAAGGGACCACCTGCAGCAGTCGATGATCCTAAGGTCGCGTGGGACGTTTTGGTGGTTGTGCAATCGGCGGGCCAGTTTACCTCACCCATGTAATCTATACTTGGGTATACGTACCTATAGTATGTACTAGAGGTACTGTATCTTTGGTACATTTATCTGATTTATGTATCTCGACCGCCCCAACCACCGGCTTGCATACTCCGCCAATTGGACAGCCCAATCCGGTTCACCGCGTGTGTCGTATCTGTGGTATACGTTGTATATGTTGTATAAACTAGCGGTTAGTTAGGTAAATATGATACCATGAGTTGGGAGCTAGATGGATTCGTCGTATAAACCTAAGTCGCAAAGTCGTTGGGAAAAAGCAAGAAAGGATTAAGGATTCGGTAGATCGGCTTGCACTAAGATAAATTCAATTACCTCATTCTAGCTCTCCGATAAATCGGCGCTTGCTCACTCAGACACTTCCCTCCATGGATTGCTTGTTTTGAGTTCTGAGGTACTTAGGTACGTACCATTTCTCTACACACATGTATGTTACGGGTCCTTCCGGGCTGTGTTATCGTAGTGGGGTTCAGCGGGCTCTGTAGATTATCAAGCGCTTGAGACGGGAATCACACCTCTTTTTCATCATGTACTTACTAACAGTAAACAAAAATGTATAGGATAGGCCAAGATTTGATGCTATCTAATGTCCGAAAACATTGGTTGTATGAATTACACAACATTCGATAGTAATACGCAATCGTCCAACCAGTTCATTTATCACGACGTAAGCACATCTTACGAAAGGAGGTCTTTCTAAGTACCAGCCATGTCAGCTCCAAGTCATATCGAGGGACTTTCAGCTGATTAGTTAATGGCAAGACTTTGATGCTTGCCAAATGTCACAATTAATCGCATGATGGCATCACCGCTTCCATATCTTGATGTATAGGTTATCAAGGTATGTATATATAGACTTCATATTATAATCGTGATCATCCCCCTCTCTCCGTAGTCTTCCTACCTCAACGCTAAGGTAAGGAGATATATTAGGTACGACTCGAACTTATCACACCCGTTCATTGGAGATAGACGTCTCCTATTGGATATACGATCCCAGATGTCGATCATGTCCGCTGTGAATCCCAATTACGAGGCTCTACCAGTATAAATGATGTAACATTGTCTCAGCCACAAACTCCCTATTTATTAAGCTACACAAGTTGACGAAACCTCTTTGGGGCGGCAAATAGAATGAACATTGACATTAGCGTAAAGGAATGAAGCCGTGAGACCACTATTTGCTCCCATCATCCCCACTACGTTCTTGGTACAAATGTTGACTATATCATGTTACAGGACTGCAACTAGATATCATAGCCTCTTAGCAATATACAGCTTCCGGAGCTAGAAGTATAAGATCCCGCTTAGTTGCTCTTTGTCGAACATTTCAAGTAACCGAAGGAAAATCATCATGGATCTCTGCCGTGTAACGACACCTTGCCCCCGATACATCACCCTCCCAACACAAGGAAAAAAATACACTTAATAGCATAACTTCTCAAACACCGAATGTTGACATATTCCTATCCATTAAGTCGGGACACCGCTACTTCCCACTTATCGCCGATGGTACCATAGCTTCTGTGCATCTCCATGCCTGTAGATCCACGGCGCGACTGAGTCAGAGCGCGGAGAAATAAGGAACCGCCGCCACCTTTCGTCGTCACCAGCAGGTTGAGAAATAAGGGGGCGAGTTTTCTCCGATGGAAGTGCGAATCTCCTCCAGAAGGCTGACTGGATATAATATGTGATTTATGTAAAAACGCGATCGGGTGTTCTATTATTAGATACCTATGTAATAAGATACCGCCATTAAAATGTTAGATATCGGTGGGTATTATCGTATCAATATCAAGCTTCTATTTCGTGATGAGAAGATACGAAGTCCCATGTGTTTTTAGCATAGAAAATGACATCCTAAGATCCCTATTATATGCTCTCGGGGATACTGGATTTCATTATCATTTGCATATCTTGTGACCTATTATATAGTCTTGAAACCTGTTCTGCCGCACTACATCTCTGTATATGCGCTCCAGGTTAGCTTAAGTACGGTAAATTAGATTTACAGATTGAACATATGGTCTACGTCACATTATAAGCAAAGAATAAGGTGCAAATGCAAGATCCGAATTGACTGTCATGTAGCAGTGCTATGGTAACCCATTATACGCCTGTCCCCTCAACCCAGATTTGCTTTCTCGTCGTTACAAACCACCATTTCTTAAATTTAAGCCTCAGAGAAAGCATCGGGGAAACGCTTGATGTTCTGCTGGAGGCTACCGTGGTTGGTAAGGAACTGAACGTAAGCACCATCGACCTTGACGCGACCAGCAGCCTTCTTCTCGAGGTACTCCTCACGTCGGAGAGGAGTGAAACCCCAGTTCTTGGAGATGATGATCTTTTGTCGGCCAGGGAACTTGTACTGGGATCGTCGGAGAGCCTCCAGGGCGATAGCACGGTCTAGAGTATTTGGTTAATAATTCCATTCGGAAATATTCCGAAGATAATAGTACTCACTAGAATCACGAGTTCGGACACTCAGGATGATTTGACCAATGTTGACACGGGCAACAGTTCCGTTGGGCTTACCCCAAGCACCACGCATACCAGTCTGCAGTCTATCGGCACCAGCGCAAGACAACATCTTGTTGATACGGACGACGTGGTAGGGGTGAGCGCGGACACGGAGATGGAAACCTTCCTTTCCGGCCATCTTGACGAGGTACTTGTTGGCGCAAATACGGGCGGCTTCGAGAGCCTCGGAGCTCAACTGCTCATACTCGTTGGAGACAAGGTGGATGCAGAGAGGGAAGTCGTCAACGGTCGCACGCTTTCGGCCAAGATCGAAGATGCGGATCTTAGGGTCGGGTACACCACGGTTGAATCGGGACTTAGGATACGGCTATAAAAATTATTATGTTAGTAATTTTGTCTTCATTTTCAGTATGGAATCGAAGTTTCGTCAAAATAGTTGGAAATTTGTCGCAGTTCGAATTTTCGGGTAGTTGTAATGCAATCGCAAATCATCCGCAATTAATGGGACAGATTCTCAAAATTGCATTTGGTGGGTAATCTTTCGAGGTATTCTAATGATATGTTGAGGCTTACCTTGTTCTTGCAGTATCGGTAGCATCTTGCCGGACGACGCGCCATCTCGAATGATTCTCTCGATGATGTTGTCGTAAATTTGGTGTATGTTGTTGTTTGGGGGAAAGATGATGTCGATAGGGAGCGTAAGAGATCCGGCTCCTTTGACTTCTTTTTCGGAGGAATTCTTAGACTTTGATTTCAAAGCAGGAGCGAGTCACATAATCAGTTTGAGTGGGCTGGTGGCGGGGCTCCTCATTGGTCCATTGATTGGATATTCGCCTGGGAAGAAAAAATGGGGTTAGGGCTAAAACCACTCTGTGCGCATTGACCACTTTGAGATTTTCGGTCTAACGCTCGTTTGTTCACCCCACCAGAACTTTTTCCGTACAAAATAATTCGGAGACAACTTTTCGGCTTCCTCTTCACCACCCTCGACTACAACAAATTACCGATTCGCAAAAAGTCAATCAACACACACGAATCAAGATGGCCCCCAAGAAGAACAAGAAGGATGCCAACAGCATCAACTCGCGTCTTGCGCTTGTTATGAAGTCCGGAAAGGGTGTGTATTTTCCATTCGAATCACCGATACCTACAATTACTGACCATTATTCTAGTCACTCTCGGCTACAAGTCCACCCTCAAGAGCCTACGATCCGGCAAGGCCAAGCTCGTCATCATCTCCGGAAACACTCCCCCTCTACGCAAGTCCGAGTTAGAGTACTACTCCATGTTGTCCAAGGCTCCCGTCCACCACTTCTCTGGAACCAACGTAAGTTCATCATTATATCTCTTTAATACCGCATAGAAGACATGCGCTTCTATGGTCATTTTCTCTCTACATCCGGATCATGACAAGCTGCATTGCTTGTCGGTCCTACCCAGAGAAGAAGCCATTTCCTGGCTTTGGAGGGTAATTCAGTTGGCTTACTTTTCTCGTCCAATACAGATCGAACTTGGTACTGCTTGCGGTAAACTTTTCCGATGCTCCACCATGGCCGTCCTAGACGCTGGTGACTCCGATATCCTCAGCGACCAACAGGCATAGATGTAAATAAGGCATCATGGGTCGGCGTTAGGGTTCATTGGCTGGAGAAAAGGTCATTATAACTCGATATTCATGAACGAGTTCGACTAGGATCTATTGCATATTTGGAGGTACCAATGCGTCGTTGTCCGTAAAGTTCGCTAGGTAGTCGATCAGGCCAATACTGAGCGTCAAATCAGACAAAACTCGGATACTTCAGAAACAATAAAGTGATACCCAACTGCCATTTTGGCACAAAGCATTATTAGGAGAATCAATATGGCGAAGTCTATGTGGCCCATTGTATCAGCCACCTATTATTGCCATCGGGCTTAAACTAGCACTGTAGTGCATCTCGGAGTTCTTGATTATTACATTTGTACTGCCCACGTATAGGTATTTTTCGTCGTCACCCTTGCATAATTTAGCTCTATATGTCCAGAACCTCTCCGATGGGATAATCCGTTTATCCAGATGACTAGCAAAACAGGCCATGGCCATCAAAGAATACATACCTAGGCAGCCTATTCTATACGATGGGGCTGTGAACAATGATATAATGTTCTTTGAGGGTGGCCCTTCGAATCACGCATATGCCATAAGCTACATTCATCCCATTAGACTTACTTGGATAAAGAGTTGTACAGCCCATAGGTAATCTACAAGTGCACCTTAAAGTATATGCATTGTTGAAGGTTATCATAATAAGCTTTTCAAATACGTTGAAAAATTCAAAGTCAAACTCAGTAGCTTACTTGATGGCAGAACAAAACGAGAGTGACAAATCCTGAAACGGCCTACCTAGGTAGGTAGTGACAACGGAAAGACAGTTTGCGGAACGGAGCGCGTTTGTGAGTTGTAGCTGCCATGACGTGTAAGTTAAGCTTAATCCATTTTTATCACATTCGACAATGAAGTAGAATTATTTAGGATTAGTTCATTTATCCAACACAAAAGAGATTCGAATAATGAATCCTAATCAGCAGATACATAGGGACCGAGGATAGACAAATATGGATCATAAAGGTATTTCACCTCCGAATATACTTGATCAGTCACCTATTATTGCGACGCGTCTTTCCGAATGTCAAACACGTTCTACAAGGATCCAGTATTTGCTCCGTCACCGAGCGCTACATACATGTACTAGCACTTAGTTATTAAGAGAAGAAGTGCATAAATATTAATTTAACTTTGTAAGCGTAAAGGGGTGTGAAAGGGAAAGAATAGGAGAAAAAGGATTTTTGTAGAACATGAAAAGAACAACTACAACCCTTCTGGAATTTCGTCATTACTCCCTACTGGCTATTCCATGTTCTATTCTGAACATAAGCTGAGCAAAGAATCAGAAGAGATCAGGAAAGAAAATATCAGGGTTTACGACATTTTCGAAACACGGTCATTCCGGCGTGGCTGAGTTCCCCTTTGCTGTACAAAATTAGAGGAGGGGAGAAGTACGTACTAAGTACTCAGACAGAGGAAGGTACCTCGACCTACCCGCCTGCTCGACGCCAATAGGTTAAGCGCCTTATCCACTTAGGTGCATCAAGCCAATCCCCTATCCTAAATTTACCTTTTCACCTTTTACAGCGCCGTCTCTAGCACCAAGTCAGGTACCAAGCCCCGGGTAAGGCCTTACGAGGTACGAAATATTGTGTGGTGTGTTCAAAGTCTCAGGTCTTGTGTTCTGAACGCCACGAACCAACATCCGTACCCCGTACCCATACTACATTGTATATGCAAAGCCACCCGAGACAACAAGTCTGGACGGACGAAAATCATTCAGAAAAATACCACACCAGTATTTTGTCCTTGTTTATCGGTCAACCTATTGCTTCTTTTTCGGAGTATTAACATTCTTCGCGATTGACCTAGCAACCGGCGATCCTACCACCAATACTACCCATTCAGTACTATTCACTACATTAATATTGCATCGAATCAAATCCCATTACTTCGACTTTAGGGTATAATCGAATTGACGCGAAGTACAAATATTATTTCTGTATATACGTTCTTTTTTTTATCAGTGCATAGTCGACAACGACAACCATCACAATAACAACGACATCAAATGTCGGCAACACCAAAGAGGCCGCTCTCTGCGGCGCAAGGTCGGGGTACTCCAAATGACAACACACCACCAACGTCAACGGGCCGACCTCGAGCATCCACACCGACATCTACCTCAAATTCAAATGGAACCGGAGGTGCTAGTACACCTCAGCGGACACGATCTATTCGAGGCGGTACCCCAATGTCAGCGCGAGCCGCTGCTACACACCGAGCAACATCATCTCTAAGCATTTCTACCACAAATGGAAATGCCGATGCACGTGCTGAGACCATTGCGCTGATTGAAGACCTCAAAGAGCGGTTACAAAAGGCCGATATTACATCCGAGCAGCATAGAAAACAGGCAGAGGTCTTACAAACAAGACTTGATGATGCTATTAAAGAGCAGGCCAAATTAGAAGAGCGGGTACACGAAAGTGAAGAACAAATCGAGTCACTTCGAAATGAGAAACGGGAAGCCGCACGACAGATGCGGGAGATGGAAGCCATCTATGAAGCCGAGCGGAGTTCAATGATGAAAGAGAAGGAAGAAATGGCAAACCGGGAAGAAGAGATGCAGGCCGTGATTAATAGGCTTAAAGAGACTCTTAATCAGCGGAATGCGGACGACGAGTACCGGCCGACAAGACAATGTGAGTATTTACTCAACATACCAATACATAAGATGAGCAATATGTGCTAACTCAGGAATGACAGCAAACAATTCTTCGCCCAGTGTCGACAATGGGAACTTTGCCCCGCCATCTTCGGTCCAACGAAGCGATTCTCGGAATAATTCGAAGCTACTCCTTCAGAAGGACAAATTGATCGAATCTCTACGTCTCGAACTCGCGGAGGCCCAAATTAAGCTCGTCGAGTCCGAGAACCAGGGTGGCGGCCGATTACATGAAGTCGAACGTCTACTCATGGAGGCCCGAATGGCCAACGCACGATTGATGGAAGATAATGAGTCATATCAACTACTTCTCCAAGAAAAGACGCTCCACGGCGATTTCGGTAAGGGAGACTTCAGCTACATGAATGTAGCGGCCAACCAAGATGCCCTAAACGCCCTCGAAGGTCGGTCCAACGCTGGTGATAACCCTATTACGCCAGCCACTAGCCTAGCCGACGAGCTGGGTGCCCTCGGTGGTGATGAGTCTCCTAAGGTTGGCCCCGAAGATGAGAATGCACGACGTCTAGAGGCAGAGTTGCGCGCGGCTAAGGACCAGAACAAAGCCCTCACGTTGTATATTAACAAGATCATCGAGCGGCTACTTCAAAACGATGAGTTTGAGCATATCCTCGACCAGTCGTCCGATTTCAAGCCTGGCGCCAACGTCCACAAAGAACTACCCCCTCCACCGGCAGCCGACGCCCCAGGTGTAGGGGCGTCGCTGCTCCAGCGAGCTAAGTCCATCGCTACCGGCGCTGGCGCCCCGCGGCCCAAGCCACGTCCTATGACCATGTCAGCATCGCACCACTTCCAGCCACAACTCCCGGGCCAAGGTCCTTCTGCCCACAGCAACCCCGAGACGGCACCTAGTATCCCGATCTCCGGCCTCGGCCGATCCCACAGCACCGCTCGCCGACCCGGCGGACGCCCCATGAGCGAGCAACTCACAGGCGCCGCAGGCATCATCAACGCCATGTACAAGGGCCCCGACGGTCCTCTATCTCCTACCCTCAGCACAGCATCCTCCTCAGCGCGCCACTCGCAGACTTTTTTCTCTGGGCCTGGGGGCCGGGCCTCGAGCGCGGCATCCAACGGCGGTGGCAGCGCGGGCAACTTCCCGGGCATGCGCAGCGAGACCAGCAGCGTGAGTGGGGACTCGGCGGCCGAGGGGACGACGGCGACGGCGACTACAGCGAGTCAGAGTCCGCCCCGGACTAACGGGAGTGCGGAGAAGAATACTACGCTTGCCGGGAATAAACCGCGCCCGTTGAGATTGGTGCAGGAGAATAATGCGGCGAATGAACATGCGGGGAACAAGAGGAGTAGCTGGATGGGTTGGGCGCAGAGCGCGTGGGGGAAGAAGGATGGGGATGAGAGTGTGCGGTGAAGAGGAGCAGGCGAGGGGAGAGATTGAGAAGGGGAAGGGGATGAATCAGGAGAGAGGAGGTAATGATTGATCGAATGCATGAGTGGAAAGTATCATTTATCATCATCTAACTCAAGCAGAGCTTGAGATTGGACTTGGCTTGCTTATGAGAGCGGAATGAATGGAAGTGGAAGAAGATATATCATCGAAAGATTATCTGTCTATCTACCTACCTAGCTTGCTTGGAAGGAGAGGGGATGGGTTCTTTTGCTTAACGAAACAAATCATATGTGGACTCAACTCATCATCAATGAACGAATGGGGCGGGTGGCATGACTTTAACTGACCGAATCGATCGTCTTATTCTTCTTTTTGCTATACATTGTTGCTACGAACTGGACCGGGTTCACGGCTTTGGCTTTTCTAGGATGGCATGGCATGGCATGACTAGTTGACGAATGAAATCGAATGGGGGTTATGGATCGGATGAAATGATTGATCGCGGATATGTTTCGGCTTGAGAGATACATTATTTGCAACTACGTATTTACATACTTTTTATTATGATTATGCCGCGGATATATATTGTTACGTATTTGAATGGAATGAAATTGAATCGAGCTATGTTGATGTGCTTGTAACTGTTCGATTTGGATGGAAGGTTGAGTATAAGTGAAGAGGACAAAGGGCAGGAGGGGTGGATGGATGAGACAAAGCTTGAGACTGCGATGATATCATTAAGGTTGTTGTGCCTGTCTCGGGACCCTTAGCGTTGTGAGTAAATGGGTGTGTTGAAAATATGTGTAGGTTCGTAACAATGGCCTCGTCTAACATCAAGGGGCGGGATAGGGAAAGATCGATAAAATACCAGACGAAGGTTTTCCATGTCCTACTTTCGTCTTATGTACGCCGGAATTCATGGCAATGATCAACTTTTCCATAATAAATAACTAGATCTATGGGCTCAGATCCTAATCGCATTTTGCGTACAACTTAAGCTACGACTTAGTACATCACGTCGGATTACATCTATAGATGGTGGTGGTCATGCCGGTGCCCTGAAGACTTTTGCTGCTCATCCTAAGTTTCCCCCGCCGAGGTATGGAGGGCACCCCCGTGGGATAACCGACTATGAATAAAGGCCATTTTCCCTTCTCGTCTAGGTATTTTTGACATGAGTCGATGCCCATTCGGTAATTATATCTGTCAGAGCACAGCTCTTTGGAGATAGATAGCTGCGAGCGTCCTTTCATTGAGATGCACTCATTTGAAATCTAATCTCTTTGTAGATGTTATCTACCTGGGTAGGTAAGATGCGAGCTACTGAGCGCCGGAGGTCCGCACGCCCGCTCTTGCCCTACTACGGTATACGGGGATACGTTATCCCTCATGGTGAAGGAGACCCACGCTAGATACTTCCGATTCCAGAATGTATCTTGCGCATGGTGTTGTGTTGTGTAATCACTTTTATGGCTAGGGTCTTGGCCTATACCTCCTAGATGGTACTATCAGCCTTGTCTCAAGGGCTGGTACTCCGCGACTAATCAACGAAAAGGGCTTACGTTCACCCGGAGGTGATTCGAATCTTAGAGAAGTACGCTTAGTCCCGGGCAGTAACATGCTTATGACTCACCGAGTATAAGCTCTAGTAGAAAACAGTTGCGCGGAGTATTATAGGTGGCAGTTCAGGTATAGGAGCCAGAATATCAATAAATGCGACGGAGAGGGAATACCAAGGTAATTAGAGAAACCAAAAATGGCTCAAATCCTGTTCTACGAGCGCCCCCAACATTAGAATGGCATAGAAGACGTGGGTGGCTTTTTCCAAACCAGTTGGTCGTACGAGTCTATGTATACCGAAAAGTCCGGAAGAAAGCCCACGCCTCGCGAAGGAACCAATCCTGTGAGATCTAAAGGATCGTGCTATGGAGGTACCTAGATAGGTACTTCTTGTTTTCTCAAGCCAAGTCCTGTACGTACAACGGAGATCTGGCGATACCTACGTGTCTTCGGTGCACGTAGTAATGAAAAGCGCAACTGTCACCCATTGGGTTGCGATCTTTTCTTCCCAATCAAAGAGCCGCATTTGTATATCTTCCCAAGTTGAGAGACAATGTTACCCCCTACGCTAATACACATTACACCGAGTCGCTGGCTACATAGATGAGATTATCTGAATATGGAGGGTTCAAATCAGGTAAGTGACGAAAGAAAAAAGTAGTATTCCGTCACCACTTTGGCTATTTCTTTCACTTTTCAATAAGGTAGGTGTCGATCGGTGGTAGCCCGCACCTAAGCAACAATATAGAGGGGGAGGTATGGGAATGAGGTACACGTGTTGTATTCTCACTCCCAATAAATTTGAATACCCCCACACGTTGTAACGCCTTGGACGGAAGTTGGCATCAACCGGCCTATGGGGATCGCGGGTTCCTGCGCAGATGACCACTGAACCAACCACTCCTGGCGCTCCAGGCTGTTCGTCGTGGTCGATGACATGTCAACCTGGCGCAGATAAGACAGGGCAGGATTCTAGGCTGAGCAAAGATAGATTTCCCATCCGTTTGGACGGGCCGCTTATTATGTCAGATCCCGGTCGAAACAGACGGGGGGCGCGCATTGGATGGGGGGGGAGTAAGCACAACCCGCATTATTAGAAAATCACGACGGAGCTATTTTTGTGAGGGGGTAAGAGAAGCGATGAGATATTATTAATAGGACTGGGCCATGTCACTCTTTTTTTCTCGACGGAGTTTAGATGACCGGATAGCCGGGTCGTCCCGTTCACTTCCAAGTTGAAAAAGAACGATTCTTTAGAATGAATTTCGGCTCTTATTTGAATAACGCGCAAAATCCGTCAGCGATTCGTCACCATCGGACCGGTCACTCGTCTAGTTTCCTAACAAGGTAATACTTAATAAGCTTCATAAGGGAATTTGGAGAAAATAGAATAATAAATGATAAATACTATGCGCGATGACAGTGTGCAGGGTCATCTTAATTACCATCTTCGGAACCCTAAATGTCGAATTGTGCATATGCGATGCTCCCTTTCGCTGGTTTTCTTGTGGTTTGATTGTTGAGTATAGAATGTCTAGTGGATGAATTGAGCTGTCAGGGTCACGTTCGTCAGACACGCATCAGCAGAAACATTTGCGTGCGTAGCAGGCCGTCCACATGTCGATCTCTGAGAGGTCCAATTTTGCCGGGTTATTCTCTGGAAGCCAAGGTCTACCATAGGTCGATACAAGGCTGAGTAGACCAAATTGTTCCTAATCCGTATTGACCAGGACTAATTTGATTTTGATTCGACTTCAGCCATTTCCTAACCAAGGTAACCTTTCCATCTATTGGTAGAAGCCCTGGTCAAATTTGCCCTTTTGGATAGAAACGGATTCGGTACATCATCCCACAACCTGCAGCTGTTCCTTGTAGTTTTTTCTCTCTTAAGACACCAGCGAATTTGTAATACCACACAACATACTTAGGTACTTGACTTAGGCATACAATTGCTGTCTTTTTGTTCGCTAAAGCAAGACACCAAGTTTAGGATAGGTTATTCTCACCTACGGAATACGGGAATACACACGAATAGGCGGTAGAAGAACAAGATGATGATGAGAAAGTGGAGATATGCAAGACACGCGATGCAAACCGATACAAAGTGGAGAAATTAAGAGAGCGAAATAAAGAAGGCGTTCGTCTGGAAGCCAGATGGAAGGACTGGCAGCTGAGAATCGGTCTAGGGGATCCCAGGAAAGTGGAGCACTCACAATAAGATAATAAAATAATATCTGTGGAGGAAAATGTCCGTCGAAACCGGAACTTGCGGTCAAACTGTAAGATACCTGGTGTCGACTTCCGAAACTATGCGTGTGGAGCTTTTGTTCTTGTAGCTTCAAGTATCCTTGAGTAGGTTTAGAAGTACCTAAGCGGGTTTCTGTTCCTGAATATCTCTACATATGTACTACTATCTTTTTCAACCCCCGAGGCTTCCATGGTACTTATCGTTTTGCCGCCATTTAGTATGAAATTGCCCCGTCTCCCAAAAGGGGGCAATTTCCATAGCGAGGCCGCACATGGTAGTAAAATTACCTAGGTAATGAGGTTAATTATGTTGAATTTACGATATGAGTAAGTACTTGACATGTATTCGACACTTGTATGTCGACCATTGATGTTATAAATGTGTACAACCTGACAACATAAAGTTCGTAACGTAGCTTGGCTATAAAGTTCCAAGCTGAAGCAGGTATTTTAAGTATACATGTACATAATGGCCTCAGGTACGTATCTAGAGTTTGTCCTTCAATGTTTCTACACATTTTATGATGACAATATTCAATACGTACATGTACCCAAGTCCCGATTTGTGTCACCGCTCTCGTGAGCAAGAGACCCATCAAGCGCATTGTAAGGCGAAAGAGTCCCCACTTGGCATAGATTCTGGGGAGTAGTTCGGCAGACAAAACAATGGTTAAGGGTTTACGTACCTATCTCTAAGATGTGCGATTTTGAACGATTAGAACAATGTTGCAGTAACTAAACTCAAAGACATATGTTTCTACACTCAATTTAAATCCCTGAATTTCAACCCAATTACTTGCCTAAGTCTTGGTCGAAAAATCTGCATCTAATTCATACATATACGTCGGTACATGTGTATGTAGGCGGATGAATCTGGATCGCCTTCCTTGGAAAGGTGTGTGTAGTATCGGTATTTCTGTATTTGATGTGGACTTTTAGAGTGACACCCTAAGCAATAAATTTAGGTTGTGTTTATTAATTGTACTCCCTTGGAACCAACTAGATCCAATTGAGCTTAATAGTTTTTTTTATGACAGTACCTCACAAAGCAAGGGAAATTTCATTGACGATTATGTATGTACGAAGGCTTTAGACATGACTTTTCCTTCGATTTCTTTCTTTCTTAAGTAACGTAACCATCGTTTAAACAGATCTAGAAACAACCGTATTGTGTCGCTAACCAGATAATACTGGAATAATTTATCTATTTAATGGCAATAGAACCGGCCGTTTTACTCCATAGATGAAGTATATACATGTATATGTGTATGTGTACTTAATGCATCTTCTATGT